GCATCATGGAGTCCGATGGCACGCTGGGAGGCGGCTCAAACTACGAGCAGTCTCTCGAACTCAGCAACATCCCCGACGATACCACCTGGGCCCTCAAACACAAGGTCGAAGCAGTTCGACAAAGAGATGAACGCTCAGGATTCCCCGCCCGCGAGCTGGGCGTGACATGGAAGAACCTCACGGTCCAGGCCGTCAGCGCCGATGCGTCGCTTCACGAGAACGTCATTTCCCAATTCAACATTCCCAAACTCGTCAAGGAGTCTCGCCACAAGCCTCCTCTGAAGACCATTCTGGATAACACACACGGCTGTGTCAAGCCCGGCGAGATGCTCCTGGTCCTCGGACGTCCAGGATCAGGATGCACGACATTGCTCAACATGTTGGCGAACCACCGCCGAGGATACACTTCAGTCACTGGCGACGTCCACTACGGCTCCATGCCCGCAGAGGAAGCACAGCAATATAGGGGACAAATTGTCATGAACACCGAGGAGGAACTCTTCTTCCCGACCCTGACCGTGGGCCAGACCATGGACTTTGCAACTCGCCTCAAGATCCCTTTCAACCTTCCCGAAGGTGTTGCCTCCAATGAGGAGCTGCGTCAGGAGAACCGAGATTTCCTACTCGAGTCCATGGGAATCCAGCACACATTCGACACCAAGGTCGGCAACGAATTCGTGCGAGGTGAGTGGCTCAAACTATTGATAACTTTGAGGTTACCTCGACTGACTCTTCACAGGTGTGTCCGGAGGAGAGCGCAAGCGTGTGTCCATCATTGAGTGTATGGCGACGAGAGGATCAGTCTTTTGCTGGGATAACAGTACCCGTGGTTTGGACGCCAGCACGTAAGTCTTTGCCGAGTGTTTTAGTTCTTGAAGCTTTGCATAAGGCTTGTTGGGGAACATCATGTAATCTGACCATCTTCTAGGGCCCTCGAATATACCAAAGCGGTCCGTGCCATGACCGACGTCCTCGGCCTCGCATCCATCGTCACCCTCTACCAGGCAGGTAACGGCATCTACAACCTCTTCGACAAGGTTCTCGTCCTCGACAACGGCAAGGAGATGTACTACGGACCCATGAAGGAGGCCAGACCCTTCATGGAGCAGCTTGGTTTCATCTGCTCCGACGGCGCCAACGTCGCTGATTTCCTCACCGGTGTCACCGTTCCCACGGAAAGAGCAATCCAACCAGGCAAGGAAAAGACCTTCCCTCGCACAGCTGAAGCCCTGAGAACCGCGTACGAAAAGTCAGACATTTATCCCCGGATGATTGCCGAGTACGACTTCCCAACCCTGGAGGAGACCAAGGAGAAGACGAGACTATTCCAACAGGGCGTCGCAGGCGAGAAGCACAAACAGCTTCCGGCCAACAGCGCTCTCACGACAAGTTTCTATACCCAGGTCAGGGCCTGCATCACCAGACAGTACCAGATTCTCTGGGGTGACAAGGCAACCTTCATCATCACGCAGGTGTCCACTTTGGCTCAAGCTCTTATCGCCGGTTCCCTCTTCTACCAGGCTCCCAACACGTCTGGCGGTCTCTTCCTCAAGGGCGGTGCCCTCTTCTTCGCCCTTCTCTTCAACAGTCTGCTGTCCATGTCCGAAGTCACCAACTCCTTCACCGGTCGTCCTGTCTTAATCAAGCACAAGTCCTTCGCATACTACCACCCTGCCGCTTTCTGTATCGCGCAGATTGCTGCTGATATACCGGTTATCCTGTTCCAAATTTCGGTCTTCTCTATAGTTCTCTACTTCATGGTCGGACTGAAGACGTCGGCTGCGGCGTTCTTTACTTTCTGGGTTGTCGTTGTGGCAACTACCATGGTACGAAACGTCCCGTTCGTCCCTTTTTCTTGAACTTTCCACTGACTCAACTTAGTGTATGACTGCCATGTTCCGCTCCATCGGCGCCGGCTTCACGACCTTCGATGGCGCGTCAAAGGCCTCTGGTTTCATGGTCACTGCGTTGATCATGTACTGTGGTTACATGATTCAGAAGTCTCAGATGCATCCATGGTTCGTCTGGATCTTCTGGATCAACCCTCTGGCATACGCTTTCGACTCCCTCATGTCGACCGAGTTCTACGGACAACTGATTCCCTGCGTCGGACCCAACCTGGTACCGAACGGTCCAGGATACACCGATTCTGCTCATCAGTCGTGTGCCGGTGTCGCCGGCGCCATCCAGGGTTCAACCACTCTCACTGGCGACCAGTACCTCTCTGCCCTATCCTACAGCCACAGCCACGTCTGGAGAAACTTCGGCATCGTCTGGGCCTGGTGGGTTCTCTTCGTCGTCCTCACCATCATCTCCACCTCGAGATGGCGCTCGTCCGCCGAGGGCGGAGCATCTCTGCTCATCCCCCGCGAGAACGCCCACATCACCAAGGCCATCCGCGACGACGAGGAAGCCCAGTCGTCTGAGGAGACCGCCGCTGAGAACGGCAAGAGCGACAACGAGAAGCAGGACAGCAACAGCAATGACGACAACCTCGTCCGCAACACCTCTATCTTCACCTGGAAGAACCTTACCTACACTGTCAAGACTCCCTCTGGAGACCGTGTTCTTTTGGACAATGTCCAGGGATGGGTCAAGCCCGGGATGCTCGGCGCTTTGATGGGCTCCTCCGGTGCCGGAAAGACGACGCTTCTCGATGTCCTGGCCCAGCGCAAGACTGACGGTACCATCCACGGATCCATCATGGTCGACGGTCGCGAACTTCCCATGTCATTCCAGCGCTCTGCTGGATACTGCGAGCAGCTCGACGTCCACGAGGCGTACGCTACTGTCCGTGAGGCCTTGGAGTTCTCTGCCCTGCTCAGACAAAGCCGCGACACTCCGCGTGCCGAGAAGCTCGCCTATGTCGACACCATCATCAACCTCCTGGAACTTCACGACCTCGCCGACACCCTCATCGGAACCACCGGTAACGGTCTCTCCGTCGAACAGCGAAAGCGCGTCACCATTGGCGTCGAACTCGTCTCGAAGCCCAGCATTCTCATCTTCCTCGACGAGCCCACTTCCGGATTGGACGGCCAGTCCGCCTTCAACACCGTACGCTTCCTCCGAAAGCTCGCCGACGTTGGCCAAGCCGTTCTCGTCACCATCCACCAGCCGTCCGCCCAGCTCTTCTCCCAGTTCGACACCCTTCTTCTTCTCGCCAAGGGAGGCAAGACTGTCTACTTTGGCGACATTGGCGACAACGCAAAGACCATCCGCGACTACTTTGGCCGCTACGGCGCCCCCTGCCCTGAGGAAGCCAACCCTGCCGAGCACATGATTGACGTCGTCTCGGGCCACCTCTCCAAGGGCAAGGACTGGAACGAAGTCTGGCTCGCCTCGCCCGAGCACGACAACGTCACAAAGGAGCTCGACCACATGATCCAGGACGCCGCTTCCAAGCCCCCGGGCACTGTCGACGACGGCCACGAGTTCGCGCTCGCCATCTGGGACCAGATCAAGATCGTCACCCACCGCATGAACGTCTCCCTGTATCGCAACATCGACTACATCAACAACAAGTTCGCGCTGCACATCTTCTCCGCCCTCTTCAACGGCTTCTCCTTCTGGATGATTGGTGACTCGGTCGACGACATCCAGATGCGCCTCTTCACAATCTTCAACTTCATCTTCGTCGCCCCCGGTGTGCTCGCCCAGGTCCAGCCCCTCTTCATCGACCGCCGCGACATCTTCGAGACCCGCGAGAAGAAGTCCAAGATGTACTCCTGGATCGCCTTCGTCACCGGCTCCATCGTCTCCGAGGTCCCCTACCTCATCATCTGCGCCGTCCTCTACTTCGTCTGCTGGTACTACACCGTCGGCTTCCCCGGTGACTCCTCCCGCGCCGGCTCTACCTTCTTCGTCATGCTCATGTACGAGTTCGTCTACACCGGTATCGGCCAGTTCATCGCCGCCTACGCCCCCAACGCCGTCTTCGCCTCCCTCGTCAACCCGCTCATCATCGGTATCCTCGTCTCCTTCTGCGGTGTCCTCGTGCCCTACTCCCAGCTCCAGACTTTCTGGAAGTACTGGATGTACTGGCTCAACCCGTTCAACTACCTCATGGGCAGCATGCTTGTCTTCGACATTTGGGGCACAAAGGTCGAGTGCAAGAGCAGAGAGTTTGCTCTCTTTGATCCGGTTAACGGCACGACGTGCGCGGAGTACCTGGCGGACTACATGCAGGGCATGGGCTCCAGCAGCAACCTCATCAACCCGGAAGCCACCTCCGGCTGCAGAGTGTGCCAGTACCGCGACGGCAGCGATTACTTGAGGACGATCAACCTGATGGAGTACTACTACGGCTGGCGCGATGCGGCCATTGTGGTCATCTTCGCCATCAGCTCGTATGCTCTGGTATACCTCCTCATGAAGCTCCGAACCAAGACGTCCAAGAAGGCCGAGTAAACCCACTCCGCCTCCTCATTGGATCTCGAACTTTCATCATCTCTCTCACACTATCTCACTATATCACGCATATACCTCTCTCTCTCTCTTATATCACGTTACACTAGATACCTCGTACGCAGCTGCAGCATCTTAGATTGCGCCACTCTCGCGGGTAGATCTCGGGATTTAGCAATAGGTGGTCTCCATGTGTATTTTGTCAATCGTATGCATCTAAGCCAATGCATCAACTTTCTTCTCTCTCATCTAGGGCCGGAGTAGATCTCATCAATGGGATGGTTCATTATTGGGTAAATTTAATAGACATCACGGTCAAATAGAATGGGACAAAATCAAATGTCAATCATGTCAAACTTTTGTCTGAATCGTCCGAGCCTCATACAGATCCCATTCCATCATAAATTGACCCATCAGTGAAAGACTGTTCGATGAAATTGTCTGCTTCGTGATGAGAGGTCGTTGAGGGTCAACTCTTCATGTTTGCATCTTGAATTTCAGTACGCGTAAGGGGCTTCGCCGACCCCACCTTTCCGAAACGGGCGTGGGGACCTTCACCACACCGCCAACGACATCAAGACACCTCACTCACACACGGACGTCAAGACCAAAACTCTTGACAGTTCTCAAACCTTGCCTCATCTTTTCATCACTCTCTTAAAATCATCAGAATCAGCAAAAATGCCTCTCAAAGGAATATCCCCCGTCATCTCGCCCGACCTCCTCAAGGTCCTAGCCGAAATGGGCCACGGCGACGAAATCGTCCTCGCAGACGCCCACTTCCCCTCCCACTCCATCTGCCCGCCTCACATCCCCGTCCTCAGGGCCGACGGTAAGTCTACATGACCCATTCGAATCCTTTCGAGTCTACGTCAATTATAAGGATTCTAACGGCGAGTTAAGGCATCACCGTCTCACGCCTGCTGGCCGGCATTTCCCCGCTCCTCGAGCTGGACAACTACGGCGTCGTGCCCGTCATCATGATGGAGGTCGTCAAGGGCGACACCTTTGACGCGAGCGTCGAGTCCGACTTTAGGTCGTCGCTCAAGTACGACGGTGAGATTGAGAAGCTGGAGAGGTTTGCGTTTTACGAGCGGTCCAAGAAGGCCTTTGCGATTGTGGCGACGGGGGAGACGAGGAAGTACGGCAACATTATCCTCAAGAAGGGCGTCACTCCCATCACTGAATAGACTTATGAATAAGAAATGGCTTGATCATCGAAGCAGGTTCACTCGGCAGTTCAATTGGTACCCATCACCAACATTGCATTGACTCCAAGCCAGGAGTTGGAAACGGGGTAGTCAGAGAACCCCTCGAATACCAAGAAAACGAGCGTTCAATTGTGCTAAGTATACTTACGCTCTAGGCATGCTAAGTAAGTATGCTCGGGCCGTGAAAAGAAGGTAAATAATGATAAAGGCCCCCAAAACGCTGGTTCCAAGACGCATATTTATATTCAAGCCCCCCACCGGGAACTCCGCCGACAGCTCCGGGCCGCCCTAGACCCGGCGGGCTCCCCAGGCCAGGAGTTCCCCCAACCCCCCCGAGCCAGTTTGGTCCCCCCCCGCCGCCGCCCCGCCCACTGCACTCGATCCGTGCCTACGTTGTCATTGTCAGGTTGAAGTTGAAGGGTGAGGCACTGCGCAGCACTTACTGTTGGGCCGACGAGGGGGGCTGGCCCGGTTGAATGGGAGCCGGGTTCTGTCCATTCTCGGCCTGGGTCACCACCAAGACTGCGGCTTCGTCCCGGGGTGGGCTCCTCGCTATGTTTATATTGAGGCGAATAATCTCCAAAATTCGTCTAGGAATAAGTGTCAGTACCAAATGGAATACTCAGAAGACAAGGGAGAAAGGCAAGGGGGGCAGAGATGAGAACCTACTCCATGATAGATGGTGAGAGATGTTGGAGATAGAGTAGATGGCGGAGATGGCGATAGTGAATGTTTGTGTAGCGAATGTTGGAAACGAGTGTTGTTGGTTATTGATTGTAACGATTGGAATAACCAAAAAAGCAGCGAGTGTGTGATGTGAATGCTTGAAGAAGAGAAGAAGAAGAAGAGGAGGAATGGGAGAACGGGGAATAGTGTCTATATAACCCCTTTCTGGCCTGAGCATTCGTCTCGTCGGCACCTTCAGTCCACACCTCCCTGATGGCATTTCAGAGCCGCAAAGGTACAGGACCATCTGCATTTACACCTTCCGTTCTATCAAGGTACGAGACCTCACGGCCCCATGACACCGTGCATCCTTTCTCCGTTGGGCCTGCTCTGTCCTTCTGGTAACTTATAAAATGGAAGTGACCGGACCCTTCAGACATTGACTTACACCCATCTCGTTCTTCACTCTTGCCAATACACCACCCAGCAATACATCATAGTTGCAGCAGCAACCCAGCTTGTCCCTGCATCGACCCCGACCTCAAAGCACAATCTGAAAGTACAACCTGGAAGCCAAGATCAGAAGAAAGACCAAGCGAACATGTCTCACCCTTGCACTCCAGCAGACGCCAGTCATGTTGCCGAGCAGCCTCCTTCTTACGACACGGTTCAGCAGGAGCAAAAGCGACAAGTCCAGAACTTCGACTCGAAAGAGTGGGAATGCGTGCCCCAGAATCTTAGCATCATCTATACCCCTGTTCCCATTGGAGCAGGTGCCAATGTCAGCAGAAGAGGAATCAACTGGGAAGCCAGATTCCGAGTAAGAGCCAAAGATCTCCCGCGCCTCATGAGAGAAGGTCTCCACTGGACAGTTGCCAATATTCAACGAGAAGCCGGCTTCTTCGAGCACGAAGCCAAGGAACTTGTCATGAAACAAGCTGGCTGGACCTGCACACGCAACTACTACCTCTCCGACCTCAGCCCGGATCAGAACTGGTCCGCCAAGATGATTGTCTGCGCTCGGGATATCCAGGTCCTCTCGCAGTTTGACATGGCCAAACTTCGGCCTGAGCAAGCATACACCGCCATCGCGTGGAGCAGCTTCCAGCCCAGCCACTTCATCTATAACTTTGAGCGTCTGGCTCCCAGCAGAAATTACAATTCAATCTACGACGATATGCCGCTGGAAGGATGGTGGCCATGGCCAAAGAGACGACCCGACGCGAACGACAAGCCCGATTCAGCTATTAAGAGCTCATAGGAAGGGACTAGACGTGGTATGAGAACATCCTTCCTCTATACTCGAGGATCACAGGGAAAGGGAGTGACGCAGGAGGTCACTATGAATCTGTTGTATCCTTCGCGAGACAGTTGGCGCGCGGTGGAAGGGGCGGACATCTCGAACTGGAGGGGGGAAGGGGGGGGGGGGGGGAGGGTGGATCAAAAAGGAAAAATTGCAAAAACAACAATGGGACGACCGATCGAGGAATCGAACTTGGATCCCGAAATAGACAGGAGACTTCACTGCCTAGTCGGGGCCTCTGCAGCCCGATTAACCCCTCGACCATACGGCCCAGATACTTGTTGTCACGATCCGGAGATGATTCATCGGCTATGGAGCGTCGCAGGCGGTCTGGTAATGTTCTCAGGAAGCCTCCTTCCCCAGGACGAGAGCATAGAAAAACACTCACCTGGATTGTGCATTTATCACCGCTAGACATGAATCATCAAAAACTGAAAATGGAATATCCTGAAGCGTGTGAACAAGACACCTTCCTATCAAACAGACCCCAGAGCCTCCCCATCTTCTCTCTCCTGCTCCTTCCCTATGTGCCACCTTCCCATATCCCACCTCTTTCCTAAGGAAAGTGCCTCAAGCACCTACCTCCGGCCATCAAAGTCATACCGGGCAAGCACCGGCCCGCTTGAATAAGAGGTTCTGTCAAGACCGGGGCAGGAGCATGGATGGACTGCGATTTCCCGACTTACACGAACGCGCACTCCTGCCATGCGGTTGATGTCCCATTGATTCGTGGCAATCCTGCCTTCTCAACACACCTTCCCAATGCCAAAGTGACGAGCCCTCAGGATTCTGCAGCAGGGACATTGGGAAACTTAGGTAGGAGCCCGAGCTGCGAACACTCCCCGACCATGGAAGTCCAGCTACGTGAAAATCAAGTGACGATGGTTGATTCTCCAAGACTTGGACCTCATCACCTATCCTTCGTGGATCATTTCAATCAATCTCCACTTTGATAAAGCCGAAAATGATAGAAAAACCAGCTTGTATCCTGGACTCGTAAACGCAGCACAGATACATCTTGCTCGTGTTCAGAGCTACGGGGGTCCCATCAATCCCGGCTGCGCTACAGCTCGACACGGCATCCTAAAGGTCGATATCTGTTAACGGCACTACGTAGTGTCAGACAGTCCGGTCAAGTTCCATGACGAACCCAGTCCAGCCGTCAGGCTTCCTCGTGTTCTGTATAGGACGTTCATATTCCGACGTTGAATATTTGCTTGATAATACGGTCCTCGGAGGAGCGCTAGGTTCAAGGTACATGGAGGAGAAACAGTTTGGGAATGCTGAAAGACTGTTTATCGCACACCTGATCACATTTCAGGAAAAACACACGCGTTAAAACATCCGTTCATCTTAGAATTGTTCCTCAATAGCGAGAACGCTGTATACATCGTTCTTGGCGTTTAGGTAATACTGAATATCACCATTCATTCTTTGGCGACTGCGCCATGATCAAAATACCTTCCTACGAATATCCAGCTCGCCTTCTCGATACAGCCTTATCTCTAGAAACTTCTTCGTTGGTACAGTCGTATCCATCAAAGGAGCCGCAAACCAGATTCAGCCCGCAGCCGAACTACCCGTTCAATACCCCAATTAAGCTCAAGGGGTGGCCAGCCACTGCCGCCAAGTCACACAAGCGGAAGGTCCAACGGCTGGCGCCTCAATGGTTCAAATGGCTGCCCTCGGTTCAATGCACGATTGTGGTGCAGTCTGCCCAATAACAACTGGTTCAAATAAACCCCAAATCTAGGGGCCTCAGGTTTGTTCGTGGATGGGATCAAATGAAAGACACAGACGCATGTGGCGTGCTTGGCCCTCGGAGGAAGTGGATCAAGCATAAGACACGGGTTCGGTGACACTCGACTCGTGCCGTATTTATAGGTAGCCTGGTCTGAAGGTCGGCCGAGGCATGTTGGTTGGATCAAGACGGGACTCAAGAGGACGTTTGCGCACAGTGCTGCCTCTTCCGAAACTGCAGGGTGAGGCGTGAAGCCAAAGCTCTGGTATGCATCCCGTAAGCTCCGTGAGACAACGTCGCAGTAAGCTCAAGAGGTTCCACCGAACAGGCGCAGTCGCAGAGCTCCAGTGATCCATCGCCAAGCTGCTTCCTTGCCACAGTGGACACTGGAACACGTTTTTACTGCGCAGACCACCCAGCGACCCGCTGCCGTCTGAAGAGAGTTGTGTTTTGTGGATGGCGAGGGGAAAATCTGGGGAGTAAGTGTCAAGTACGTAAGAGAAACTGAGGTTAATTGGTATGCGGACCGGCGATTCAGTTTTTATCTCGTGTGCGATTCCACTTCCCCGGAGCCAAAAGGACGTTTGACAATCGTGGCGTGCTTTTTCTCTCCTTGCGCGGTGGTGTGTTCCTGGACACGCTATTAGTCACAACAACTCCCCCGCATCTCAGTCTCTGGGCGAACTCGAATTCGAAAAGCAGTGACAGGCTACAGAAGGTCCTCTGCCGCCGCCTTGGGTAATTAGTTGGGAGCCAAGTGAAAGCTCGCTTGGATCGCCAATCGCAAGCTGACTGGGCGACTGGGCAAAGTACCCGTCAATATGGTATGGCCAAGGTGCCGTGACTCCATGGCCTTGCTCGGCGCATCCAATCGAGGCTGCACACCAAGACGATCGAAAGCCTTTGCTCTGGGTCAAGCTTTGGGCCCTGAGATGCCATGAAATGCCATGAGATGCCAAACTCTTGGGTTTTGGGGGGTCTCCAACGACATGTCTTGGAAGTCTGCGGTATCGAGCAGGATCCGCAGCATCTCAAAGTGTTCATCTCAGATACGCCCCGAAAAACCATACTTTTGCAGATTTTTCAGAACTTTTGGCGAACCGTAATTGTGTTTGGGTGATGGCTGTGTGATTTTAAGTTGGGCGACAAGAGAACGTGCCTTCCCAAAGCGTCCCTAGCCCGGGTAGATTGAGACTCTTGGCGTCAGCGGTCGTGATGGTCAGAGAGAACTCAAAAGTTCGTATGCGCAACGGACGAGACTTCAACCAGCTCAGGTGTCTGGCATCTGGCGCATATTAGTAGGTCTTGGCTCGCGTCAATCGAAAACGCCTCATACAAAGAATATGGCCGATAGATAGCCCGTTCCTAACCGTGATTACCATTGATTGTCCAAACAAACCGCCGTAGTGTTGTTGCCACGGGGGAGGAATGGTGCTGATAAGCGTTGCCACCCTCCCCGGATGCGCCCCGGGCGCCTCACGGGTAACGTATGCCAGATAAGGCCTCAAGAGGGCACAAGTGCCAGCCAAGACAATTGTCGTTTGGGTCAACCTTTAGTGACATATTGAGACAGATATCCGAAGCCACGGAACGCCAAATGACATTAGGTGCAGTCGCGAGTGGGTTGGCGTGCTCGGATGACACGACGGGAGAGAAAAGATGGGCCGTTTCGACCGAATTGAGACTTTTCAAGTTCAGATGTCCTGAATCGTGGCAACGAAGTGGGCGCTTTGCGAACCTTCGACCAACGAGGCTAACAAGACCAAACCCGAGTGACAGAGCGAATGACGGCAGAGCCGACTCTGGTATCGATGGTAGATATCGTGACAAGGGATGGTGATGGTGGGCGGGGAGCGCCAGGTTCGGTGCTTTCACTGTCTCTGTTTTGTTAGCAGATGCGTATGACACACGCACATCATGTACCATGTAGGATCTCCCATGAAGGACTGTTATCTTTGCCGAGACTTTATTCCCCATATTTCCCGCCAGAGGGGGGAATGTTGCGTTTGTCGTAGACCAATTGCAGCACATGGTGGTGCAACCCCCAGGGATGCGGACGCGTGAGGAGGAAGCATTGCGTGGGTAGACGTAGAATTGTAGGCCCTTCCATCAAATGGCAAGCACCAAATAGCGTAGCTCGACCAATTTGGCGGTGGGTTGGGGTACACAGCGCGGCACAATCGAGTCGTGTCGGTCGCCCCAGATAGGTAGGCCAGGGGTCGAATCGCCAGAGTTTTGCGCAATCAATCCACACTTTGAAGGGTATCAAAAGCGCCCCCAAGTGGCAGTTGGAGCAGGGTGACGGGGCAGCGGCCGGAGATTGGGCGTCTTGTGTGTGACGCGATGGGAGATGGGTGGTCCGTTTCGTTTCCTGAGTGGCTCCCCCTCAAAATATTACGGTTGGCTGTACGGATCCCTCGCTTTGCGAATAGGCGTATCGCATCACAAGACGGAACTTGAGGATGCAAAGGTTCGATGGTGTGGTTGGGCGGCCTGGCGGCATTCTAGAAGGATTCCTTCGCATAGTTAGCGGCGGCCTCCCTGTCCCGCGGCGCCCGCCCCTGCGAGGCCAGAGGACGCGCCGAAAGTCAATCAGCGATGAGGTGTGACGATTCCCGTCAGCTCCCAGCGGATGATCGAGGGTCTGGTACTGATAGGGATCCTTCTTCGTACACCGCAAGGGAATCGCACTTTGTAGAGACGCGCCGACATGATAGATGGCAGCAAATGCTGGGCAGCCCCGGTCACGAGGCGCTGGGCCAAGAAGCGCAAAGAGGCAGGAGAGAAGCTGGAGACCGGCGGCCGGGAACCGAGGAAGCCTAGCAGCTCCCGTCGGGCTGGCAGCCAAGCCGTTGCATCTGAGAATTCATGTCGAGATTGGTTACAATAGGATTGGATGGGATTTTGTCTTTGATGCCTCGCCTGTCACGAGCTGTTAGAAGCTGGAGACTCGGGGGAGGAAATCGCACTAGGTAAGCAGAGAATAGCAGTGAATAGTACCTATGAGAGGGTCGGACTCCGAGATCCATCAATCAAGCAATAACGCCCCCGTTCTTGGTCCTTCCCAAAAAGGAAGCTCGTCAGGATGGGCTTGGATCGTGAGGTACGGCCAAGAGACACCAAGCCGCACAGCCCTGTTCCAGAAGACCTTGGCTGCAGGTCGGTAGCTCCAGGAGGGAGCCACGGCCTTGGCTCGAGTAGACGAGTTCGCGTAAAGTTGAGAGTTTTGAGGGTCAGAAACGGCGAGTCTATGATGCCGAATTGGAAGTGAATCGGGCAGAGGAAAAAATGAGAAGAGAAGAAGAAGCAGGGTTCTGTCCTCTGTGAGTCTGATAATCGGAGGCAGGCACAAAGACACGTACGGATACATGTACGAAGACATGCGTACCTAAGGACCTAAGGTAGGTAGGTTCCTTGACTTGGTAGAGGTCTGCAGGAAGGCAGGCGGGCACTTGTTTAAGGTGAGGAAGGCATGCGGCATGCAGGCGGCAGGTCGCGCATTCCATTCTTGGGGAAGGAAGGTGTGGTGGAGCACCGTTCATCCCTTCTGTCACCACTTGTGTCCAGGACTCGTCGTCGAAACGGCGGTACATTATTACACCAGGTCAACTACTCCGTAGCTCATCTCAAATTCTCACTCCTCATCTGGCACTCTCAAGAGTCTCATCTCAGTGTTTGTTTCTCTCATTCCGCCTCGATGGATCTTGCTGGCTCACAGATAATAAAGGATATCTATCAGACGGATATCGCATGGACCATTCTTCGCCCCGTCCAAACTCTCATTGTGCGGCCGTGCCCCATCTCACTCCCAATCTCATGGGTCATTCACTCCCAGCCTGGGACGGATCTCCACTGATAGCGTGCCTGTGGAGTGCAATGGCACCGATGGGTATCCGTAATGATGATGAGTGTGCGCACTGCGTCCCCTGCTCAGTGAAACGTCCCGAGCAAGTGAGAGTAAGTGAGTGAGAGTGTAAGAGGAGCAGTGAGACTGAGAGTCCGGGCCAGTCAAGTCCAGGGCAAAGGCCCGGCACCGTCCCACCCCCGCGCGCCGCTACCAAATCACTGTCTTCCACTTCTGCCAAATCAATTTCCATCGCATGGATCCATCCGTACGTTTCCCAACCTGAACATACAAATATCGCAACCCATCTCCAGCCGACACCATCCACCAGCCAATAACCCTTCCCCCAAGACTCACCGAAAACCATGACCGGTTCTTCTAATCACTTGGCAAAAACCCCCCAATTGCACCGTCTGGCATCTGCGCTCCCCACCGAGCCCACCTTCTGCTCTCAGAAAGCTTACTGGTTCCGCCAAGCCGCTCCGTTGCCTCTGATGGGACATATCCGCCGGCTGTCGACGTCTCTAGACCAAGAGACCCGAGAGAGACGCCTCCACGCCTCGTAACCCTCAAGAGGCATCGAGCCACGCACCGCACAGTTGACCGAACACATCGCATCCCTTCCAGCGGCCAGTGGGCATCATGCGAACCTCCGAATCAAACCTCTTGTCGCAGACCACCGGCCTGCCTGATGGAGCCACCTGAAATGCCGCATCCCGTAGTCTGATGTCTCGAAGGGTAAGGCTCAAGGCTGAAGCGACAAAAGCGGTGTTTGCCTGTCGTGCCTGTCTACCAAATCTGCCACGTCGAGTGACACCGATGCAGCTCTTGGACGTGAGGCGAGTTGACGACGTCGCGCTGGGCTGTATGTGTGAGATGCTTCGACGATCTCGTCCATCCCACCATCTCCCAAGCCTTGCCATCTTCGCCTTCCACGCAGCTTCCATTGCTTCCGAACACCCACATGATACCTTACATCCGCCATCCGCATCCGCATTCTCATGTACGATGGAAGTGTGCGTAGTGTGAACCTTTGCCGTGGGCTCTTCCTATCTGTGCTACACTACGTACACTACTGCTAGATGCCGGCCGTCCCCCTTCACTCCCCTTGACCTACCCTTCCTTCCCTCCCGTCTCACGGCTGACTGATCGGTCCAATTGCCTGCCAAGATTGTACCGGAGAGACTCGTCTACCTACTCATCTAGACCTCTCAAAGTCTAGGTCACCTTCCGCCTACCTCCTGGCATTTTCTGCAAGCTAGCGGCGCAGCTATCATGGGTGATTTCCCGGGGAGTAGGTATCCCGGAAACGACGAAGCAGACGAAGAAGATGGAGAAGAAAAATAACAAGGGACTAACGTAAGACAGGCAAGGTGCTCTTGGCAACTTTTGTACCTCTGTAGAATACTCGAGACAATGTGCTCCCTCCATCGGGAAACCATGTACAATGTTGGCAAGGTAGGGTCACGGAAGGAAGAAGAGGAGGGGGTATTGGGTCGTTCCCTCATGCCGGGGTCTCCCTGGTCTCCCTAGTCCATGTTGCAGCTTCCCATCCGTTGGATTTGCGCCGGTGAGGTGAACGCGTCCAAGTTGGTTGGTCCCCTTCTCGTCCAGCTCCAGCTCCAGCTTCTCGCCCGAGCCGTATGCTGCCCACCTCCCTCTCTGTCTGCCTCGATGTCTCTCGACGGAAGTCTCGAGGGGCGTTCCCTCACGTTTACTTTCTGTGTATCCGTAAAGTGACCCTCCCCATCCTACCATCTGCCTTCCTGTCGTACCCCTACCCATCTCGCCAGGAAGTCCTACCCATCCCACACACCTTCCTGTCTTTGGTCTGGTCCGTTTCTACACATCCAACGACTTTCCCCCGGTACCTTTACAGATACCCTACATGGTACTTTTACATGGGGCAATGCACCTGCACATGTCGTCGCTCCCGTCGTCCTCGTTGCGCCTGGCTTGTTCCTCCCCCTCTGCCTTAGCTCCCCCGTCCCCGTCTCCGTCTCCCATCCCGGGTGCTGTCTCGAACCTTTATTAAACGGCATCCCGCGCCGCCTCCCTCTCTGTCTCGTCCCTTCTTGTTGTCCCTTCCACCCCTCATACTCTTGTATTTCCCTACAGAGTAACACCAGCTTTGTTACTCTCCCGTCGTCGACAAGGGCAAAGGTCACGACAAGCGCCAACGCGCCCTACTTCTTCAATAATCAGTCTCTAGCCTCTGTCCAGAGCTATCGAGCTTACTCTTCATCATGTCCAAGGAGGATGCCCAAGTCGGCGTGGTTCCGCCCACGTACGACTCCGAAAAGGGCGCTCGCCACACCGCCGGTGATGGCCATGTTCCCGAGAACTTCCGCGAGGATGACTTCATGACCCGCAATGGCCTGAACCTCAAGAGTTTCCAGCGCCGTGAGTACATTCCCCTTCAACCTCGTTCAAACTACTTTGCGGCCTGTCTCCAGCGGCCTAGTATCGCCTCGCCTCGCCTGGGTACCTCTTCAAGGATGGATTGCTAACACGGCATTCTTAGGTGACTGGGGAACCGGTGACACTGAGCTCGACCGCTCCATGAAGCCTCGCCACTTGCAAATGATTGCCATCGGTGGCTCCATCGGTGCTGGTTTCTTCGTCGGTTCCGGTAGTGCCCTGACCAAGGGTGGCCCGGGCTCTGTCCTCATCTGCTTCTTGATCGCCGGTGTCATGATCTTCAACGTCGTCTACGCTCTCGGTGAACTCGCTGTCCTGTACCCTGTCTCTGGTGGTTTCTACACCTACTCTATTCGCTTCCTTGATCCTTCCTGGGGTTTCGCTATGGGCTGGAATTATGTAAGTCACTTTTCACCGCACGGCGCATCGCATCGCAAAGCTCTAACATGTGGCAGGTCTTCCAATGGGTTATCGTCTTACCACTCGAACTAACAGTCTGCTCGTTTACGATACAATATTGGAATAAAGATATAAGTGTCGCAGTATGGATCACCATCTTCTGGCTCTTCATCATCTTCGTCAACGTTTTCGGAACCTTGGGCTTCGCCGAGGAAGAGTTCGTCTCCTCTGCGTTCAAGCTCTTTGCCACCGTCATCTTCATGGTCGTCGCCCTTATTCTGATCTGCGGCGGTGGCCCCGAGGGTGGAAAGTACGATGAATACTGGGGTGACCGTCTCTGGAGCGACCCTGGTGCGTTCCAGAACGGCTTCCGTGGCTTCTGCTCTGTCTTCGTTACCGCCGCTTTCGCCTTTTCCGGTACTGAGCTTGTCGGTCTCGCTGCTGCTGAGTCCGCGAACCCCGCCAAGTCCCTTCCTGGTGCCATCAAGCAGGTGTTCTGGCGTATTACCCTGTAAGTCCTTCTCAAGTCAAACGTTTAGAGCTCCGGCTAATCATACTCATCAGTTTCTACGTCTTGGGTCTTACCTTTGTCGGCCTTCTCGTCAGCTCTACCGATGAGCGTCTCCTGAACTCCGCCAACCCCTACGCCGATGGTGTCTCCCCCTTCGTCCTGGCCCCTCTTGATGCCCACCTCTACGGATACGACAGCTTCATGAACGTTGTCATTCTCGTCTCCGTTGTCTCTATTGGTGTCTCTTGCGTCTACGGTGGTTCCCGTACCTTGACCGCCCTTGCCCAGCAGGGATACGCTCCCAAGATCTTCACCTACATTGACCGATCAGGCCGCCCCCTGCCTTCCGTCGTCCTCAACCTCGCTTTCGGTGGTCTGGCTTACGTCCGCATGGCGTCTTCCGGAGGTGTCGTTTTTGACTGGCTCTTGTCGCTCTCTGGTCTTGCAGCCCTTTTCACCTGGGGCTCCATCTGCGCCGCCCACATTCGGTTCCGCTCTGCATGGAAAGCTCAGGGCCACACCCTCGATGAGCTTCCCTTCCAGGCCATCGGTGGTGTTGCTGGCTCTTGGCTCGGCCTGCTCCTGATTGCCATCTCTCTGATCGCCCAGCTTTTCGTCGCTATCTGCCCACCTGGTGGCGGTTTCGCCACCGCTGAGGACTTCTTCAAGGCTTACCTTGCCCTGCCCGTCGTTCTCTTCTTCTGGGCTTGCGGATACCTGTGGAAGCGCAAGGGATTCTTGAAGCTTTCCGAGATCGACCTCGACACTGGTCGCCGTGAGGTTGACTGGGATGAGGTCAACGCCTACCGCGCGAAGGTTGCCGCCTGGCCCACGTGGAGACGGTGGGCAAGCACCATCTTCTAAAAGCTTCGCTGTCTTTTATATACTTGCTGGATTGTCTAGCACCAAAGGGGAGGAAGCATCTGGGGAAGATGTAAATAGGAGACGTTAGCCCAAGAGCAGCTTTGGCTCTAGGCGTGTCTCACTATCATGATACCTATCTATTTTCTGAACTTGTAATCAGCAATGATGTCCCTATCATGGGCTTCAATACAGGGTTTTATTGAACCATATCTACTATAGTGCCATATACGCGCCTGTGATGATTTAGTGTGTAGCATTAAGCATCATGTGTGACTGTACTCATACGCTTCTGCCGGGAGGACCTCGATTCTGGGTTAGGTCCTCGTCAGGAAATCGGCGATGGTGCCATTTTACCCCGCGTTTACTACATCCAGACCAAATCACCCAGAGGTGGAGGCTTCGGTCACCAAATAATATGGTCTGCATTCCGTTCCTTGCACGGAAACACGATCTGATTATCATCGCTCGATCGGTCGTTGCAAGAAGGTTTTTGGAAGCGGGTTAGCGTGGGCTGGCTGATGCCGGCCTCAACCCCCCCGGAGCATGGAGGCTCCACAACGGCCCGAGGTGGACGACGCTATCGACGGGTGGCTTGGATTTGTCGCGTGCCGAAGTTCCGGATAAGGTCCGATAGAGGGATGTTGAGTGGTTGATTGCGGGCGTGAGGGGATGGAAACTGGCTCTGTTCTGTAGACGCATCATTTCAATCTTTAGTGTGATATTCTCCAGTTATAGATTCCGTGTAGAGCTTGCTAGTAGACAAATGCGGATCGGAGAAGTGAGGACGACGATGCTCTCCACAGGCGATGTCGGACAGGCATGCCTGGCCCCTTCTCGAATGGAGTATGAATCTTTCGTAATGCCTGAACGCATATTTCAACAATCCTCGATTGAATGGACGGTGAGACGATTGGAATTCACATGAGTCATCTTTCGATCCATTACATGCGCTTTTCAACGGCTCTTGTTTACGGGCCCCTTGTGTTCCAATCGGTCGGGGAGTGGATACCTTTTCCGGACCGGTAGTGGGGCCGTAACCTGTTGGATCTCCGGTGCCAAGCTAAACGTCAAAGCTGGGCTCAACAGTCTACCTTCAAGGCTGGCGCAGACATTCTTCATCGTTTAGAGGCATCAACTCGGCCGCCCAGGTCAGACTGGCTCGGCGGCAGAGTTATCGAAGGTTAATAATCGATTCCCCCCAATAGCCTGCTAACCCTCCTCCTCAATACTAAACCCGGGGCAGCTTCAAAGAATTGCTCGTTGCGATGTCAATCACGTTGTCCCTCTCGATCACAGCGGTTTCAAAAGACACCTTGCAATTCAAGGTAATCATTCACCTCGTAGACTGTAACACACAAATCGCCCTCAAAGCTTCGCCCCCTCCCGCAACCCAACCTCAATAACCCCCTGCACCGCACCCGGCACCCTCCAAATCTTGACGACCCTCAGCCCGGCCGACTCAATCAGCGCCCTCCACTCCTTCTCCGTGCGCTCTTGCGCGGCGCCAAACGCCATCATGCTGATGTCGAAGACGGCGGCGTGCGGATGGACGACCCGGACGTCGTCGTCCATGATTTGGTCATGGATCAGGATCCTGCTGTTGCCCCCGGGCTTCAGGGCGGCCTTTTGCATCTCGAGGATTCTGCGGGCTTGTTTGTCGGGCCAGTCGTGGAGGATGTGGTGCATGTAGTATGCGCGGGCGTCTATTGTTTTTTGTGAGCCTTGTTCAAAGCTTCAAGGAGATGGGAGCAGGGGTCGGCGTACGCTTGATCGGCTGAGGCGTATAAAAGTCATACGCCACCTTGTTGATTTCCTTCAACACATTTGTCTTCTCATCCGCCAGAACAGACGGCAAATCTTCCAAATACAACCTCGACGCCGTCTCCGGGTGCAGTTCATAAAACGCCTGCAGATCCTGTCCTACGCTCCCGCCGATATCCACCAGCAGCGGCGAGTCCGGGTCGTCGTCGCCGGAGCCGCTGTCCAAGAGGGTGTGGCTGGGGAAGATGGACGTCCAACTGGCCCTGTTGAGTGTCGTCGTCCGCTGGAGTGTGTTGAAGGCCTCGCCTTCCGCCGGGTGGGCTTCGAGATAGGCGAAGAGGCCGCCTTGCCAGCCGTGGGCCGAGTCAAAGACTGTTTTGCGGGCGCTGTGGGGGTTTTCGTACGATGTTTCGCGGAAGAAGGTGGGCATGTGGGTGAACATTGGGACTGTGTGGTCGTAGCTTGCTAGAGGTCAGAAGTGTGTGTGTCGGAGAGAGCTGCTGGAGGGACAGGAGGGGAAGAGGATGTTTGTCTTACTAGAATGTAGCGGTGGTGCTAAAGGCCGAGTCCGCAAGCTGGTCGCAAAATTTCGTGGGCTTGTAGGTCTTCTCTGAAGTCATCTCTACGATGTTATTCGAGACCAGTAGGCGGAGGAGTCTATCTGGGAGAATATGAGATACTGCTATAAGATACCAGAGACGGGATAAGTCACAAAGTAAAGCGGCATCGCAGGACCCCTCCGCGAGGCCCGTTAGCTGAGCGCAAGTCATGGGTCTGCTTTCATTACCCTTCCATTTCTTAAAGATGTTGAGATCCTGCAGAATCTTGACAGATGCTAGGACAGCCGGCTGGTAGATGTCTAAGTCAGCAAGCTATCTTGAGCCATTCCCGTGAAATCAGTGACACTTACTTCGCTCAAGAAGAGTCTCACAAACGTCTCCCAAGGAGATTCGACATTCATCGTGAGCTCAGAAAGCTTTAGAAGAACTCGCGATCTGTCATCCTCGCTGAGGTTTTCGACCGATGTAGAAAGGGCTTCCGCTGAGCGTATGAAGTCTCCGACAGCATCATTCTCGTTCATCGTCGATGACATGCTGACTGTTTGTTAAGATACCCTGTTTTTGCGTCAATTTTCAAATTAGTCGCTTTGGCCTTTTCCTCGAAATAGCTAAGACGTTGACTTGAAGCAGGTAGCATAAAGCTTAGAGACTTCCGGTGAAGCTCCAGTCATGGATTTGATACTCCAAAAAAGAGAATGAAATTGCCAAGGGCAGCAAGCTCTTTATTAAAAGAAGACTTGAAGACGTTGCACCAAGTCCTAAGTCCCCGCCGAACACAGAGACTTGATTTGTAAGATATATGTGCCGTGATCTGCCATGGTATCACCAATATCCATGTACTCCCCGCAAGCCTAAATGACGAGCGGGGATAATTGGAGCGGGAACGGAGTTTTACACCAACCTTGCTCAAGAAAGTCAAACACTCCCGAAGCTTGGGCTTAATTTCAAACTCAATGTATGAGGAGACGTTATTCAGTCGTACTTGATTCGCTAGAATCTTAGATTGGATGGTGACAGACTCTGGATTGGATCTGGAGAAGAAAAAGGTGGTTTAGTCTGCGTACATAAACCACCGTGATTGACGCCAGCGCCCAGGATCCCCTATTATCAGCATTTTGCACTGACAAGGCCCGATATATGAGACGAGAAGCAGCGGAGACTCGGGCAAACACATCAACAAATTTAAAAGCAAGTTGTGGCCAGTGGAGCTGCCGGGTAACACAACTAACATAAGCGGAGGAGCGGCCTTATACGAAATACCTTGAGCTCCGTTCCCACTCTACGTGGATTCGTACCCTCATGGTAGGATGTGTAGAAAGACGAGATGTTGCATTGTCGATTCGGGTTACACATAACATCAAATCACCAGATATACTCCTGACATGCAACAAGACTTCTTTCCTGTTTGAGGAACAACATGATGATGGCTTTAATCCTATTGATCTTCCTGTTTTATGCGCAAGACAGTAGTGATAGTTTGAAATGAATAGACATGTACAGTAATCTCTTCCCATAAGCCGAGAGCCTGCAATCAAGATGAATCTCTCTACCCTCCTTCTTTTAACTTCTACAAGTCATTCAGCTTACTGGTTAGCTGGGAGTCTCATGCCTTCGACGGATTTATAGACCGGGGGATCTATGGTTCCTCGCGCCGACAGCGCACGCGTCTGGAGTTCATCTAGCTGAGTCTCAAGTCGCCCGCTCCGCAGGTTGAACTCCAGAATGGATGAGAACACGCGCAGCTAACAGGTTCAAGTTCCCAAGTGTCAAACCGACGGTTACCAGCCGCGTGGGAATGGTGTACGTCGGAAGCTGCTGTGGGACCCCTTGCCAGCCCCGATCGAAGCCGTGAAATATATCACGCAGATTACCTACTTGAACGTTCTTTCTAGGATCTTCGTTTGGTAGTCTAGATATGCTGTCATCTCATTCATCTCGTCGTCGCCTACGCCCCGTGAATGCTGTGGTTTATGGGGATCGTTCAGTGCAATCTTCCGCATTCCGGCTCTTGTTGCTTTTCTATCTGTCTGGAAGATCACTGCCACCATTCTGAGAGGAGATACGAGCCTGCCTAACATCGGTCGCCATTTCCCAAGGCAGCGGCGGAAGGCACCGTGTCCTCCATCGAAAACAACCGTAATTCGGAAAAAGATACGAGCAACGGCCATCCCGAGAAGGGTGAGCGTTGGTAAATCGGTGAGGAATAGAGACTAAGAAGACAAAAGAGTTCACCCCCCCGGTGGCGAATGGGGACTACATCTCTGGCGCACATGCTGGAATTTTTTGTCGACTCGAACACGGGACCTCTAAGCCTTCGCCGATTAGGCTGTTCGTGGACTTCAACCATTACACCACCCAGCCAGTTTTGACCTGACCCCCGAGGGGGCGCCCGCTGGCTGGTGACGGGAATGGGCTTGAGGGGGGGTATAAGGGGTTCTCGCGGAAGGTATGGGCAGGAACGGCTGGGCAAGCACCTGCCTTACAGGTCACTTCGTGACATTCAGTAGGATCTAGTGGAAGGAGGCAGGCGCGTGTCATTCTTGTTATCCACCAGAGAGCATGTTCAGTTCCGGTCAACCTGCGTTGATGTATTAAGCTATCAATCTCCGCTATCCGGATGGTGATGATGGAATCTACACCTCAACGCCGCCTAATGCACAAATCTAGATGCACCCATCTTTCCTTCCCCTCGTCAAGCACCGTATCCTGCCCACCCCGTCTCAGATCACTGCGTCTTCGGCTTTCTAAGCGGAGCAGTGACGGAGAAGGAGACTATGCTATACTCAGTCTTCTCGGCGTCCCGCTTCTCAATAGCCTTCTTCTCCTCCGCAGTCTTCTCTTCCTCGTCCTTCTTCTTTTTCTTCTCGTCCTCGTCCTTCTTCAGCTCCTTCATGACATTACCGTCACCGTCGAGCTCGACGACAACGTCGCGGGTGTCGAGGCTGCCGTCCTCGGTGTACATCCACATCTCCTTGAGCTCGCCGCGGACGAGACCAGTCAACCAGAGGGAGCTGAGAACGCCAGGGACGAGGTACAGTAGCGCGGGCTGGCCGTGCTTGAAGACGACCAACATGACTAGTGTAGTCACCATGCCGAAAGCGTAGCCGACCAAGGAGGCGTAAAAGTACGTCTTGCTGAAAGTCGATCCACGCACAGTCGGCGGCGCTGTTCCCGTTGCGGCCTTGAAGAGGCCCAGCCACGAAGGGGCGGACCAGAACCAGTCGCCCCAGCAGTTGGTGATGTCGAGGTAAGTGGCCTTTTGCGCAATGTGCTGGGTTTGGCTCACGGTGACCACGTCGCCAGAGGTCGCGTCGTGCTGGTCGGACTTGAGATCGGTCGGGATGTACTTGATCTGGCGCTGGTAGTGAAGCCACATGTCGAAGCGAAGGGCGAGACACATTACAATGCCCGGGACGACAATGTCTCCGAGTCCGAGAATACTGGACCTAGCGGCGGACTGGAACTGGAGCTTGATGGGCACATCGAGCTTGGTAGCAACCGTGATCATGTAGGGACTGGTGGATTGTCAGATGACTTGCGTCCAAGGGTGATTCACAACTGGGTTGAGTTGCAACTTACGTGTAGAAGACCATGATTATGTCGTAGAAGAAGAGTCCGATGAGCACCAAGCTTCCCGTCGCAAACGTCGTCGGAGACATCATGAGGAACGAGCCGTAGCAAAATCCGTAGCCCATGAAATTGGACAGGAAAGGCGAGCCAGACATGAAGTAGGCCACGACGGTGGCGATAGCCAGGTTAAGACCAACGACGTGGAGGATGGTCATGTGAAACTTCTCGCGAAGGAGACCGTGCAGCTTCGCCTTCACCGTCCACTCATCCGTCAAGACGTGGCGTAAATCCCACAGAACCCGGTTGGTCTTAATGCTGTTGAGGCGTACGATGCTGCGCAAACCAAAGGGTAGCGGGTTGCTCTTCTGGAGAACCTGCGCGTTGTTCCGGTCCACCTCCTCGCCTGTGACCTTGACGAAAGCCTCATCGTCGTCGTTGACGTTGTAGAGTGAGCCATCGTGGCGGAAGTAGTTGGGGAAGACGAATCCGGTGACAACCCGCAGCGAGTGTGCGATCAGAGTGGTCAAACTGGCGACACCCATGACGGACATGTAGACACGGAGGATCTTGTTGAGGATGGCGGGGTCCTGGAGCCATTGAATGAGGTAGTAGAGGCCGATGAGCATGGTACCTGCCAGGATCGGGAAGAGAATGGCGTCGGTAGGCATGAGACCCTCCGTTATAGGCTCATCCTCCTTGCGTTCTTTCCCATCCTTGCGCTTCTGAGGAGCGGCAGAAGGCGGGCGGCGTAGTGAGCCGTGGGCGCCGATGTAAATGATGGCCAGGGCGCTGAAGATGAGCTTGGCCTCCATCGTCAAGAAGCTAGCATACTGGGTGAAGCCCCATTCCACGGCGGCAGCGGTGACGTTTCCAGCTGTCAAGTTGCCAGTGAGGTTGCCGGTGAGGTTCTGGGCAAGCTCATCAAACGGCGGGTTGATGGGGCTGGGGACCGGTGAAGCCATGTCGTCGCTGTCGCTGTTGGTGTCAGACTTGCTGTCGTTCCTGGGTGCTAGGATAAAACTATCGGTCCAAGGGCCGAGAAGACGGAAACAATCGTCCGAGGTAAGTGAAGCTCGTGATAGTCGTCAGGATGAAGAGACGGAAGCAGAGTCTGAATGAATGAGAGGATGGCCGTTAAAAGTGGCAAATAGAGAAGCCGGGTCCCCGTAATTATTTTATGCCCTCGGAAAGGACCACTGGCGGTCAAATGCTGAGAAAACGTCAGAAGCAATACCAAATCTCTCGGTACTATTCTGATTCTTACCAAATAGTGAATGCAGAAGTTGAAGCCACCTGTTTTTGGAGATGGGTCGGACGAAAGACGACACGGTGTTTCCTGCCCTGCCTGATAAAAAAAAAAGGTAAGAAGTCAATTCTGAGAATCAATTTCCGCCCAGGTCAGATTTTGCCACAGGTAATGGGGCAGGCAGGCAAGTGAGAAGTGTCTTTTGTTGAGACGAAATGGGACTCCGAACGTCCCAAGAAAGATAGATTCGCCGTTTGGTTTATCTTCTTCTGGAGACAAGTCGCACCTTGCCCGTGTCCAAACTCTTGAAAGGCGGTATCGATATCCGTGCGGCGCGAGCGTTGCTGCAGGAGGTTCGCCCTGCGCTGGTCCAGATTGGTACGGTAGTTGACAAGTGAGAAGTGAGGTAGGTACCTAAGCTGCGCTCAGCTTAGGCAAGGCATGCGGGGGGAGGCTTCAGCTCCCATGGCCCCCCACCTCAGCGCTGTAAACCATCGACACCACGAGACACCAGCTCAAATGTGCAACATGGAATAAACATCTACGAATACACCACAAACACTCAACCCCTCAGATCTATAAGACAAATATCATTGAATCACAGACATGAGCAGCGTCTGAAGTGTACATGACCTAGTGGAGGAAGTAATAACGCATAATTGGGTCCTGCAAAGGTTGCGAGTTCGAATTCGGTGGTCCTACATAATGCCACAGACAGCTCATTTTTTGGGCTTGTGTACCTACCTACCTTAGAGACCTCCAGCTCCCAGTGGCGCACCTTCACCCCAGAAGTGGCTGAAGCTCCCCCTGGCCAGCCACCATGGAAAAGCGCAATCCGCAATCGGGCGCGATTCGCGACTGGACCTGACTGGCGTGCGACCGCAAAACCTCAATCGCATCGCATCACCAGCCTCGCCCAGAATAATCCTCCGTGATCCCCTCCACCACCAGCAGCAAAACCACAGTCTACGACAATCCGCGCAGCAAGCACAGCTGCCAATTCCTCAAAATGACTACCAACGTCTCCCTCGAGACCTCAATGGTACGTCCAAACATCCTCCACCCCCCTCAACCCACCCACCAAACATCCAGTTGCCAATGCGACAACCCTCAAGCTAACCACCTCTCCCCTCCAAACAGGGCACAATAATCCTAGAACTCTACACCGCCCACGCCCCCAAAACCTGCACAAACTTTGCAACCCTCGCAAAGAGAGGCTACTACAACAGCACCGTAATCCACCGCATCATACCCAACTTCATGGTCCAGGCCGGCGACCCGACAGGCACAGGCCGCGGCGGCACCTCAATCTACGGCGAAAAGTTCGCAGACGAGATCCACGCGGGGCTAAAACACACCGGCGCGGGAGTGCTCTCCATGGCAAACGCGGGGCCCGATACAAACGGCTCTCAGTTCTTTATTACCCTTGCCCCGACCCCTTGGCTCGATGGGAAACATACCATCTTTGGACGGGTCAAGAGCGGGTTGAGCGTTGTCAAGAGGATGGGGCTCGTCAAGACGGGGCCCGAGGATCGGCCACTTGAGGAGGTCAAGATCATCAAGGCTTCCGTTGTTGAAGAGGGCGGCGACGAATAGCCAGCGAGGTGGTGGTATAGGTCTGCCTGCCTAGAGGGGCCGTATTGTCAGCATCTACACGGAGTTTGGCGTTTGGTCGAGCAGACCGTACACTGGGAAAAAAGTTATATCCAATCCATGTCGTCTACATCTTTCACGTGGTCATAAATCAAATAGAGTATGATAAATCACAATCTTCAAACTCAATGGGGGGAATCAATATCATTTGTCACAATGCCTATAAAATGTAGCCGCAATCTCTAAACGCCGCCATCCGCCTCGCCAGGCGATGCACACGAGTATGGAGGGAGGAAACCTCCTCATCCCTAGAAGACCTTCCCCGACTGACTCCCTGACCATGCATTGTTGAGTATCGTGTATCGAATGTCGATCTTCTCGTCGACCAGGGCTTCAGATTTTTGATGAGTACAGAAAGAAAAGAAGAAATCGGCCAGGAACCTGGCTCTGTTGCCAGTCCCACGACCCTATTCTTTCGTCGTAGAGTGCGGCCCAGAGAAGTAAGGTATGCCCATCCCGGCTGATATCTGACGCCGGGCCCGGGACACTGAAAGGAAAAATTGTGGTAATGGATACAAAGGAGCGATATCAAGAGCGACGCCGTTTGTTGGCCCGTTTCTCATGCTCATCCGAGGCTCTCTTTTTACCTCGGGCTGGCGGCTGGGCCTGAACGGTAGATCGACTTTTGGCGGGCTTTTTGCCTTCAGTTGGAGGCGTTCGACTTCCAGTGGTCTTGGAACGTGAAACCCGTCTCGTGGATCGAACCGTGTCTTGAGAAGGTTCCGGCGAGTTCGAGTTTGCGGTAGAACGACCAGAAGAGTTGCTTTGAACGGAAGAGGTGCTTGAGACAGACGCCAGTCGCTGTCGAGTTGGCTGCGGCTGCGGCTGCGGCTTCGACTGTGGAGGTGAGCGTTTGACTGACGAAGGCGCCGATGTGCGCTTCATAGCCAACAACTCGCTTGGTCTCCTAAGACCACAGCCGGCCGTTCTTTTGACACTGGGTTTTGAGCTGGTCTTTGTGCTGCTCGTTGCGCTGGTCGTTTTGCCGCCCGTTGTGCCGCTCGTCGTGCTGCCAGGCTTCTAGTGTGGCGGCGACGACAATGTGCCGGACGATTCTGACTCTGCATCTTCGTCCTTCTCTTTCCCGTTCCGACCATTCTTGGATAACGGCGAGGACAAGGGCGGCTTGGCGGCACCGAGCTTCAGCTTCTTGGCCGGACTAATGCCCTTGGCTTCCTTCTTCTCCTTCTTTGGCGCAACTTCAACGGTAGAGTTGTCGCCGTCGTCCGCCTTTGCCTCACGACTCAAAAGTGAGCTCGTCTTCACCTTTTCCTTCTTAGGACCTTTTGTTTTGAGGATGACCTTTTTTGTCATCAAGGGCGTCGACTTCAACTTCTTCTTCTTATGGCTGTCTCCCGATTCGTCCTCGTCTTCAGGTGCCGCCACCTCCTCGCTGTCGCGCTTCTTAGGGCTCGAGGCCCGCGATGCAGGCGCCGGTGTTGCCTTTTGGCTTGATGGGGGTGTTCCGTCGTGCTGGCTAGCGCCATTGCTGCCATTTGAGATCTTTGCTGCCGCAGCGCGACTGGCATTGCGTCCGCTATTTCCAATGCAAGAGCCCATGTGGTTGTTGAGACGGGTGACAAGAATGCATCGTTTGCACTTGCTGCAGGTTGCGGAGGGAAATGAGAGCACGTTGGCTGGTCGCGCTTCTCCAGGACCGGCTGACTCGATATTCGGATCGGGCTTCATATCCTTCTTCTTCTTGCCGCGGCCGGGACCAGGCTGAACCCAGGTCTGCCCGTAAATGTCGTAGCCGGGCTTGTCGATGTAGGGGTGCTTCTTGCAGTAGATGACGCTTGGATCGGGCTTTCGCGCGCCTTTGCCATCGGTCGGGTAGAGCAGGCGAGGTAGGTGGCATCTGGGGCACAGGATCTCGGATGTGGTCTTGAGGGGGTTGCCCTTGAGCAGAACCTTGCCGTCTTCGTATATCGCAGCGTCGGTCTCTATTCGCACGTCTGGCTTCGAGTCGGGGGTAGAGCTCTCTGATGCATCGGAAGCCAGCTTCTCGACACGAATGGCAGCGGTGGACGCTCTCGCCATTTTCTCGTCGCGGTGGACTTTGAGCAGCAGGTCATGTACAATGTTGTACATGAGATCGTCGAGGACAGCGTGTGCCTGTTGTCCAATAACAGACCGTGGTCAGCATCATGTCAAGTCATCAGCCATGGCGAGCAGTCGCCCATCCCAGCCGCAGCGATTCGTAGAATGGAATGGCCGCGATGATTTGAGTAAGACTGGGGAAGGAAGGGGAGAGCAGGGGATGGAAGAAGACTTACAAGCTTGTCCATGTTGCCAGCGTCGTCGGGAGCGACAATCACTCCAGCCTTTCCTGTATTGGAAGCCATCTCGACGAGGCCGACGGAACGGCGCACAGAGGCTGAAGGGAGTAAGATGCCGTCGTGATCGCAGCCTCGGAGGGCGGATAGCTATGTGGTCGTGTGCAGGAAGAAATGTGGTTTGTGGAATCTGAATCGGGTTGACGGGTAACTAAAATAAGGTGCCACACGGCCGGTCGAGGGGCGGGTGGTTCAGCAGCCGCAGCAGTGAGCACTGAGCAAGTCGTAGTATGTAGCAGCAGGTGCGGTGCAGTGCAGGGGGAGATGAGGTCAAGCTGAGCAAATGGAAAGGAACGACCGACCGACGCCGCCGCCAGGGAAGGGTTAGAGGGAAAAAAGTTTCGGAACCTTGCTTTGCTGAAGTAATAGGTAAGGGTGCAACAGCGATGGCGAACAAGCAACGGACACAAGGATTTGCGGTTAAGGTGTAGGTAGGTAGTCTCCGATGAGCTAGGGGGTCGACTTTCCCTTTGTCGTACCACGCGAGAGGCCCTATGCCGAATCTGGATAGGACGGGGGGGTTGAAGGTGCGAGGCGAGAGAATCCGATGGTCGCGGCCAACGTCGGTGTTGGTTGACTGGCGGAAAAAAGAAGGTAATTGGTTCAAAGGGTGAGATGATAGGAAGAGAGAGAGAGAATTGCTCGGGGTAAGGTGAGCGAGGTAAGATCCTCTCAAAGCCCGGTGAAAGATGAGGTGAGGTGGTTGATGGGGGATTGGAGAAGGAGAGAGTGCGAATTTGGGTGGGTTTTCCGGATTACCTTAGCAGATTGCTCAGGCATCGTTGGCAAGGGAATTGCGGGAAAGAGCGACTTTGGTAAGAAGCCCGGAAGCAACTTCCCAAAAGTGTCAACGTCGATCTGCGGGCCGCCTCACTCACAACCACTTGCAAATGAAGCAGGAACCCATTGGGCAACCTACAACCCAGTCCCTTCCTTTCCTTACCTTACATAAGGTATAGGTAAGGTAGTAAATGCAACAGATAACAAAGTCCAAGGTGTCATATCTTCAATTGGATGGCTTCCGTTACAGCATGATGTAAGCATCCTTCTTCAATCAAGACAAAAAGGTCCAAAGAGAAATCATCGAGCGGTGCTGACTTTCCCCAGACTACCTATTCCGCCCCACGATCCAACACAGCACCTGAATTCTTTGCAGATAGCAAACAAAATGACAACCCTATGCACCAATGCACTTTCAGTTACATCCACGCTGCCAAACACACTCGCAGAACAGGGAGACGGGCTTGGATGTCATCCCATCCCATCCAAGGATCCCGTCATGGAAACTACGGAGCGGATACAGTGTCCCCATCGGCGCATGCATGTGCCTGACTTTAGTCCCCTTTTCGCCTAGGTACCATAGCCAAGGTGCACAGGGGTCCAAGGGGCTAAATTCCGGTCAACAACTTACCATCATTATGAACTTCTTTCCGGGATACCTTGATTGTAATACTCCGAGGACATTGTCAGACAACTAGCAAAAAAGCAGTGAGGGAGGGACGACAGAGTCATCGATAGCGGTAGCAAAACAAACTCTGCATATGGTGAGCGGTCATGGTTCTGCCATCCACCTCACACTCTCAAGCTACCTAGGTAAACCCGAGAGCAGCAACTACCTATTTCCTGTGGAAGAGATCGATTCACCTACGAGGTGTTGTGTTGATAGTTGATCAGACCTTTTTTTTTTTTTTTTTCAACCTCGCCGACACACTCCCTCCATCCAAAAGAACACCCTGGTAAGTATGCTGTAGACATCGTCACTGTCGAGTCAAGACGGCGGTTTGCCAGGGGTTCGCTCTTCTTCCATGATTCGTTCAGAGAGTCTAACCATCCATCAGTCTCTGAAGTTCATGCAGTACTTGTTAGCACTACCACTCCCCGGTGCCCCTCCAATTGGCTTCGTGGTCTCTTTATACAAGTACGGAATACGGAGTGCATGTAATACAGGATATCTTTAGCACAATACCATCTCCGACATTCGTCACTCTACAATGACTCCAGGGACGAGCCGGTGGAGCCGTCGCTCTCCCGCCGGAGCCTCCAGAGCCGCGTCTGGCCGCATCTCTTAGACTCTTACACAGTAATTGGCATCGGGGCTGACCGAACGCAGCTGTCCGTTTGAGCCTCTGAGGGTGTACGAAGTACAGAGTACCTGTCTCCTTTCCAGAGTCTGCCCAGGGAGAAGGGGCCACCAAACCTAAACCGAGTCACGACTTGCACCACCTTCCGTCTCGCTGCAAGGAACCGTCTACCTGCCCTGCATCCCGAAAAAAAAAAAAAAAAAAAAAGTCGCAACCATTCAGAGACAGTGACTTCCTAAACCTCTCGCCTAACTCCCCTTTCCCTCTTTCCCTGCATTCATCGTCACCGAATTATTGGAAACGAGACATCACCAAATCCCAAACCAGACTCTTTAAGTACCGCACGCGTGTAAATGCTCACGCCTTCGCGCACGCGCAACTGGAGTTCTGTCTGCTCGGGAATTATTTGACAGAGTATCATCCCTCCAGCTCGAGTGCTCGATCTACCTTACCTTGCTACCCTGCTGTTCCACATTTTCTTTCCCGCCATCCTCCCGCCAGTCTCGACAACTCACCTACGAATACATTTCCCTCCTTCACAAGCCAAGCAAACGAACGATCCTCCGCCCAACACACACAGCATGTCTCTCCCCCAGACCACGACAATGAAGCAACCACCGACCCAGTCCTCCATTAAATCCTTCTTCCAACCCCGCCAGCAACCCTCCTACGCTCCGCCGCCCCCAGCGTCAAAGTACGCCCCCGCGCCGTCATCGAATGGAACAGCAGCTGCCCCTCCTCCCACGACTAAACCCCCACCATCGTCAACATCACCACCACCACCTCCTCCTAAATCCTCAGTGACGACGGCGACAACAACGACAACACCACCGAGAACTTCACCTCCAGCAACGACACCGCAAACATCACAACCGCCAGCCTCGACGCCCCTCCACCCGAGCGCCTCGATCCGCCCCGTCTCAGACCAAGACCTCCAACCCCTCCGCCGCATAAACTCCCTCCTCCTCCCAGTAGCCTATCCAGAAACCTTTTACGCCGCAGCCCTCACGGGACCCTTCTCCCGCGTCGTCACCTGGCGCGACCAACCCACCACAAACTTCTCTCAGGAAATCGTCGTCGGCGGCGTCGTAGCCCGCATCGAACCCTCCCCCTTTCCTTCCGCGACCCCGACTCCGACCCGCCTCGAACACGCCCTCTACATCCAGTCCCTTGCCCTCCTCTCCCCCTACCGCTCCCATGGCCTCGCCACCGCCGTGGTAGACCACCTCATCGCCGCGGCCGCAAACTCCTCCCCGGACGTCAACCTCCGCCACATCTACGCCCACGTCTGGACCGACAACGAGGAGGGTATGCGCTGGTACGCCGCCCGCGGCTTCGAGCGATACGGTGAGCCGCTGCAGGGGTACTACATCAAGCTCCGTCCGGACTCGGCCTGGATCGTCCGCCGCGCCGTCGGTCCTCTGTCCATCGGCGGGCAGCAGCAGTCCTTGTCCTCTGACAGAGCCACGGCACCACCTCCGATCCCGGGTCCTACCGCGGCCGTCGCGAACCTACCATCCATGAACGGAGGCCCTCCTCCGCCGCTGTCGAGGACAATCTCGGGCACATCCTTCCAGAACCGCCGCGCCGCGACAGAGTGGAACGATCTCCCCGACGAGATGGCATCGGCCAAGCTCGCGCCTCCCAAGAGCAGCGGCGGCTCGGGCGCGAGTTCCCGGAGCAGCTCGACAGTGAGGAAGAAGAAGGATAGATCCTACCCGGCTGCTGCCTTCCAGGGTTAGGCGCAAGAAGGGGCATGTCTCCCTCGATCGTGCCAAGGCCAAGGAGTTTAATACGCCCAGAAAGCGGCAAATTGAAGAGTTGCAATCACATGCAAATCAAGATATTTAAGAATCATCAGCTGGCACCCTGACGAGTAGGACACCAGGACAGGCAGGATACCACAGCTTCATCCCAACCGCCGAGAGCACAGTTGACTCCATCGCATTCATCATCTACATCACAAGATGCGAAGATGAAGAGAGAAACAAAACACTAGAAAAGATTCGCCCCCACAATTTAGAGGCTAGCCTGCTATAGACGTTTTGAACTTTCGTTTTTAGAGAAGAATAAAAACAAGACAAGTATTTAAACAGGTAATGCGTTTTGAACAAAAACCTTTCCCAACGCAAGCAAGGTTTTTCTGTTTTGCTCAGGCCCAACTCCGGTATTTCCCCCCTTTGTGTGTGTGTGGAATCATGAAGAAAATGATCAAATCAATCCCCAATGCCGAAAAAAGAAGATGCTCACACGGATGGGGACACAGACAATCAAAAGGAGGGAGTCACATCTCCCTCTCTTCTTGTCTGCTGTCCCAAATGACTGGTGGGTTTTGCTTTTCCCACACTTCCTTCCACCCTTTCCCATTCCTCAATGTCCCCCATTCATTCATCTCTCTTATACTTCGTTCATCATTGACGGTTATACCGAGACCACCAGACGGCCGCAATGGCTGCAACACCAACGATGCCTCCGATGATCAATGCCGTGTTGGTTGTTGACACCTCTTCGCCTGTAACGCACGCACAAAATGTGATTAGCCGACAGTCTCACAATGCATCGCAGCGGGAAGTTCATCACGGTCGAGATCGCCCTTTGTCTCGGCGACTCCAGTGACTAGCAACTTACGTTGTTCAGGGATAGAGTCAAGTTCCCTCTTGACATTCTGTCTGAACTCGGTCAAGACGTCGCCCTCCTTCTCCATGCCAGCTGCCACAAGGGCAATGAGGGCGGCGCCAACTCCACTTCCGTCCTTAGCGATGCCAATGCGGATCTTGTCAGCACCCTTGGGGCCGATGCTCTCAATGGAGCGGAGGGCCTCGTAGATCATGTCTCTGAAGAAAGGGTAGTGCTCAACCAAGCTGCCGTCGACACCAACGTCAATGACCTCCTCCGTCTCGTCGTCAAGCTTGCCGGATTGGAGAACAATGGCGCCAATGGCGACAGCTGACAGGCGAGCTGCGCGACGGCCGACGGAACCGGCAACGGCCTTGAAGGCCTGGGCATCCTCGAGCGAGGGGCTGTACACCAGCATCTCGGACTCCAGCTGCTGTCTCAGGGTTGACAGCTCGGGGGTGTTGTCAGCAGCGGCAACGGACATGATGGAGCTATCCAGGCCCCACTGCTTGAACATGCCGGACTGAGCACCGATGCTTGTTGTGGACTTCCAGTCGTTGAAGCTAGAGTTCTGGTCCTTAAACAGGGAAAGCTTCTCGTCCTTGAGCATGTCAAGGATGGTCAGACGGACAATCTCGCCCAAGAACATGCCAGAGACACGCTTCTCAAACATCTGGATGCCGGGGTTGACACTGGCCTTGTCGAGAGCATCATCCCAAGGGGTGTTGGGCAATACGTTGAGCTGGTTGTCGAACGAACCCCACTCAGTGTTGACAACCATCTCGCCGGTAGCAGCCTCGAACTCACCGACGATGGGCTTCTTGATGTTGGACAGCTTCTCGAGGTAGGCGCCGTTGGTGCCAGTGCCGAAAATGGCACCCAAGATGGAGCCGGACTTGCCGGTAGAGGTGTAGGATCTCGCCATCAGGGTTCCGACGGTGTCGTTGACGAGAGCAGCAACGCGGACGGGGAGGTGCAGCTTGTCGATCTCGACCTGCAGCAGAGCACAGACATCCTTCCCGACGGCATCGGGAATATCGAAGCCCTTGGTCCACCGGATCAGGTTGCCCTTGTTAATGCCAAGCTGCTGAACGGGGAAGCTGAAGGTGAAGCCCAGGCGGAAGACATGCTCGTCACGGTAGCCCTCGGGGGCGCTATAGGTTTGGCGGCGGCGAATGTGCTGCTCAAAGTGCTCGGCGTGGTGTTCGCGGAGGAAGAGCTCAATCTGTTTGGCGAGGAAGGAAAAGAGTTCCTCAGCGGTCTTGGCGACCATGAGCTCCTTGGGGATCGCGACCTTGCTGTATGTGAGGTTGAAGGTAGTGTCACCGTTGAGCTGGACAGAGCACACGCGGAAGTTGGTGCCGCCGAGGTCGACAGCGAGGTATAGGCCCTGCAACAAGTGTCAGTGAGTGCACTCCCCGAAGTGGGTTCGCGAATGCAAAGCTTCGTTGCTGCGCAATTTACCTTTTCAGTGCCATTGGGCACGCCAGTGACGTAGGTCGGAATCTGGCTCATGCTAGATCCATCCTTTTCCAGGCCAGTTTCTGTGAATTGCCCAGATCAGCTTACTTTCCTCGACTGCTGAGTATTGCCGAGCAAGACTGTTTTTTTTTTATTCCGGCGCAAATATTTGGCCGTGACAAAGACAGTTCCCGCAGGTGAATACTTGCAGAGAACGGGAGCGCGAAGGGAGAATTGGCAAACTTACGCATTTGGCCAAGGAATTCGCTGACGGCACGGTTGAGGTATGCATCGGATAGCTCGAACTGGTCGACGACGCGTTTTGTCTCTGCTTCGAGCGCCATTGTGAGAGGTATGGAGATTGGCGGCGTGGTTGGAAAAGGCGCTGGGTTTTCGCAGACGGGCTCCTGGAAGATTTGTGCCGAAGGAGAGTAGAAGGGAGGAGGCGGGTAGAAGAAGTTGTGAGAGGGGAATAAGTAGGAGCGAAGCTGCAGTTGGAGGTGCGGCGGAAGGAGCTTGGCGTCTCGGAGGAAGAGCTGCGTGAGCTGTTTTGGTACAAATTAGTCCAAGGCAACCTTCGTCGAAAGAGGGAGATGAAGTGATTCTCCAGATAAGAGAGAGAGAAGATATGAGGAGAAAAAGTTTGAACTTGGGATTTCAAACGAGGCAAAGCCAGGTAAGGTAGGAGGGTGAGGAAGGTGTGGGACAATGGGAGAAGAAGGTCGGACAGAGCGAAGGTGAGGAAGTTTTTGGGGGAGCTTTGAGGATGATGTATGTGACGAAATCGCAGTGGAATGGACGGGGGATGGGGTTCAATTGGCATGGGAGCGAACTTGGAGCATGGGGAGCAGGTGTGGAGCTGATGGTTGCTGGTCCCATGGAGCAGGGCGACAGGCATGCAAGGACCGTAAGGTATTCGCCAAGGTACCTTGTCAGCACTCAACACCACCACCAGAAAGCAGTGAGGTAATGTCGTGGTGGGGTGACTGAGGTGGTCCGTCTCGTGCTACAATCCGTAGACACGATTTTTCCTCAAGCTCCAAGCCCCCAAGACTCTTGTCTTCCACCTTGGGTAACACAAGTCCACGACATTTTGGCAATTGGCCATCATGACAGAGGTCGCCCAGAATAGCGAAGGCGAGGCCAAGGATACGGAACAGGGACGATATGACCAAGACCCTGCCACTGGAGTTGTTGTTGACTAACTCTCAGTTGATGATGCCCCGGGTCTGCATGTGGGATGCAAATGCCATTGGGTCACATCCAGGCCTTCAAGTTCTGCATGTCTCGAGACCTTTGTTTTCCCGCCTTTCCAGATGTTGGGCCGGACGGAGGACCAAGCTGCGTGACGAGAATAGGGTCTTCTGCAGCACGATCCAGCATGGTGAATGGACGGCTACAGCTGCGTGATGTGAGGCGAGATGCGTGGCCGCGGAAAGCTGGAACTGGAACTGGAACTGGAACCTGAACCTTGGAACCAGCTCTGCCCTGGGGGGGTCGACTACTGCGGGGAATCGTGCGCCCGTGTGTATCCGTACAAAGTAGGTCCAGTAGCGTAATTCAGCGAGAGAGACCACCCAGATTGCCCATAGTTTGGCATGACGACAAGGTACGAAGGCGGCGGCAGAGTCCGGTCAAGTGTTCCGTTCCTTGGCCTTGGCTCATGGCCCTGCTGGCAAAAGCTCGGGAGCCGAAAGCAGCCCTGGCCGCTTGCCATTGGATCGTGGCATCAGCTTCGGCCCCGCCGTTGGCCCCAATTGGGTTCCGGCGAGGTCCCGATCATCGATTGCCTCTCATCTCTCGTGTCGCTCGCTCGATTTTCTCGCCCGTTTCTCCCTCACCGAGTTCCCAGCGCGTTGCTGTCCGTTCTGGCCTGGTCTGCTGCGGCTGTGCGAACAATAAGGCAGGTAAGGTAGCCAACCGCTTGACCATCCATGGTGAAGATTCACTCAAGGAGAGTCTCCGGCGCTTCTCCCGGCGCAAGTCGTCTGCATGCTGCCACCCATGTCTCCTGCTCCCCAACAAGCAGATTCCCCAAAACCTGGGCCCCCGTGGAAGTCCGCATATGCCCCAGGGGAACATTCCCCCCAAGTTTGGGACATGGGATAAGGTACTCGGACAACAACCATATCCATACCCAAGGCACCCAGGCGGCCAGGCCACCACGCGCGAGACTGACGCTGACGGCGGCTCACCACCCACTGCACTCGCAGGGCTCTGAGTCTCTGACAGGCGACACTATCACCCCCCGTCCCACGGTGTCCCACTTCTACGCCGAAGAAGCTCCCGTCTCCATCCACAATTGTCCACACCCGGGCGGGCCACCGAACATGCCGGAAATGGAGAGACTTTGGTCAAATACAAGACGAAAAATCGAACCGACAGAAAATGAGCGCATGCAACTACACCACGCCGTCGCCCGATAGAAAACAAGGGGGCGGGGACGTTGAGTCTTTTGAGAGACTATGTGAGAATTCAGGGCAATGGTTTGGGATTTGGGGATCCAGGGTCAGGTAGTGTGAAGGGTGTGAAAGGTTTGTCTGATGGGAAACGACGGGATACAACGAAGGAGAATCTGCACTGCTGCAGAGGTACTTACTAGGACGAGTGCTAAAAACACCACCGAGCAAAGGCCGTACCAAAATGAGGAGACCCCATGGGAGACCAGGAAGCTGCTCCTCCTTCTCCGGTGTCTTGGTCCGTGGCCCTTGACGTGACCGTCGCTTTTGTTGGTCTCGTCGTCGATAGTTTCGACGATGCCGCCATTGATACTGCCAGCTTGCCTCAACGCCACCCCGTACTTGCTCATACTCAGCGTATTGTCGTCAAATGCCTCACCTGATACAGCTTTGTTCGATAAGTCTTTCTGGTTGGTAATATCCTCTCCCCTGGTCGTTGACCTTGACTGCCGTTGCTCGTCTTGGAGGTCTTGATAATCGACACCAAGACCACCCGCGCGCCAATCGGCGCCTCGCCCCCGGACGTAGGCCGACAGTGTGCCGGTATTTGACAGCTTGAAAACGCTCGGATTCTCGCTGCGGGCGCCTTGCTGCACCTCACTGCGAAAACACCAGCGTTTGGCTGAGATAAAGTAGTGATTCGAGCGCTCCTATACGGGAGTCCCAGACTGAGATGAGGTAGCCCGGGACGGGATCTGGCTCCGGTGAGGCGACCGGATTGACCTTGGTGCGTGCAAGTGCAACCCGCAAGACGCAGCGCAGTAATGGTGCGCGGCGTTTGGGGTGCGGAATAACAGCGGCGAGCCACGACGGGTGGTGCCAGTGGTGACCTTTGGCGCCGAATTTCTCCCTCTCGGCCCTTTGGAGGAGACAGAACACGTTTAAACGGCCCGTCTGTAATTAGTTTCCCGGGTGTGACGCTGCGGATAGACGAAGAAGACCCAGGCCTGGTGCCCCAATGAGGTCATATATGGGGATCCCGGGTGTACCTGGACTGGACTCTCGCAAAAGGTGGGAAGACCTCTGCAGGGTTTGCGCCAAATTCTGATGTCCTCGTGTGTCGTTTTATCGTGGATTCGTGGGTTGCGCCAGGCGGCGGGGGGCTAGCGGGGAATAAAATCAAAAGATGATAATTGTGGAATTATGAGATGAAGAAGAGTGCTCCGTACTGGAGAAAAGGAAAAAGGCGGAGAGGGCAAGGCTCTCTAAAGTCCTTTCTGGCCTCGAAAGGGAATCGTAAACGCTTTGTCTCGTTCAATTGCTCGTAATAGTCGTGCGCTCGTCACCTCAGACCGATGATCAGGGTCCCTCGGCTCTAGGCTGCTGGGTCCTGGATGCTGGGTCTGGGTTCCCGGATCTTTGGGGGTCTCAAATCTGAGTCGGTCGGGAAATTCCCTGGTGCGTCTTGGTGGTGTTCGACTCAGAGCGTTGGTGGCTGGACTTGGTACTAATAAACTGGGCTCCTCGGCTTACGACTGCCTCTTCTTTAGCAGTCCATGTGCCAAAACGAATGTCGCTCGGTCTCTGTCTTCTTTTTCTGCTGTCGCTTCCCCAGCTAGTGCCTGCAGTCGTATGTCATGCGACCGCAGCGAATTGGCTTTCCTGGCTGGTCCTGTTCGAAGGAAGTTGGCAGACGCCGTAGTGTGAGGTGACGCAGTTGCTCAAGACGCAGTGGTCTAGCCCTCTTACAGATCGGGGGGCACGTCAAAGTGCAGAACCAATCTTGATAACGAGGCGTCCAGAGATGCTCCCTACAGTTACGGCCAGAGCTTCCCGGTTTTCGTCTTGGTAATGATGATTGGTAGCAGCAGTCCGTCGTCGTGGTGGTGGTACGGATAGTGTGTAATTCTGATCAGAATGTGAAGATCGAACGCTACTCTGATTTGCTAGCGTAGACTGTCGCACAATGGGTGGTCGCCGTCGGACTACTTATGGTTGACGTGGAACAAACTGAAGGTGAGATAGGACGGCCGCCTCTTCAAAAGTTGGTGGTTTCAGGAGGAAACGAAACAGTCGAGCGAAGAGGTGACAGGTCAAGTTCAGGTCAAGTCGAGACGAGACAAGAAGGCAAAGAGCAAGGAGCAAAGAGGAGGTTGGCGTGCAAGTCGATCCTTCTTCCCTTGGTCCCCTCCTCTCTGTTTCTCTCTTTTCCCTCGTCCTTCTTTCTCGTCCAGCCGAGGCGGGTTCTCCTTCTCGAGCGCTTCTGTCGCATAAGAGACACTCCTGGGATTGGATTGGAGGAGAGGGGTTGCGCCGGATTTGAGATTTGGGTTGACCACTCAGATCGCTATCGAACCGTTGCAGGGTCCCGCCCAACTGTGCGGTGTGAGCTGCAGGGCCAGGGTGCTTGTCTAAAGTAGACGGGAATCTGGATCGTTGGAGAGAGGAGGATCTTTCAGTGGCCTTGCTGCGAACGAGAGCCGGTTACGGGAGGGGAAGATAGATGGCGCTTGGCCGTCTTGAGATTGGCCAGTGCCGACAACCTGACTTCTTGGACAACAGGATGTTGAAAAGAGGGAGAAGGCTGGGAAACACGGAAGGCCAGAAACGAAGCACACGATGTCCCATGGACCGTGGGCGAAGTTGCGAACCTTCCATACACTTAAGTATTTGGGAGTATGGCAGGAACGGCTCTCCCAAAAAGGGAAGGAAGTTGGGGAGCTGATGAAACGGAACCCCCAGCGTGACCACCGGGCCCCTGCCTCCAACTGGCAACAACGATGGGAGCACGGAAGGTATCTCCCCCACGACGTCGCTCCCCAGCATTTGGTTGGCGGCTATCACAAAACACCCGGCACTCAATATCAACTCTAGCTGGGGGAGCCTCGCACACGAGCCATAACCTACCTAGGTACCTAGATGTGACAGGACACTTTGTCTTTTTCTTTCGTCAACTTCCAGAAATTTCCATTCTACTAAGGTATGTATGTGCCATGCTGTATTTAGCAGTAATCCCAACCCACGTATCATCTACTTTCCTCAATGTTGTTCTCTACCCACTGGACCATCGATACCATTGATATCGTCATGCTTCTTTGCTTGCCAAACTCCCCACTCCATTCCTTTCACTCAACTTCACTTCGTTCCAAGATAGACACTGCGCCACTGATCCTCGTCTATCCATAATTAGCCCTGGGCAAAGTTCCTCTTGACAATGAAGAAGGACATCATCAGCAGAGCAGCGCAAGTCATAAAGACGGCGTTTCGGTGTCCATCTCCTGTTTCTGCGTTAGCAACGATTACGATCCTTGGACGTATCCTAGGAACTTACCCTCTTCATCCAAGCTATGCGCCACGACAACGAAGACGTTGAGAGGTAGCCTCAGCAGACTGTACACTCGACCACGCACCCCGTCCTCGACAACCTGACTCTTCAGGAACGACATGCTTGGGAAGTATGCTCCAATGCTAGCCTCAACCATGCACAGCGCCCAAAACAACAGCTTCTCGTTGTCCAGCACGACCGCTCCGGACAGACAGCAGCTCACCACTAGCACGACTAGCATAAGGATGAGCGATGTCGTCTCCTTGGAGTGTGTCTTGGTGTAGAGCGAGAAGAAGGAAGATCCAGCCATCATAGCACACATGAAGCTGGAAAAGATGAGCCCGAAAGGAAGCTCCTCGTCTGAGCCAGCCTTGGTTCGCGCGCTCTTCAGCGCAGCAGACCAGAAGAACACAAAGAGGTACATGGCTCCCTCGAAGAAGGTCGACGTCAGGCCCAATGACAGGATTCGCATATCAGCCAGAATCATCTGGATGCCGCTCTTGACCTCGGCGAGTGATGTCGTTGCCGGGCCATGCTGCTTTGTTCCGTAGTTCTCGCTCCACCCCTTCAAGATCAACCACATGGCCGCCCCGGAGCAGACCACACTTGCCATGAAAGGCCAGACGCGGCCACCCAGTGAGTTGACCAAGATGTCACCAACGACGCCGGACAGGATTGCAACGATGGAGCTGATGGTGGTCATGTTGCCAAAGATGGAGCCTAGTTTGAGGTTCGTCCGCGAAAGACCACGCTGGTTGTATTCCGTAATCAGCCAGGCCTCGAACACACTGTACAGAAGTGTCGTCGAAACACCGCCGGCGAATCGGCCGAGGAATAGGATGAAGAGGTTGTCGGTAAGCATCGTCAGGCAGGTGAGGATGTAGGTAGCGCAGTACGTAAGGCAGGCAAGGCGGCGGCCGTATCGATCTGCCAGCTCGCCGGCAAAAGACGCGGAGATGGCGCCAGACACGAAGCCTGCAGCGTAGAGAGCAGCCACGACCCTCTCGGGGATGTTCTTCTCGTATCTGTAGATGGCATAGATATGGGGGCCCTGTCCCTACGTCAGTCTGATTAATTCCGTGATAGTGGTTGCACGGCGCATTACCTGGAGCCAATCCGCCGCCATTGCCAGGGCGTAGACCGGGAAGAAGTCCAGCTGGAATTGGCGGACTGCATTTTGAGATTCGACAGGCGAAGACAGCAATTGCTGATGCTCGACATCTCCTCCATCGGAACCCTCCTCCGAGTCGGCCGCCTCCTGCTTCAGCTCCTCGATGACTTCTTGTTCCTGGCGCTTGTACTGCTGGTAGAGCAGATACCCGTTGCCCGCCGCAAAAACGGCCAGATTTATCTGGTAGAAAGCCATGTTGCCGCAAGTGTGACTTTCCAAGTTGTGTGGAAAGGTAAAGTCTCGTTTGTAGAGCTTGTGGGACGTTGGATCGGTATAATAAGGCTGTCGACGCGGCAGACCAGCATTCCACGAGCCAAGTATCAGTAGGCGTCGCGTATCTTGGGATATCCTGACATTCGTGGTGTCTCAGCTGCCCTTTGGTCGGTGGCGCCTCAGCTTGGCATTTATTGGAGGAACCTGGAGCGTACTGAAATGATGGAAGAGACAGAGGCCCAGAATCGATGTCGAGGGAAGACTATTACATTGTAGCAAGAATGGCAAGGGGCAGTCACTTCTTTCTTTGGTTCCTTCTCTCCCATCGGCACGGTACCTGCGGACCTGCGTTTCCCCAACTGCAATTGCCAAACATTAATCGGCAAGCAGCTGCGACGGCTTAGGTAGGCTTCCCTGTCTGGAAACGGATGAAAAAAGAGGACAGGTTCGTCAACATGGGACGCCATGCTGATTCAGTGGCTTGGCTGCGCTATTGAATCTGTAACGCGGCCCCTACAGTTGTACCTGCAGCGACTGCCATTTTCTGCGTGCAATCTGCCGGTCCCCTAATTCCCTTTCCTGATAGAGTTTGGCTGGCCTGGTATCCCGAGTTTAACCCAAATGCTGCTGCCACCGCGGCTGTTCCAAACCAGCGGAGACAAATCCAGCGTGTACTGCGTACGGACGGGAGGGAGAAAGTTGGGACCAATGAGACGTCGTCCGTAGCTTCCAGCTTGGCATCCAGCTCTCGGCCCAAGCTTGAACGAGAAAGGAAGTGTTGGTGGCGGACACTAGCCACACTCAGTTGTTCACCATGAACTGATCGAAGGATACTTGACCATTGTACTATGTACTTGGATCGTGTCTGTACATTCCTTTCCATTGGCACGTAAGAAGAAGGCGTGTTGTCTCGCGTATCAAAGCCTAGAAAAGGGACACGAAGGGAGAGAAGCGGCACGCAGAGTTGCGAGCAGAGTCTCCCTCGAATGCCCCCCCGCACTTACATAGAGCTGGTTGAAAGCATGTAGGGCAATTTCACCACCCCTCAGCTCAATGGCAAGTATGGGAGACCGCACGTTGCATTGGATGAAATGGGAGAAAGGAAGACCCTCAAGGGATGCACAAAATTCGCCGTGAACCGGCGTCGAACTCAAGTGCGTACTTCACCAAACCGTGTCTGATGTAAAGGTATGTCTCGTTGCACCGATACCCGGCCGCCGGCATGTCAGGATGCTGCCGGCCATAACGGCTCGGGTTTCAGTCGACAGGTCTCCAGAATTCTCAGCAGAAGCGGGTGGGGAGCGATTGGACGCGGGCCCAAAGCGTTCGGGGGCAACGGCCGGAGCCCCGAAGGACCCCTACGGCGCCCTTCCGGACACGTGGACATATCCCGGCCCACGGCGTCACGGCGACAGCGATACTGGGGACTGTCCACGCGGCAGATACAGCCCACATTCTTCCATGTTCCTGGTAGAAGTTACTCGGACCTAGCCGTAGCCAGTCCGGAGCCTCCAAGCTGCTCCGAGGAACGTGGGCCCACCGAACGGACGGGGTTGGGTGGCAGTGCTTCCATTGGAATTACGCGGATTCGAGAAGCTTAGGTCGCAGTGGGCAAGGCGGAGAAGAGTTTGGCGGTGTCCAGGACGCGTGGGACCCTCGTAACATTTGTCCACAGCACGAACAAACACGATGCAACGGAAGTGTGCCATCGACTAGGATCCGGGACATTGACAGCCCGACCGGAGCGACGGCGTGCCGGGATGGGTATCGGTGTGCCGTAATAGCAAACCTGGCAAAGGCCTTCCAACCACCAGATCAGTGGGAGGCTGGGGGCCTAGGGCCATGGGCGCCGTCCCGTGGCCTCGGGTACCCAAGGTTTGTATGCTCCAACGGCACCGAGCTCCGGTTCAAACTCTGAGGGGGCTCTTGATAGTTGACGCATCAAGTGATGGGAGCTTGAAGACTGGCAGAAGTAAGACTGGCGCACTGGATACAAGGGAAGCTTTGGCGCCGGCTTGGGGAAAGCTGCTAAACCTGAATAGCTGTGCGGCTGAGCTTGCGGAGTCGGATCAGAGGACGGCGGCAGGTAGGGGTGCTCCCTGTCTGGCCTATTGCACGACCACGGGGCTTAGCATGGCTGTTGTGCTACGCCTCGCGACGGCTGGTTTCCATTCAGTGAGGTATTGTGGGAACAAGATTACCTCGCGTAGGGTTAGTAGGGTACGAGGCATGGCTCGTAACGAGAGGTCTCCCTCACCCAACTGTTTGTGGACGGCGTCCTCGGGTTCAAGTCTTGATGTATCTCGCAGGTAGTCGTACGAGGTTGGAATTGCGGGTACAGCTGTGGCATCGGTCGGTCTTCCAGCTGATGCTCTCGAGACGGGAAAAGATTGGCGGGAGCGAGGCTTTCTGCTTCTTTGGCAGTGAGAGCGAAGAAGGGGTGAGGCCTCTTGCATCTGCATCAATATTCTGTAAGTTGGAGCGCTAAGCGGAATGCTGACGTATCTAGGGGATTCGAACGCGAATGTCTCCTTGGAAATTGAAAGTTCAGTTCGCTGTGCAGCCATACATTTTGAGCACTTCCGTGAGGAACATGAAGGAACAAGGAGGGCGAGGGCAATGGAAGACATTGGACGGCAATGAACATCTACAAGTACTTACCTAATCTTACCTTACCTTACCTTACCTTACCTTAGTAATGGAAGGTGCCTTTTGATGTTCTTGCTTCCTGCCATTTGGCAAGGCGGGAGGGAAATTGGCAGGAACCCAAACTTCTCAAGTGCTGACGAACCCAAGGTCCCTTCTTCCTAAGGTACCTTACCTTACTTGCTTCCCTTGACCTGGCGGGGTACCTTAGCCACAAGAGAAACAAGGACCAGGAAAGAGAGGGGAAACCTGAGGTGCTTGCCAATCTGCGAGGTAGGTTTCCGTAGGCTACCTTACCTTACGGCTTCCCTTAGGTAGTTACAGTTACACCACCCACCCCCACGTTCCTCCCCCGATACGATTACCAGGACAAAGGAAAGAGCCGTGGGTTCGCGATTGATCCGGCGTACCTTACCTTCGAGCACTTCTACTTCTAGGCCAGATTCACCAGGGAAAGGAAATAGACTGGCAGAGGCAATGGCGACACTTTTCGATCTCTGAATTATTGCCTCCGATTCAAAGCTACCGGCCAGACAAGGTCTTACAGACGGCGAGCTGCAGGTGCGGATGCCTCCCCAGCGTCCAGGGTACATCATGTACTTTGAGGTACTCGGTGCTGCTTATGGAGTACCCGTACGGAGTACACTCAATTGTCAAAGTCCTACGTCAAAAGTCCTGCATTGCGATCCTGCCACTAGGTATGTAGGTCCAGTCAGACTCATCCCTTCCATTGAATCCTGGCCCTGAGATGCCTTGCTCGTCTGCTTCTCGAGTCTCTACTAGGCCCCAATCAATAATTCTCAGGGTTCGAAGAGCCAATATCCAGAGACACACTCTCTCATTGCTCGTCATAGGTTCCATGGCACTATAATCATTGGGCTCTAGTAGTGCTCGTGTTCCTATACGGATACAGATAAGGCGAGCTGTGGCCCATGACGCCTCCATACAGTCCTTGACTGACTTTGGCCACAGACATCCGATGGCTTCCACCTGAAGCCCTAGAGTTCCTGCGAAAGGACTCAGCCAAAGGTGAATAGAGGTTGCCGGATTTCTGGGTCCCAACTCCCCGCAGCGAGGTATCGTCGCAGACCGACGATTAAGTCCATACCCTGTCTTAGTTGTCCCGTTTCCCAACGCCTAGCAGATTCGCAACCACGCATCGGGAATCCCGTCCCCAATTTTCTCCACGAGAGTCACATCCGTATGTTCCCTGCCCTACCAGCTGGCGCTGGCTCGTCAGAGCGTGTCAGCTGTCAGACACCTCTGACGGGAACAGCAGGGCTAAGGTAATTAATTGTTTATTCCTTTGCAGGCACCAAGATTGCGGTCGACTGGCTGTCCTTGATGTCAGGTCTTTCCACAGTCCGTTTCAGTGTGATCGCTTGCATCCTTCATCATCAAGGTACAGCAAGTGTCCGCCCGGGGTTGAGACATTGATATCCAGCTCGAGCTTCGCCGTCAACCTTGTCATGTCTTGTCATTCTACGGGGGGTGGGGATGGGCAGACAAAAAACCCCGACAGACGTCGTCCAATGTTTAGGGGTTCTCTGAGTCTCTGACACGGGCACCAGCGAGAAACCAGTCTCGAGATGCCTCGTGTAAATGGCTACGGCCCCCTCCTCCGCCCGGGTCCCAGACGTTGACAACGGCGACGGAAGACGGGACGAAACCCGTCGGTGATCTGATCTGGCCGCAGACGAGACGAGAGCCGGCCAGTCAAGCACTCCAAGGAAGGTATCCTATTCAGCTAGGTATCGCACGATGCTTTGTGTGCTGACATGCAAGTAGTGTGCGTTCTGTACCACTTGGACGTGGGAAAGTCCTGCAATACATGTTCGTCGTACATGGATGGATACGTTGGAGGTACACACAGAGCCCAACTCGGTACTCTATGTTCCTTACACACTTGCGAAGTGAGCTCGCACAAAGTACACATGGGGCTCCAGTGCTCTGCAGCCAGTGTGAACCTGCGCAGTCCAATCCAGAGGCAGCATTGGGGCCATTGGGCGCCTTCAGCCTTATGTACACTGCCCAGAAAGCGACCCGAGGGGGGGTTCCTCCACCTAGCGCACCCGCAGCTCGATTTAGTGCCATCAGCTGGCTGGCGGGAGTAGGTATTCGTGGGTACCTTAGCAATAGCATCGCCGGACCACCGTCTGGCTGAGGATCCCGGTCGATGTCACTTTCGCAGTTGATGGCGGCAGAGAGTAACATGTGTCGTCGGAAAGGTTCCCCACTCTAGGTACACAGTTGACAGCCATCGCACAGGACTTCCTTTCGCACCTCACCTCAAGGTTTCCTTCCATCTTGGAGGCGCCAAAACGGGGGGCACAGGGCAGCAAGCAAGCACTCTTTGGAACATGGGCTGGGACCAGAGCAGCGGCAACTCTTCGTGGCAGCGGCATACAAGGGCAAGAGTGAGGGCGAGGGCGAGGGCGAGAGCGAGGGCAAACGGGGTGGTCCTTTGAAGCAAAGCGAGACCGTAAAACAGAACGAAACGAGACGAGACAAGTCAATTTGGCCAGCAGAGGTACTAAGAAACAGCTACCTTTTGTATACGTACGGATAGATGGCCAGGCAGGATATTCAAGAACGTACTCGAGTACCCTTGAATAAAACCAACATGATGTACTCCTCAATAGGTTAGCCCATCAATCTTGAGTCCTTGACCAGAGAGAAGAAGCTGAATACCTAGCACAACGAACAGCAGGCTGTGGCTTCTCTCCCTCTCATGGTGGCTTCATCTTGTTTACCTTACCTTACCTTAGTGTACCAGTGTGTGCTACCTTCTGCTCGTGTTGCTTTCTATTGCTCTGACGGATTCCATACCTGGGCACCCGACCCCGCGTCCAGCCGCCAAGCCCAGCCCACCTTTGCGTGAGCCTCTCTTTCTCTTCCAGGTTGAAGGAAGGAAGCGTCTCGTACCGCACATGGTCGCTTTCCTCGTCGCCCTCCTCTGCATGCCTAGCCCGCCCGCCTGCCTGCCTGCTTGCTTCATCCACGGCTCATCGTCACCGTTTCCGACTTCCGAATCTCACCTTCTTCGTCACTTTCAACTCATCGTCTTCACTGCAGCACTTTGCACCCTTGTTTTCGTCTTCTTCAATACACCGTCAGCAAGCAACGCAGGCTTACCGTCCCGCGCCTGAGCTACATCAAAGTCTCATCTACGCTAGACAGCTTCTCTTTCTCACCAAGGCAGAGTAAGCGAGCGAAGGGCTGAGAAGGTACCTATCCGTAAGTATTCATTCGTCTGTATCGGTACATCTTGTTGCTTTCCCGGGTGCCTCACAATTGGAAGTTCTCCTGCTCCTGTTGCTTGTCGTCCTCTTGGCCAAAAGAAATAGAGAGAAAGGCTCCCATCTTAATCCACCAACCCAATTCACAATCCCAGTCGTTCATCTTACCTTACTTTGCCTTATTGAATCCTCTCACATCTGCTCGCATTCACTCATACGCTGTCTTTCCTCAACTGGTTCCGCACTCTCCCACACACACACACACACACTCTCTCTCTCTCTCTCTCTCTCTCTCTCTCTCTCTCTCAATTCCCTTCGCTTTCTTTCTCTCTGCCCATTGCTGTGTGCCATCTGCTATACTACCTTACATTACGAATACCTATCTTACCGTTGCTGCTGCTGCTCCTTCTGTTGCACCGCTCTGTACGGAGTACTGCACACCTCAACCCGCATCATCCCAGAAACGGCGGATTCATTCAAGCGCCCACGGTCCACGGTCCACGAAGGACGGCCCACGCTGCACGCTCCACCCCCTCCACCCCCCCATTCCCAGCAAGCACCGCATTCTATTTTCTCACTCCTTCCCACTTCTTTTTTTTCTCCCCCTTCGCCTTCCCGCCTTTCGTCTTCGTTCTCGTCCTGTCAAGCTCCGAACCCCGTTGCAGCAAGCAGCAGCAGCAGACCCAGCAGCTGTATGTGTGAGAAAAAAGAGAAAGAGTCCTAGGATCTCTGGTCCCTTCCCCAGACCTGCAGAAAAAGGTTCTTAGCCAAGTCCTAAAAAAGGATTCTTGACTTTTTCTCTGCTGACCTAAGGACCGTGACTTGACCTGCGTCTGACTTGAAAGTTGACCGGGACGGACCATCACTGCCTACCACCAAAAAAATCACCACCCACCCCCTCCCCCTCCTCTTCACTCCCCCCAACCCCGACACCCCCAGCCCAAAAGTCCAAGCCCAAGCCCAGCAGCCGCAGCAACAAGTCCTAAAAGTCTAAGCCCAGGCCATCCAATCCATCATCCCGCCGATTATTACTCGAGTACGACCAAGAGCACCACCACCACCACCACCACCGCTCCTCTCTGCTGCTCTGCTCTGCTCTACTCTGCTGCACCGCACCACACACCCGCACCCGCACGGCTGCCGACGCCCTGCAACCCAAATCGATATACCCTCTGCTGGTCCTGCCCACCTTGGGCCCTCGCTTTTCTCCCTCTTCTCCTCCCCGACTCAGTAATCCCATATGAGCTTTTCCAACTCCCGCCTGAAAGGCTTTGGTTTCGGCAAACGCAAGTCAACTGCTAGTATCCAGACACCCGATCCGAACCAAACCCCAAGCCCGACCCCTCCTCCTCAGGGTGGTCACCCCTCCGGTGCCCCTCAAATACCGCAACAGATTCCCGTCCGCCCAGGCTCCATTGCCTCGACCTCTTCCGCTTCAATCGCTCCCATGAATCAACACCCAGGCGCCGGTAACCGGCCTCCGAGCTACTCGGCCAACTTTCCTCAAGGCGGTCCTCCTCCCATGGGTCGCACCAGCCCCATGACGGGTCAAGGTCCGGCTCGCACCCCGCCTTCCCAGATGGTTGGCGGTCCTCCTCCCATCAACACTGGTGCTCCCGTCGCCGGTTACCCCCCTCAGCTTCCTCCCATCGGCGGCCAGGGACATCCCATGGGCGGTCCTCCTCAGTACGGCGGCGGCGGCGGCGGTGGCTATCCTCCCCCGGGTCCTCCTCAAGGTGGGCCCATGGCACAGTACCAGCGAGGCGGCAGCGCGGCCGAGGTAGAAGGCAACAGCAGGAGTAAGGCTCAGCTGATTGTCGGTATCGATTTCGTACGTGGACTCTTGGGATCAAGACAATGTTTGTCATATGCCGCGTTGCTGACATGACCCACAGGGTACAACTTTCTCCGGTGTGGCGTTTGCTTTTGCGACAAACAACGAAGCCAAGGAAGACATTATAACAGAATGGCCTGGCGCTGGTTCGTACACGAAGCAAAAGGTAGGAAGAACTCGCGGGTACCCAGACAATAGCGTGGTGCGTTTTGCTCTCGTGCTTTGCTGACACTCTTTTGTCTCTCTAGATCCCCACGGTTCTCTACTACGATCAGTACCAGAAGGTTGTTGGCTGGGGTCCCGACATCGCCGACGCCCTCGCCCCTACTGGATACCCGAAGCCCGGCGTGCAAAAGGTCGAGTGGTTCAAGCTGCAGCTCATGCTGTCCGGCAATACATATATCGACCCCATCAACCTGCCTCCTCTGCCTCCTGGAAAGTCCGAAATCGATGTTGCGGCCGACTATCTTTTCAAGCTCCGCCAGGCTATGCGCTCGGCTCTGCAAAAGACCCTCGGTGAAGTATTCAACCGTGAGGAGCGGAACATTCGTTACTATCTCACCGTCCCCGCCATTTGGAACGATGCAGGAAAGGCCGCTACCAGAGCCGCCGCTATCCAGGCCGGTTTCCTGAGAGACGAAAACGACAACCGGCTGACGCTAGTTTCCGAGCCCGAAGCTGCTGCTATTTTCTGTTCCAAGACGGGACTCTTGAACCTCAAGGTCCACGACGCCGTGCTGATTGTCGATTGCGGTGGTGGTACTGTCGATTTGATCGCGTACGAGGTCGAGGAGGAGAACCCCTTCACCGTTGCCGAGTGCACGGCAGGATCTGGTGATTCTTGCGGTTCAACAGCGCTGAACCGCAACTTCAGCAACATCCTCCGCACCAAGATTCGCAAGATGAAGCTGCCCGACGGATCCAAGACGGCCGGCCGCGTATACGCCAAGTGCATCATGGACTTTGAGAACCGTATCAAGGCAGACTTCCGCAACAACGGCCAGAAGTGGGCCGTCGACGTTGGTATCGAGGCTGAGTTCCCCGAGGCCGGCATCGAGGAGGGCTACATGACGTTCACCAACGAGGAGATTCTGCAGTGCTTCGAGCCCGTTGTTAACCGCATTCTCGAGCTCGTCAGAAACCAGATCATTGCCATCCAGGCCCAGAACCGGACACTGCAAAACATTCTCGTTGTTGGTGGATTCGGTGCCTCCGAGTACCTCTTCCAGCAGATCAAGCTCCACGTTCCTCCCCAGTTCCAGTCCAAGGTTGTCCGTCCCATGGACTCCGTGGCCGCTATCGTCAAGGGTGCTGTTACTGCCGGCATCACCGAGCGCGTCGTCACACACCGTGTTGCCCGTCGTCACTACCTCATGGCCACCTTGCAGCCCTTTAAGGAAGGATACCATCCCGAGGCCTACCGTGTGCCATCCCTCGATGGCAAGGACCGCTGCAAGTTCACCCGTCAAATCTTTGTGCAAAAGGGTCAAAAGGTCAAGATTGGCGAGCCTGTCAAGGTCTCCTTCTTCCGTCAAGTTGCACCAGGTGCGACGCTCATGTACGAGGACATTCTGTACGCCTGCGACGATGATGTTTGCCCCGAGTATACCAAGGATCCTCGTAAGTCCAATAATGGATTTTCACAATTGACCATTGCTAACCTCGGACACAGGCATCAAGGAAGTTGTCACCCTGACTTCGGACCTGTCGCGAAAGAACCTAGAGAAGGACTTTGAGAGAATGGACACACCACAGGGCACATTCTACCGTGTCTACTTTGACATTTACCTGACGCTCGACGGATCCGAGTTCAGCGCAGAGCTGGTCTGCCAAGGCGAGGTCATGGGCCGCTGCAGAGCGCGCTTCAGGTAAAGACGGTGGTCGAAGAAAGAGGAGAGGCAGAGGGAGAGAGAGAGAGAGAGCGAGAGATTGATAATGTTTGCTTGCTTGCATTGGGCATTTCGTTTCCATACACTCGGATGATACCTCGAAAAGGTGATGGGGGCCAGAAGGACAGCCCCGAGGCTAATAATGGCCGAGAGTACATATCACGAAGAGACCTCCCAGAACAGATGACTGGAAGACGAGGATTGGATTTTGGAGGTTTTTATGACGCGGAAGGATTATGGCCTATTGTCAAGTGTTGTAGACGCACGACACTCCCCGCTTGGGAGAAATCAAGATTTTTTTTTTCAAAAGACTACTGTTTCCTGACGGGGTCGCAGAGAGATCCACCCAAGCATGGGGGATGGTCGTATGCAAGCCTGATGAAGCCATCACCCTTCATCCCAACTGCCCAGAACCTGAGGTTCACACTCACACACCGTTAGACCTGAGCTGGTTTAGTCTCTTTGGATTTTCGCAGGCCCTCCGATGGGAGGGGAATCTGAGCTTTTGCATATTTGACTGCAATTGCGGAATACATGGGAATTTGCTATAAGTACGTATACATCCAGCCGGCTCTTAAGCAAATCTTGTTTGGCTCGACCAGAACAAGACTTGCCAAGAATTGTGTTTTGCGAGCTGGGAGCGCTACGTGGAGTGGAGGATCATGGATGCCGGCTAGCGGTTTTCGGAATCAAAAACACCCTAATCCTGTATTCTCACTTGTGAGGGACCAAGTCCTCTATCTTGACGAAAGTTCCTGACCAAGTTCATGATGGCTAAGAGCAACGTTGTGGAGGCTATGTCGAAAGATAAGACAGCAAATGATATGATGTACTTTTGAGGGGAGAGCAGCGAGAGACTACTTGAGAGGCTGACCGGTCCTAACATGCTCTGACTCAGCCACAGCAACTTCAATGTGTGGAGACTGGAGAAGCTGCGTCCACTGACCCAATTGCCACAGTTGGTCAACGGCGCGGGGGAGCAAGAGCCAAGCAAGGAAGGCCCTGGTCACTATCAAGCCGAAGTAGACCAGATCGACCCTGGTCAGTGCCAGCGGGAAACCGGGCAGCCAGTTGCTCCTGCGTCATCGTCTGAACACGAACCGCTGGGAAGTTCGACCCAAGGTCGGGCCCTGCATCTTGCACCCTTCGACAACTGACAGTGGCAGCAGGTAAATGGGACGGACCAAGGCCCCCTCAGTTGGGTAAGGTAGGTATGCGGTGAATACAGCAAATAAAGTACTGTGGTTCAGGAGGTAATGTCATTATGCGATGGTGTGTTCTTCTCTCTTCTTGGACTTTGACATCTCATCAACCTCAGGTCACTCGAGGTTATCGTATGCCACGAAACCCTCTACTTCGTACCCTCCTACAAAACTCGACGACGGTCCCTTTCTGCATCATTAGTGTCGGATAACGCTTGTCTATTAAGCGCGAAAGAAAATAACCTACTTCTCCTTTCCCTGCCCTGCGAACCCAGTTCCTGTTCCACCCTTCCGTGCCCGTCCAACCAACCTGCGTCTCCCACCTGGTCGAACTCTGACGCTACATCGCGCGTGCAGGGATAATCAGGAATTGGCCCCTGGATCAACCAGGCCGATCTCACCTCTGGGCATATCCCGCCGCCCCTTGCTTTTGCTCATTCGCTCTCACGTCGACGCTCCCGTACGTCACTCGGTGCAGGTCCGTCGCAGGCTATTGGTGGGCGTCTGATTGCTCAACATCGTTGGGTGCTGGCGGTTATTATATCTACCTCCAGATCGTCGTTCGTCTAGAATCGCGGAAGCTTGGATCCCTCTGAATCATGAATTGTTACAGCATCCCAGCGTAAAGATACATTGGATCCTTTCAGGTCGACGAATTACACGACTTGTTATCACTCTCAGTTTTGCTATTTCTCTTAGACTATAACGAAGACCTGTCAGAGAAGGCCGGCCTACAAAACCATGAGACCTTCGTTATCTTCGAGGAGAGGCGATAAGCGACCTTCGAGGACCAGCCAGAGCCTCTTCTTCGCGCTGGCCATATCCTCGCAGCTACCAGCAGCCAACGCAATCGTTTTCCCAAGCTATCACCCCAACTACAAGACCGACTACCTTCAACTGAACAAGCGGTACAACCCCGCCAGACGAGGCCCACCCGAGGACTGGAATGGGAGAATCCCCTTGAAGGTCACCAACTCATGTCCTGACACGATCTGGCCCGGCATCACAACGCAGCATGGCGTCGGTCCTGGAATCGGCGGTTTCGAGCTTGCCTCGGGCGACAGTCGAGACATGTGGGTTGGGCCAACTTGGCAAGGCCGCGCTTGGGGAAGAACCAACTGTACCATCAATGGGGAGTCGGCAGGCTGCGAGACGGGTGATTGCTTTGGAAAGCTTGACTGTGAATTCAGTGTAAGTCTCGCCCTCTCGAATGCAACCGACAATGGCTGATCAACCCAGGGTGCTGTTCCCGCAACTCTCGCCGAGTTCAACTTGGCCGGCGGTGTCTCTGGACGCCAAACATTTTACGACATCTCCCTGGTCGATGGCTACAACATCCCTGTGGGCATCAACTACATCCCCGCCGAGAACACCACTTATATCCCGCCAAACCTGACCAACTGCGCCTGCATCGCAACGACGGGCTTCCTCTCACAACGCGCGGCAAGCGGTACCGTCTACACCAACAGCACATACCCTGTTCCTTGGGAACCGACTGAGTCCAACGAGAGCTCCAAAGACTGGTGTCCGTGGCCACTGCTTTCCAACCCGCCAGACAAGCCAGGCGATGGTGTCTACCCCTATCCCGACGACAACATTCAGCGACCGACCTTCAGCCCGTGCAAGAGCCAATGCGCGGCCACGAATTCGGATCACGACTGCTGTATAGGCAAATGGCATGACCCCAATAAGTGCAAGCCAGGCTTGTACTCCAGACACGCCAAGGCCCTGTGCCCCGACGCATACAGCTTCGCCTTTGACGACCAAACGTCGACCTTCATCATCCCATCAGGCGGCGGCTGGGAGGTTGTCTTCTGCCCCGCTGGAAGGAGCACTAACATTCTCCGCACCATGGGACCGCAACTGTTCGAGCTCGCAAGCGCCGGCTTCTTGAGCCAGAAGAACCTGGACCTGGTTAAGAATCAATCCTACATAGAGTCTGAGAGCGAAAAGAACGCTGCTCCAGGCCTGGCTTCGTCGTCTCTGTGGGCCATCTGTGCGGCGGCTACAACCGCTGTCATGCTGTTGGGTTGGTAGATGCCTTTGGGTTGCTTGCTTTTTTTTGCTTTCTCTGGAATAAGCACGACGGGGCTGGACCCGCGCAATCTGCCGTGCTTCTTTGCAAGTTTGGGATTTTTGGCATTGGGATACCCTGGAATGATTGTACGAGGCATGGACGATAGACGCATGGCGCAAGACGATGATACAGAGGCTCAACAGTGTGAGCTATAAGACACTATAGCCGCAACCTTCCTTTCGAGTACCTAGAAGACTTATACCCATGATAAATACAATACACTTCATACTTTGAATATACTGTGATTCACATGAGTGGAGTCAAAATGAGCAACCACCGCCAAGACATTGATAGAGAATGGGTACTACAAGACATTCGACCCAAGTTCTTACAGTCCTTGAGACATATTACACTGCATCGCGAGGTTCATGTTCGCCCACACTCTTGCAGGTAGTTGTGTGCGACAAGCGGAGAGTTTTCACCTTTCGGAAGGGAACCGACGGAGACGGGATCCGCCGCCACGGACCCGGGCCAGAGCGTGCTCGTATCATCATCAGGTATGCTCTCCTCTCAGAAGGACTTTTTCTTAGGTATATCGAAAGTAAGGTAGGCGTGAATCCATCATGCTCTGTACCTGAACAGGAACACCTTGACAACTACTGAAAAGTTTGGATTGCAATAATGTACCTCGAAAAAAAACCTCGGCTCAATGTTCCCGACTCTGTTTGTCTATACCCGTCTCACTCCATGTTACTTGTGCCGTGTTTTCTGTTTTCTGACTTTCTCGTGAGATGATTGCCGCCCCAAAGAAAAGAAAAAACACCTTGACCCATGAATCGTGACACTGGAAAAAGTAGTCTAACAGCTGTGGAATTCTTTTCTTTCTCTTTCTTTCCTACATCGCCTCTTTCCTTCTTGCCCCTCTCTCCGTACTCCGTACTGCCGTGTTGTTTTTTGTACGTGTCTTGACCCGCGCCTCTTCTAGTTCTCTGCCGTCCGATGTGGTAGAGAGTGTTGAGAAGAGGCGAGGGGTTGACATGGAACAGATGTACCGGCGAAAAAAAAGTGCAATCAACTTGTGCTTGAAATCTGCACAGTCCTCCCTTCTCTGCCTTTCACCGTGAGGTCATCAAAACGCTCTAACAACCAAAACACTTCAACCCTTGCGCGCGGCACGCTCCCTCCGTCTCCGATCCCACTCGGCCCTCTCCTCGTCATCACTGCCACTAAACTCGGCATCATCGTCACTCTCCTCGTCGTGAGCGTACCCCGCAGGCACAGGCGGCGCAGCAGAGTTCGGAATCGCAGGAGGCGCACCAGGGGGCGCCGACGCCGGCGGCGCACCACCCGCACCGCCCTTGCTCTTCTTGCCCGCGGACGAAGAGTCCACGTTGATAAAGTCGCCCGCGTTGAGCGAGGCGTACTCGTGCTTCTGGATGAGTTCGCGGAGGGCCGGGTTGCGGGGGTCGACGAGCTGGAGGGGGGTGAGGCCGCCCTTGTTCTTGATACGCGGGCTGGAGCCGGCTTCGAGCATCATGTCGACGAGGGCGTTGCCGAATTCGCGGTTGGCTTGGGATTCGTTGTTGATCCAGCGGATGGCGCTGTGGAGGGGTGTGTCGCCTTCTTGGCGGTTGATGGGGTCGCATTCAAAGTTTGGTTGGTCGAGGAGGAGGTCGATTATGTCGTCTATGGGAGGGTATTAGAGTTAGCATCCTGCCTTTGTATAGTATGAGGGGGATGGTGTGGGAAAGGAAGGAAGTCGGCGGTTTTGAGGGAGGGTTCGATTGTCTCGAGGAAGTGTGTGAGGGCAAGACGTACAGTTTCCTCGGGAGGCAGCTTCGTGGTAGAGGTGGTTTCCCATGACGGTGGTGGTCTCGTTGAGGATGCGGGAGAGCTCATTCTCGTCCTTGATGCCGGCGATGACGTCGTTGAAGAGTTCAGTGTTGTCGCGCCGCGCGGCCTCGATGAGGAGTTCCTTGACGGAGGCGCCCTGCAGGTATCGTGTCAGCTCTTTACTTTACGTTTCTTACGAGAGGAATGCTTCGGTGCGGCGGAGAAGTGGGCAGACGAACCTCGTGCTCCTCGTGATCCCCTGCCATGATTGTGGAGTTGTGTATGTGTGTGGGTGTGCGTGTGCGGTTTTGTTCACGACGAGGCTATCGTGGGGAAGGAGGCGGTCTCGGGGACGAAGTGGAAATGACGAGGGTTTGCTGTTGCCGCGATGTGCTGTGCTGGGTAAGGAAGGTGGTGTTTCGAATTGGCCTTCCGTGCTGGGTCGGGGAGACGTCGCCTTGGTGGGGTTCGTGGATCGGAGGTCACGGCGGGGAGGAGTTGAGGTAGAAAGAACGGTGAGGGGTAAAAAGTATTTAGTGGTGCCTTGGTGCTCGTCCTTTTCTCAAGGTGCGTTATCGTGGGGGAAAAGATGAGGGGCGATAGGCCAGGTACGAAGGGCTCGTCCAGGGCGGCGAATGTGTGAGGTTGCGGGAGAAGAATGCTGCACAGTAGATGAAGGAGGAAGAAGGTGAGTCGCGCAACGTCCGATCGCGCTGTGAGGTAGATCTGGGTTCGGGGAGATGTTTGCGAGTCGTCACTTGAACTTTGGGCTCCGTTTGGCTTTCAGATGAGGGTGAGGTGCAGCTACGTAGGTACCCAAACTTCCTTTCTACCTACCTACGTATACCTAGGCTCGTGGGGCTGAGAGGCTACGCGGCAGTTTCCAGGTTTGTGGTGTCAAGGAGGTGGCAGTGATCGCCAAACCCCTGATCCAGAATAGAAGGGCCTAACTTAGCACCTTAGGTACCGTAAAAGGCGCCCAAGTCACTTCCCGTTCCTCCTAATACGTCCAGTTACTTGCTAGGTGGCCCAGTAAGGTAAACCTCAGCAGCAGCTTGTTGCAGCGCTTACAACGAACAAAGGGCCAGCAATCCTGGAAACAGTCCGTTGACCCCGCTATTTGCACTTCAGGTAGGCGGACGGGACGGGTAAGGCGGGGTGAGAACGGGTGCCTCTTGGAGGGGCACGGAACATTATTGTGGCCGGGTTCCGGCGGGATGGACTCCTGTACCGTTTTTTTCTTCCCTATGTACATGACGCTGGTCGCTGGTGACTGTTCCCCGGCTGGTGAATGGTGGCTTCGTCCCCCACCGTCACATTCGAGGCCCGCCGAATTTTCCAGGACAATCACACCGAGGAGCGATTTCGCGGTGAGCTGAGCACATCACCAAGCAGCAAACCATACCTCCGTGACCACTTAATCGCTTGCACAAACAACCGCCGCCTAATCGCAAATCACACGTACCGCCAAGATGTTGCTCTGTAAGACTTCAAAGCTCCCATCCCCTCCTCACCCCTCCTCCTTTACATACCAGGCGCATTTCGCTAACAAGACAACAAAACCCCAGTCTGCCCCAACTGCGCCAACATCCTCACCGTCTCCGCCTACGCCGGCGTGCGCAACCGCCTCGAGTGCCGAACCTGCCCCTTTGAGCACGCCATCACCGAGCCAATCTACTCCCGCCGCGACTTTGAGCGCAAGGAGCGCGAGGACGTCTTTGGCGGGCCCGGCGAGTGGGACAATGCCGACAAGGCGCGCGCCCAGTGCCCCAAGGACGGCTGCAACGGCGAGGAGGCCGCCTTCTTCCAGGTCCAGATTCGTAGTGCTGATGAGCCCATGACTACGTTCTACAAGGTATGCTTTTTTGCCGTGGTCTCTTATCGAAGGGGCAGAATGCTGACTGGGTGTGTTTGCAGTGCATGTCGTGCGGAAACAGATGGAGAGAAAACTGATGCTAGACGCGAGGGAGGTTTTGATATTTTTCACTGGGCATTGCGAGGCGTTGGGGACGATGTGTGGATTTATTCTTGTTTAGTCTGCTATACGCAAGTCGCTGTAGGTGCGTCTCTCTGTTTTATAAACCTGTTCAGAGACAGCCTTTCCTACTAGGCCGCTTTGCAAGCGAATCTTTATCCGCGACTTGCTTGATCATATGACTGACACTTCCCTATGGCCCTCCCCTATCTTGGTCATTAAATTCGTGATATGTCTGCAGTCATGCTGCTCAGGGACCGCGCACGTCTTCCCGCCTCAGCTGGCCTCATACCGCGAACGGTCCTTGGCTCCTCGATCCTATAGTCTCTGGTCCTAGCCGTATGCTCGCGGCAAATCTCGCAGACACCCAAGGCTTGTCGTTCCAATCCATGAAAAGAACAGGAACCAATCGCGTGATTATCAATGGCGTGCCCATGTGTCCCTCCCGAACTTTGAAGGCGCATGCCGTTCAAAGCCTCACGCATCGCTCCGGTGCCAGTCGACCGCAGCCCGCATCCCGTCGTCCATCAGCCTCTGCACGAGGTCGGGACTAATGACGTCCTGCCGGAACTGCTCCTGCTGCAGGAGCTCGAGGTGCTTGAGCGTCGGGCCGGGGTACATGAGGTACTTTAGGTACGGCGGGCGGGTCCAGTACTGCAGGTAGGCGAGGTAGGCGACGAAGTCGGGGCGGGTGAGGAGTTTCTGGGTCGCGAGGTGGTTTAGGTAGAGGGGGTTCGCGAGGGACTGGACGAACTGCGCGCACGAAGAGGTTAGCGAAGCTGTCTCTCTCTCTCTCTCTCTCTCTCTCTCTTTATGACTTGACTTCGTCACTGTGTGTTTCCGTGTCGATGCGCTGGAGAGGAGAGTGCGCGCGTGGGTGGCTGCCTTTGGAAGATGAAGGAGGCGTGTGCATGCATACCTCGAGCTCAATTTCGAATCGCGTGTAGCCGCCGTAGACTGGTTCGTTGTCTGGTGGAGGGGGCGGTTGGTCTGGTACTGTCGTCGCCATTGTCGCAATCGGTGGTGTGTGGGTGGGATGCGATTGTGAAGTTCGGGGCACCTCGTGCAAGGTAGATTGAAGTCGATGGACGGAAGTGGAGACTGAATCTGGAGCTTGGACAGGGGTCCACGGGCTCCTCCAACGGCTGGTTGGGAGTGACAGAGCTTGCATATCCAAGTCAACTCAAAATCTTTGGGAGTGAAGCCTGAACAGCACTTGGTCCAAGATGCTCTAAATAATATGACCATATTTTTCAACAAAAGGTAATAATATGAATAAGACCGACTGATAGTTTTCTCGGGCTACCAAGATATGCTGCCAACAGAGGCCAAGTGGGCCGCCACATTACGTTTGGTTCCATAGGATTATGTGCCTGATTCTGTATCTATCTAGGCTTGTGTATGGGGGCCATAGCTTGGCCTCAAAGACAGTTTGTGCGTTTCTCCTCTCTGCGAGAGACCTCAAACCGACCAGATTTGGGGCAGTTCTCAGTGGTGAGGTGGTGTGACGGAGGCAGGATTGGTCCAGGTCAAGATGGGTAGCCACTGCATACCTTGTCCCCAAGCGAGTGACGCCTTCATCATGCTCTCCTTGGTTCGCTGCTTGCAAGCGGTAAGTAGAACAATATATGAACTGCCGGTCCCCTTTCTCATTTCCGTAACCCTAATGGAGGAAAATCGTCTTACCCGGCTCCCATCTTCAATAGTATATCATTCATTGAATATACTTGGAGAAACCCGCGGGCCGCCCGGCTTCCTGCGTGCTGCTAGAAGCGGAGCACCGGAAAGAGACCTTCCATCGCATTTTGGAGCCGCCAATTCCTTAGACGAGACCAATAATCTTCTCGCAAATCCACTGTCATCAACACAGTCAGGGAAGTCGACCTCTTGGTTGAAGATACCCCGGAAGAGGACCGTCTCAAATAGCTTGTTATATGATAGTAACATAAGGCCCATTCGAGCTCAAGGAGTATATAAGTGAATTTGACATTGTACAAAAGCCGGCAGCTTGCCAAACACATCGGCCTTTTCAGCGACAATGTCGACGACACGTCAACAAAGGCACTGCATGTGTTGCTCAAGAGACTGTCAGAGTCCCCAAAGCCTCTCAGCACCTCCATCTACCTCGAGAACTCTTCGTGGAATCAACACAGAGAGGCTGATCTACGATTTCTGGCCAACAAGGTATGGCGTTAGGTTGACAGACCTGTGTCTACTTGCCTTCTCACCCACGCCCGGTGCACTCAGTAGAGTAGCCTTCGCGCGCAACATACATCCGAACTACTCGTGCGGACTAGATTTATTTCTGAGTGAAAGAGATTGTCATCCCTTCTAGCTCTTGCACGAGACCATGGTTGCTTTATGTTATGGTAGAGAAGTGGACTCTGATACGTAAGCGGAGGCCGTGCTATGCGGCATGAGAGACCTCCTCATGTCGGCTAGAGGCAATAAGTGCCAAGAGACTTTGGAATAAATATCATAGATCAACTCATGGATTCAAAAGAATAAAATTAGATTTTGAGCGGTGGATTTCCTACTCGAAACTCTTTTTGAGCCAACTTGAAGGCTGTGGGAATCGAATCATAGGAGCCGTCCAAGTGATCCGAGATCTGCTTCACGTCTATCGAACAAGTCATACTCATCTGAGACGGGAACAAATGGGCCTCATGAGGAATTAAAGAAGTTACTCAGGTGAGTGAGCAAGTAAAAGATGCATCCTCTGGCTCACCACTGCTCTAGCTCTCAGTAATCACACGAAATAGTTTTGCAATAGAAGCCAGACTTTACAAAAAGAAAAGAAGAATTAGAGGGTGAACACTGTCCTTATGATTCAAGCCCTTGCCCGGAATCGAACAGCGCGCCCCTCAGTCAACTCGAAGTCTGACTTCATAGGACTATTTATTTCTTTAACCACTCGAACACCTCTCACACAGCATGATCTGACCTCGCCGACCTAGACGGGCGCTGCTGTGCTGGTGACAGAAATGTCACTAGACCGTTTAGATAAGGACATAAGCCAACGATGGAAGGAGATCTATTGTGATGGGGAGGAGCGAGACAGTTGATACCCGTGTGGTTGAATGGGAAACCTGAGGCTGAGCGTCGATTTCATATGCGTGTGGTATAATTCAGGCTACCTCATGAGAAATCAAGACTGACCACCTCAACTCGGATACTTTACGTGTGTTGTGACGGCTGCTTAGATAACATATGGTGGGAGTCGCATGCCATAGATCCAGACGGTGGTCTCGAAGGAGCGGTTGTTCGCTTTAAATTCTAGATATATGCCCTTTTGTTGGACCCTTCCATTTTTGTTTCCCTTGCCTTTTCCAAACCTAAACCACAAGAACATGATAGCTATTGGCACGGTAATGAGCGAAATATCTTCATTGACTTCACCCTCGCAAACCAATCATGGTGGTCAACTTGTCACTTTATTCTTTTTTGAGTCTGTTACTTAGCGAGGTGAAATTAAAAAACATGTACCCAAGTAGGAATAATTGCTCTTCAGACCCCAGAATCCATTTCTTATAAATGCTTAGATCTAGTCTACTGTCATTGCATAAGCGGAGGTAGCATACCATGTTCTGGAATCTGGTGCTTGTCAGCACATGGCATACAATAGTGATGTTGCTCAATTTGTTCCTGAAAACATGTCGTAAAAGCTTCATTGTCCCGAAGCTAGTCGGATGGCTTTAGCCCGGTGACGAAGACCCACTAAATAAGGACATTTCTCCACTGAAAAGTTGGGGATCAGCGCCGGGAGGCAGAAGCTCCAACCAGGGGGAAATTTCGCGACCGGGACTCGTCAACCTCTCGCAAACGCCAGCGCTGCACAAGCATCGCCAACTTTTCCTCTGCCCTTCCCACACCACCTCCTGGGCCCAGCGGCAAAAAAGCCCCAAGATACCCTCCAAAATGGCCTCGAAACGCAGCTACGAAGCCTCCGAGGGCAACGACGGCGCGCAGCAGCCCGCGTCCAAACGCAACAAGAACAACAAGGCGCGTGACCACCAAAACGCTCACATCGACCCGACGTGGGGACAGAAATACGTCTTCTCATCTGCCACGGGATCGACGACGGTGCCGGTGGACCCGGAGCTGGATTTTGAGGATGATGGAGATGCCATGGCGTATCTCAAGTCGGTGAGGTAAGAAATGCCCCCTTTTCACTAGGCTGCCTTCTTTCCCATGTGCTGAACTGGTCTTTCGAAGTAGCGCGGGTTGATGCTGATATGGTGAGTGTTATAGGACACAAGCAAACGGTATTCCGCACCTCCTCGTGGCACCAAAGGTCCCGATCGGCCCGCAACTTCCGAAAGAGCTCCAGTACGATGACGGCGACTGGGAGGATGCGTACGAAGAGGAGGAGGGCGATCGCGATATCTACACCACAGGCGAGGGCGACTTCAGGGGATACTACGCCGACGGCGCATACACAGCACGACCCGACAACTGGGGCAAACCTCACACAACCGGCCACGACGACGAAGTAGAAGAAGGCGAATGGCCCGGCAACGAAGGCATCTACGACGACCAAGACGACGAGTCCTCAGACGCCGGCGCCGACTCCGAGTCCGCCATCCGCGAAGCCTACTTCGCCGCCATCCTCACCCGCTTCAAACGCCTCCGCAAACTCCTCCACGCCACGCCACCCGCCTCCGCCGTCGCCGCCCTCCACCCAGGCTCCCCGCACGACTTCCGCGTCGGCGCCTTCGCGCCCAAATCGGCAACCTACACAACCTGGTCCAACCGCCTCCGCGACGCGGACCCGCTCCCGGCACAACTCGCCTCCATGGACAAAGAAGGCGTGCTGCGCGTGCTCCGCGTGCTGCTGGGCGGCGGCGCGTTCCTCCGGCGCGGGAGCGAGATGAAGGAGCGCACGAGCCGGTGGCTGTGGGCGCTGCTTGCGCGGTTGCCGGAGCGCGGGGAGATGAACCACGTCGAGGTCGGGTGGGTGAGGGATCTGGGGAGGCGGGCGGTGCTGATGATGCAGAGCCTGGCGGATATGGCTGCGTTGAGGGATGCTTTGGAGGGGGAGGGGATGGATTTGGGGGTGAATGATGCTGTTGACGAGAGTTCTGACGATGAGGAGGCGTTGGGGGAGATGGAGGTTGCTGAGAGGGATGGGGAGGGGAGCGGGGAGACGTCTGGGGCGGAGACGCCTGGTCAGAGGGTTGGTGTTCAGCTCCGAGAGGATGTTGCGATACCCAAGGACTCGGTCAGCAACGGCGAAGTCGAGGACGGTGAAATCGACGACGACCAAAAGTCAGAGCCAATGGACGTCTCCGAAGACGGCGAAATCGACGAAGGCGAGGTCGTGGAAGAAGAGCCGGCGCCGGTCGAAACGCTCGAGGAAGCTCGCGCTCGACTACTCGCCCAGGTAGACACTGCGGCGGCCGTCGAGGATGCGCCTTCAGAAGCACCGTCGGAAGAACCCATTGTGGAAGAGGCTGTCCAAGACGGTGAGGACGACAGCGAGGCTTCGGACCAGCTGAGGGCGCGAATGAACATGAGGGCGACGCTCAACATGATTCTGACCGTTGCCGGTGAGTTTTACGGGCAGCGCGATCTGCTTGAGTTCAGAGATCCTTTTACAGGTATGTAAGCGTGTTCAAGCATCATTTTTGAGCAAGATAGGAGGACAACGGACAGAGAAGGGCTCTAGAGGGAACTCCTATCAAAAAGGGACTTAAGTTTGCTGGCCCGCGAGGGCTCAGGGGTAACGTGCTAGCCTATGATACCAATACAATAAAAACACAATGGCGCAGACCATTAGCCTTTGAAGAGGCGTAATACAAACCTAGCTATTCATACCGCTCGCGAACACAATTTGTCGCTTTTTGCTCGCGGTTCCTCCACGCACCCTACTGAACAAATGTCCTCAAAGCAGCTCTTGCCGAGTACAAGTGTAACAGACACACGCTCCGTGATTCTCTGCGACCTAAAAGAAAACTCCAGGCGCCCGCCTCCGTAACTCAAACAATATCATAGCACAAACAACCCCATCTCCATCCAAACATCCGCGTAGAAGGAGGAAGCCTCCTTTTATGCATCGCTCATATCAGTGTCAGGCGTGACGAGGAAATCCGCTTCCTCGAAATCATCCAAGACAACGTTCTCCTGCCCCAGCCTGGTCTTCAAGCTACGACGGCTCTTCCTCGGGACAGCCAGCGGGCGAGCGTTGGCCCACCCAGACGGGGCCAGGCTCCGCGGGCTCACCTCGCCCTCCAACCACGCCGCGCGGTCCGCCCACATCTGTACCGGCTCGTCGCTCTCCTCGTCGTGAGCGAAGAAGCGCTTCTTGCTCCGTCCGTCGCTGGCCGTGCTCTCGACGCTTTCCACGCTCTCTTGGGAGCTGCACAGGCCCGGCATATCGTCCAGCCCAGGCACGCTGCCGTCGTCGAGTTCGTAGTCGTCCTCGTCGCTGGAGTGGTGGACCGGCTGGCTGGAGAGGCCTCCGACCTTGTTGATGCCGCAGAAGGGCAGAAGTTCGCGCTGGGAGGCAGCGGCGCTGCGAGTGCGGTTGGTAGAAGTGGTGGTGGTTGACCGGACGACAGGGGTGCGGCGGTCCGTGGCGTCGGTCCACAGCTTGAAGCTGCTGTAGGAGCCCGTCTTGTAGCCCTCTGGCACGGACTTGCGGACGCGCATGCCGACGGAGAGGAGGTTGGATTGTATGTCCGAGGGGATGGTTTCTTGGACGTTGGGCGAGGGACCGGCGGGGGGAGGAGCCGGGCCGGAGCGAGTGCTGAAGAAGGAGGTGATTTGGCGCTGGGAGGGGTCGCTTGATGCGCCGGCGAAGAGACGTTTCGTTCTCGGGGCCGACATGGTTGTGATGAGATTGAGGAAGTCGAGGATCTAGCTGAAGTTCACACAGTCGGCCTTTGGAAGACTGATCGAAATTGACGTTGAGGAAGAAGCGTGGCTCGTGGAGGCTGTGGTCCAGGCGTTGACTTCTTCTCGGTGGGCGTAGGAAAAAGTATCGTGAGATGCGGCAGTTCGGTGGTGTTGAGTGGAGAGTTTCAATTCGTCGACCGAAAAAGCGTAGGAGATGGTAACCGTAGAAACGATCGCAAGCGAGGAATGACGTACAGAAGCGAGAGAGGATATGTCGTAGAAGAAAGATGGGCGGGGGAGGAGGGGAGAAAGAAGAGGTTGGGAAGATGATGGGAGATTAAGTTGATACGAGAGGAAGGTGGAAAGGAAGGGGTGGTGGTGGGGGATACCTTAATGACGGACCTGGGCCGCTGGGTCGGGCGGTTTTCCAAGGTTGCGAGAAACGGGCAGCCCAGAGTGGCAGAGAAACGGAGGGACAACGCATGGGACATCCGACGATCCGCGGCAGGTGGGCGATTAGGCGAGAGAAAGCGCGTCTGGGCGTGTTTTTTCGCGAGACTCGCGCGGCCAGAACCCACTAAAAACCACTAAAAACCACTTTAGCTGTGCTGGTGGGGGACCATGTGCCCTGAAACTGACATTGACCGGCGGGTGATTGGCGCCCCTGCGTTTCCATTCCCATTGCCCCCTACCTTGGCCGGGGCGGGTTTCTCTCATTCAAGTTTTGCTGCTCCACGGGCCACCTCTTGCCTCAAGGAACGGGAGTCCGTTTGACAACGGGCGACACGGCCTCTTCAGAATCGGCCGAGAGGGCAAATGAGGCGAAGTTCTATCTCATCCGTGTTTTGTGTTATATCGGGATTGTGAACAATGCTTCTCGTTATGATTGTTGCCTTCTTCTATTCTTCCTCTCGTTCGCTCTTGTGGATTAAGCGTCTGTGGCAAGGAAGGTCGTGTCATCTAGCATGCTATCGCAGCAAGGTGACGCATTTGATAGGCGATCATCCTTAGAAACGGCCTTGATGTGCGCCTCCATTGTCCAATTGAGGCAACTGAACACACAAACAGGGCAGCATGCAGGCCGTGAGATGAACCTCTAGCGGTGTAACAGCAAAAGCGTTGTTCAGAGTATGGCTCGATTCTTATCTACCCTCTTGTGGCCTCACAGTTTCAACGTTTTCTTTGGCAAATGTTCTGTTCCATCAAGAGATAGCTGTCAAGGCATCCCTGGGCTTATCTGTGCCAGCATCAAGCTCTCCAAATTAGTGGTGTGCCACTGATACTGGTACTAGGCTGCGGAAAGCAGTGCTACGCAAAGGTAAGATATGCTCAGTGGTCCAGCCATTTGGAGAGCCACGGAGAGGCCGGTGTGAGGTGAAACAAATCTTAAGGGCGAGACACACGAGCCCGCCCTCATATGGCCATGCATCTTCACCAGCAACTTCAACATTCAAAATAAGTGGGCAGCCGGTGGGGGTCGTCGCAGATCCGTCAAGGTACACGCGAGCACGTCACTTCACCACATCCAAAGACACATCACGAGATCACGAGAAAACACATTATCAAGAGGCCGGCCGGGGCGTTTGTGGAAACCATTGAATTTCGCAAGCAGTGCTGATTCCTCCGAAACTCACTGCACTCCGGGTATGAAGCGATCATCAACCAGCGGTTCCACGTCCTCACGTCCAGGTCATCCCGTGGACCACCCAAACGCTCATGCGGAAAGCCATTTCCAGCTGTCCAACCCCCCATGCAGAGAGATAACATAAAACTCCCATTGTCGTGTACTGACTGAAGAAACGCAACGCATCAAGAAGAGACGGGCGTCGGAACGAGACAGAATGAGGGAGTGTGTGTGCGTGGTGAGCGATTGGTTGCCTTTTTGTTTGCTTGTTTTGTCGGCCGCGCGAGGAAAGAGAAGAAAACTGAGGAAAAGATGCGTCGATTGGTGATGCAAAGGATATCCGGAGACCCCAAACGCCCCTGTGTTTTTTGGTCAAGAGATTTTTTTGGAAGCTCCATCTTCTATCCGCAAAGGTGTCTGATTATGTTCTGTTCGAAGACAGCAGACTCTAAGAGCCCGTGCCAGGGTTGTCTATACGCCCATGCCCAGGTCGCTTGCTTTTGCAGATCCGAGATGTCCCACCAGTGATGAACCGTCCAAGTCGTTAATACCCAAGGGCTAAAAGAAAACCGTCGAGGCGAACAGTTTACTTTCTGCGGAAAGAGCAGCCCTCAGTGAGTCTCGCCTTACCACCGGTAGGCTGGCAGAGGACGGTGGTGCATCCCTGGCAGATGACGACGGTCTGGGCGTGGGAGAAGACGGTGGTGATGGTGAAGCAACCGGGGCACTTGACGTCCATGAAGAAGGAGCGGGGCGCGGGCACAAGGGTCTGTCCAACGTGTGAGTATCATCATATCTGTCACCATGTATTCGTGGTGTGGAGGGGTAGGGTAAGGTGAGGCAAGGTGAAGATGTCGTGAGGGTATCGTGGGTGTATCGTACCTTGAGCTTGTGCTTGCGGGCCTCGGCGGCCGGGGAGGGGTTGAGGAGATCAACGGCGAGAACCTGGGGGAGAAGCCATCAGCATGATGGTTCCTTCATCAAATGTCGCATGCGCAATCGTCGTGTCCTTCCTCCACAGCCCAGCCGTAACCATCTTTTCCTCCTCTTGCCATGATATTTTTTTTTTTCGCCACTCGCGTGTTCCCAATGCGGTCGGTTTATTCGGGTTTCGTTTCGTCGTGGAAGAAGACAACATCACACGGGTGATGCCAGGCATAAAATGCCATGGCAGCAGGAGGGCCTTACCATCTTGACTGATCTGATCGAGGATTGATTGATCGGTTATCGGATGCGAGTGCTGTCGGGCTTGACGGGAATCTGGTGGTGTTGAGAGAGCAGATTGTAGCACTCGCAAAAGAACGGTGATGATGGGGTGGTGGAATTGTGAGCCAGAGAGGGGACCCGTCCGCCAAAAATCCTCTCTCCGAGGACCCACATTAAAAATTTAGGGGAGGACAGTGTGCCGAGGAGGGCTGGATCACGGGACTTGACGCCTACACTTCAGTCCCGCCTATGATTGGCTGCGGACCTGCTGCCCCGGCCGTCTTACCTAAGGCAAGTGCACCCGCAAACAGCTTGGTGAGGGCGGGGTGTCAACGCTGGCCTGGCCGCTGGTCACCTTGAGCCGCTTCCATGTTCCATGTCGTTCTTTCCAGGCAGTCGGGTACTTAGGCATCTGCGATACTAACCTGCAGCCTGAAGTCACTGCCCATACCATTAAGGTGTCAGTAGCATCCACCAACATTTAGCCTCTTGCCTTGGACACATCAACACTCTCACCTACTTACCTTACTGCACTTACGCTTGCTCGCATACAAAATACCGTCACAATGGCAGCGCCGATGGACCAGAGGATACAAGTCCCAATCGATGATCCCAATGCAGATACCGAGTGGTATGTTATCTCGCGACAGCTACTCGGCAACTCCTGACACGTGCTGCCAGGAACGACATTCTCCGGAAACATGGCGTCATCCCAGAGAAGCCTCCCAGCCCGACTCCCATGATCGAAGAGGCCATCGCGGAAGGTCGCAGATTAGCGCATGAGAATCGACTTGAGGGCAAGGACCTCGACGAGCTTGACGAGTTGGAGGATGACGAGGATGAGGCATTCCTGGAGCAATACCGTCAGCGCAGAATGCAGGAGCTCAACGAGCTTACAAAGAAAGCCCTCCACGGCACCGTCTACCCGATTTCGAAACCCGAATACTCGCGGGAGGTCACAGAAGCATCCAACAACGGCCCGGTATTCGTTAATTTGACGTCATCGCTGGGCACAAACGTCGAGTCGCGAGTGCTATCAGAGCTCTGGAAGCAGGCAGCGCAGGAATATGGAGAGGTCAAATTCTGTGAAATGCGCGCGGATAAGGCCATCGAGAACTACCCGGAACGAAACTGCCCAACGATCTTGGTCTACAAGAACGGCGACATTGCTAAGCAGGTCGTGACACTTGTGCAGATGGGAGGCGTCAAGATCAACATGCTTCAGCTGGACAACCTGTTGGTCGAGGTCGGCGCTGTACCTGAGACGGATATGCGCGTGGCCAAGCGCCGGAGGCAAGCAGAGGACGAAGAGGAGGAGAGGGCCATGGGCAAAGGTATCCGACAAGGAAACGTGTCAAAGTCCAAAGGACACGACAGCGACGATGACGACTGGGACTGAGAGATGTCCTCGGGTTGTCAGTGTGAATGCGTCGTGATGTGCGGTAATACCCCGGTTGAGATGGATGGACGGGGATTGATACCTTGATCGTCCGCATGCTCTACAACGTGCGCAGCTTGACTCAATACGAGTTCTGCGTCGTCGGGTTTACGAAGTCATGGTACTTGTAGGCCTCGTCTGTACCTTTCTCATGCAAAGAGTTATTATGCTCTTCAGGATGAGGACTCGCCTCAATAGAGATGGCCAGGCCATACGTCAATGTGGAAATTGACGGTTCACCAAGAACTAAACCTTTACCACCATGCGAATTTGGACGCCTTCAGACCAAAGTGAAAAGCTATGCGCAACGAGGGAGAGTGTCTTGGGCAGCCGGTGTGAAAGTGTCACCACATGACGAGGGGCTAATCTTGGTTCCTGGATTTCGTGCATCTGATGCCCCGCGTGTTACCGCTGCGGAGACCCTGAAGGCTGAAGATAACGGCTATCGATTGGCCTGTGCATGGGTGGGGTCCAGGGTGTCCTGAGTCCCGGGGAAGGAAAGAAGGCTAGGCCGCTTTGGGGCAAGGTCTTCTAAGTTTCGGGAGGGCCAGTAGACAAGTGTTGGTCGCGTCAAGACGTAAACAATGCCTTTTTTCCATGGCTTTTCGAGAGACTGAACAAGTTGATAACTCCGACGTCTTTTCAGCTTGCACTTTGACAGCTTCTGGAACTCGGTACAAGGGTGTTCGGAGCTATCTTCGGAGATCGTGTGAGCGGAATACCCCTGTGGGACTTGACCCTGGCCGAACGCGTTCGAACCCCCACCTGCGTCACGACACGCGCTGTCCCACTCGCGGGCGAGGGTCGTGGTGGCGGGCCTCGGACGGGAGCTTCCCAATCTCTTGGTGCCGGCTTGACCTCGCACACATCTCAGATTCCGTCTCTCTTACATCTTCTTTCCAATCTTCGCCATGGCCGACGAACCCAGTCTTCCCAGCTTGTTGCCGTCCATCTCATGGAACGCCCAGACCCAAAGCTTTAGCAATAATCCGAGAAAGCGGAGGTACAACTTTAAAAGCCACTCTGTCGCGCCGCCATCATGGTCCAACTCTAGTGACCCTGCCGTATTTTCCAGCGATGACGACCCAGGTCTGGACAACTATGTCGAGGGACGGCGAAAGAAGAAGAAGTATGTAGGCTCTTGGTTCCACCAGCAGCCTGCATCTTCCGATTCTGCAACCGGGGAGCCGCGGCCAGCGCTGAGGGGCAAGCGAACCTTGAAGCGCGACCTGGACAGTGGTGTCTGGATGGGCAGCGACAGCACAGATGGCGACGAGAGCGTGATGATGCCCGATCTGCCGACGCAGTCGAAGCTACCTCAGCTCGACCGGGTAATGGCTCGGCGGCGCAACGTCATCTCGGCCGAGGAACTGGAAGCGCGGGAGAGGGTACAGCAATGTCTGGACTCTGGAACCGAGTATATTGATCTATCGTGAGTGTACGATCCAACTGCAGGCACCCAGGTAGATCTGACTGTAAACAGCATGATGGGACTCAAGACTCTCACCGATGCTACCATTCGCCCTCTGTCCGAATTCTCCTGCATTCCCATTGTTGCCGAAGGAGTACCGTTTGAGCAGAAGGATCCCGCTTTGCAGCTGTATCTGTACCGCAACCCTCTGCAGCGGCTTCCGGGGGCCATATTCGACCTGGAGCACCTGACAGTGCTTTCGCTCCGTGGATGCCGACTACGGGAGCTGCCCCCTGCGATTGGCAAGATGCGAAGTCTTCGCACCCTGAACCTCGCCCAGAATTTGCTTAGATACCTCCCGGCCGAGCTTCTGGATCTCATGGCAGCTCCCTCCGCCTTGGAAGAGTTGCTTCTACAGGGCAACCACTTCTTTCAGGCGGCTGAGCGGCCTGCGCTGGCTGACTTGGAAAGTCTCGAGAGCGACGCTTCGGGAGGCTCGGAACTGACCGAGGCGTGGAAACCCGGCTTTGACGGTGTTGCGGGCAGGTTCTTTGTACGATCACCGGTCCACTATCTTGATAGCTCGGGCTTCTCGCACTCTGAGTTCCGCCTTGACCCGGAGGGAGTTATCGTGCAGACGGAGCGGCTGGACGACGCCGGAGACACCACATCACTTATCTCCCCACCGTCATCGGCGCCTTACCACTCCAAGTCCGCTGGAAGAAGCGTTCCGAGTGCAAAGGGTAGCCGTGTTCCTAGTCTGATGGAGTTGGCACTACGCAGTGCCTACAAGAGCTCCGACCTTGGCGACCTGCCCGACTACATCCCTGATTCGCTGCCTCACTTGCAAGCCCTCCTCGAGCGTGCTGCCGACCAGCGTGAAGTTGGCGGACTTGCTTGTTCTGCGTGCAAGAAGTCCTTCGTGGCACCCACAACGCAGTGGCTGGAGTGGTGGCAGGTTTGCCTCGTTGAGAGCAGGCAGACTCAAGAAGGCCACGTCGTCAAGGCTCGTCCCTGGACGGACTTGGATGAAGAGAACGAGGGAGCTGTTCCGTTCTTGAGGAGAGGATGCTCGTGGAAATGTGGCCCTGCCAGCTTGAAGGAGGGACAATGGACGATTGCTCCTGTTAGCAAGGAAGAGTGAGGGCGGGGAGTTGAAAATTGTTTGGGATTATCTGTTACATGGCGCTTGTTATTGGCACGGAGTTGGAGGCAGACTGATTTGTGTTTAAACCTTTTTATTCAGGTTCCAGGTTGCGTTGTTCGATATCCAGTTTTCTTAGCTGAAGCTCGTTCCAACCCCTTTGCATATCGTCCCCTTGTTGTACCACTCCACTGAAGGCAAGATCTCTGATGCCACCCATCTCGCCGTCTGAGCATGCAAGCTGCCGTATCCGAATGGCTTATCTGTCTTATCCTTCCTCATCCTCTCCCCTAGATCCAACTGCGCCATGTCTTGGCTCGCAATCTCCACGTCATCACCACTGCTACTTTCTGGCGCAGTAGTACGCGGAAATGATGTCGTTTCCTCTGCCAAAGCCTGGAAGATGATGAGCTGATCCTGTAAGTACTTGTCCACCGTCGAGCCCGGTATTGATAGTTCACCAAGTAGACCGCAAACGACCGCGCGGCTGGTGGCCCACGCGAAGTCGTCGGGCTCGTGCCCAAGTTGTCTACGCCGGCTCTGCTTCGGAGACGCGGCCTCGTCGCAGCCCCAACGTAACATCCCAGAGGCGTCCTTGGCTACCAGGAGGGTATACATCCGCTTGTCGTTGCCCGAGTCCTCGACGTGCTTGAACACTATCTCTGCATGGGGGAAAGCTCCGGCGATTTCCGTCGCTAGTGTTTCTTGGAGAATGGCTTGCTCGCAGGAAGGGACGATCATTGTGACGTCTATGGAGTGTACTACCTTGCGACGTTCTGAGGGAGCACCGTCGTATGGGTTCGATATGGGAGATAGCTGACGCAGCGGCTGGCCTGGTTTGAGAGGGTGAATCGTGAGTACGATGGAGCCCCTGCTCTGCGGTCCTTTGCTCCATCCGCGCGCTCCCAGTTTCCGCTCCACGCGTACGCCCTCGAATGAAGATTCTAGGCGTGGGAGGAGGACTTGGTCTAGGTACTCGTACGAGAGTGAGAAATCTACATTCGTCCCGCCCTGAATCTCTAGCTCGATGGGTTTAGCTTCGTCTCCACCTGCGAAGAGAAGGAATGGGAGGATGGCCTGGAGAATCAGGAGCGTGCTCGCGGCGCTCGTGTCCGCCACGATCTTGATCTTGCGGGACTTGTTGACTAGAGCAGCGGAGGGCGAGAGATGGGGGATGAAGGTTAGGGTGCTGCTGCCTACGGAGAGGCCTTCTACCTCTGCGTCTGTTGCTTCTGCTAGCCACCGGATTGCGGTGACGTGTTGGGCTTTGAGACCTGTATTCGTTGTTGTTAGTTTACCGTGTTGGCTGAGATGGGCTGTGTATAAGTGAAGGCGTGGGCGCTCACCGCCTCCTTTGCTACTACTGCTGTCGCCTTTCTTACTCCTCCCACTTCCACCTCCGCCACGCGAAGGACGATTCCCTCTTACGTTTGTGATGCGTACCGGCTGAGTGGTGACTGCTGCGAGGGCTATGGCGACGCGGACTAATTGTCCGCCTCCTTCGCCGGTCCGCCCGTCGATTTCGATGGGCTTGCGGGACATGCTTTCTCTTGATTCGGATTGATTGAGTATACCGTGGGACTCGAATTCTTAGATGTGTAAGCTGCACCGTTGATTGGGTGCAATTCCGAGTCACGGAGCGGCCGTCTCACGTAGAGCAATGTCCCCGAAATCTATTGGCTTGAGTAAGATGTCAATGTTGTGATTGAAGTAAACAGATTGTCTTCGATGAGCTTTTATGAGCATGAGGTTTAATAATCCGGGTGGTGAGGCACGTTGACGGAGATCCTGTCAGATTTGAGTTTGGATGCCAATTGACTCATACGCCGGACGACACTCGCGATCTTCCAATGTTGGTTAGGCCCCCTTATGGCCTCTGCGTGCGCCTACTTGAGCGGCTAACTACGACCAAGGTACCTTCGCGGATAGGTGATCAGGCACCCATTCAATGCATTCGATTTACCCTAAATGAGCCTGATCCTTCATAGGAGAAATGTTGGAAGGAGATCAGTTCGTATTCGTCAGCTAATTCTAGCATAGCTCAGCCTCCGGGGAGGAGTGGGATGCTAACGACGCAAGAGTGAGGCGACAATTGCATGCGTGTCCTGATGGTGCAAAGGCAACCTGAATTCCTGATTGCTAATAAAGTCAACGCAAACCGGCGTCGTGAGACACTCATTGTTGCTCTCATTTGGATGCTTTGTTTCCGTTTCTAGCTCCAATTTGGCTCCTTCCCTCCTTGTTTGATGAACGACACCTGCCCCTGAAAACGGCCAAAGTTTGCCCCGGCGTCGAGATCCGCCAACCATCGGGGGCCGCTTTGACCTCGCCGAATCTCCGGAGATTATTTCAACTTCACTTCCACTTTCCCTCAGAACCACCTCGATGCCTCCTGCGATACGTTTCTCGTCATTGTGTCCTTCTGTCTTCAATCACGAGATCTGGTGATGTTATGGGCTTCACTTCTAACGCCAGCTTTCTTTTAGGCTCTCCCGACGCACCGAACGGAGACCTTGCTGCAGAGACAGGGGTTCAAAGAGTCGCCGAGCCAATCACCGCTCTTTACCACAGCCATGTTGAATGGAGTGCACCGCATTTGCAGGGTCGACGTACAACTGGGAGCTGACGTCTCAGCTGCGCCTTACCAGAGGTACAAGACCTCGGTCTCGGGGCTCGCAAGACACCTCGGCATCAATGCATTCGTCTCACTCACTTACACGCGAGCGGCGACTGCCGAGTCCGTCCGAGGAAGCGACGTTAAAGACGAGCAGAGAAGGCGAACATTTGGAGCGGTGGAGGCGAGAAGTGAAAGATCCGGGAAAATCACCCAGCCGTCGACAGCGAGAGAGCGGCCCACAGTTGTTATAGGCCACGGGCTCCACGTAGTCTGCCTGGGACTCTGATTCGACTAGGGCAACTTGATGGTCACAGCACAACATCAGGAAGCCCAATTACAGCCACTCAATACTCCAAGGCAGCATGGCATAACGACGACGAATCTTAGGCGTTGATGCAGGACACGACCAAGCTGCGCTAGGTGACTCACTCGTGTGACTGCGAAGCAAAGAGACACGAGAGTATAAAGACCTGGCCTGCCTCGCAATCAAGTCGGTGCCCCAGAAACTTCGAGGTGCGTAGTATAATTCAATGGATTAATATGACTACTCATCAAAAGGCGAAAAGAGATGGGCCAGCAGAAGTAAATGAGCTGGTAGCCAACACTCCAGAACCTAGACTTTCGTGGAGGCGGCACCAGCCTCATTACAGATAACCCAGACTACATTCCATTCACATAGTCATATTCTCAGCAAACGGAATATGAACGCACAGATTCTAACAAGATAGACAACTCACCTCCTCACATGCTCCAGGAAGATAAAGCCATTGGATGGTGAGGTCCGCTCAGAGGTCGAATGAAGAACACATTATTGATCACTTAGGTAACGATGGTACTTTGGTGTAGTTGCATTCACTTCGATCTACCTTGATATCCCTTCTCATTTCACTTCCTATCAATGTTTTCATGGACGGTTTAGATGGATCGTAATCAGACCTGATTGCACAGCTCCTCTATGGTAGGTACACTCTTGACTTTACTTCCATTCATGGATCGTTACCTTCGCAGACAGACTCCAGAGTTCGCCTGCCGTGCAAAAGCGGCATATGGTGATCCAGCGGGATCTCTTGCCCGATAGTTTCAACCACAATTCCGGCTCGTCTCACGATTTCTTCTTCCATGCGGACCATTCTATCAATCATATCGTCCTTTGAGGGGTTCTCCAGTCTTGTGGTGGACCCTGGCTGCATTGCAAAACGGCCCAGATTTCTTCTGCATCAGCACAGCCGGAACCTTCTGCATATACAGGAACTTAGGCCAATCATAGAGAGGCCGTTCAGCGACACACAGCGCAGATCCGGGTCGAAGGGTGGTACACCGGCTGCGGCCCCACTGCAGCCGGAGATCTGCATCGATGGGCCCTATCTACGATTCCATTCAATGAAGCCGCCACCCGTCCTGCCATCGCACTGCCTCGAAGACTCCATGGATTGGAAATCAACTTCGTTGGGGAAGCTGCTCTAGTTTCCCATCAAAACGTATGTTGATGGCGATAATGCGAAGCCGAGACCGATCATGGAAGCGAAGAGGCAAATTTTCGAAGAGCGCAGGCTGCGCTTTCTAACATAAAGGTGGCACCGGTGACTTCTCAGACTATCCAAGACAATGATTCGACCTTGACAGCCACGAAAAAAAGCGAAGTCCTTCCCCGATACGCGAAAGCAATGTCCGCTAAGCAACCCAAGTGGCAAGCTGGCTTGGGCACCAGAGTCATGGGCATCTTAACACGAACACCAAACCGTGTCACTACGGATCATCAGGCCTCCGGCGCTGGAAATCGACGGCAACCGACATCTACATCATTGTGTCTGACTCAAGCCAGGTGTACTGGACGAGTCACCACTCATCAACCCTACAGGTATTAAAGCCCTAAACTACCCTGCTTCGCACGTCAAGGGTTTGGGTCCGAAATTCAAGAATGATCTATTGCAATACGGAAACTCGACGACGTGATCAAGGACGAACTGTTCCTACCAAAACGATGAACCACGACAGTCTAATCGAAGACAACTCTACACCGTCGACACTTCTCGTAACATGCAATAACCACAGATTTGGTATGTGCTGTGTGGATCTCCTTCTGTCGATACTCTTTTCTTTATGATTTTCTTCTCCGTTCGCCCTTGCGGGGGTTCTTTATAACATGATATCCATATGCATTCTTACTCAGACAAACTGTCTATCAAACAGGGGTATAACATCGACGAGGTCGAGAAAGAAATCATGGAGTCGATAGCCATGATCCTCAAAGTTTTGAGATCATTGGCTCCGAGGCCTACAGATAAGGTCAGTCTGAATATGACAATGGATGGTGAACAACGACATACTCTGCTTCGAGCGATGCAGAGGTAAACATCTCTCGCGACGCCCCTAATCTCGTCGCCTGGAAGGCCGACTAGGAGTATCCCGGCGAGATGACGAGATACCTTGGCGACTGCTGCTTGGAATGCCAAAGTCATCGTCGAGCTGCCGAGCATAGTGGTATGTCTGTGTCGATGAGGGCTGCTGGCCGTAGCCGTACCCAAGATCCCTGACACTGCTGAGTACATCTTCGTGGCTTCGCTGTTGTGGCTGGGCACGGGATGCCGGTCCAGAAAGTCTCTGGGCGTACGCCGCGCGGTCCTCTGGCGACCAACCTGGTTCTTGCAGGCGCGGTTGATCGCTAGAACCACTATCAACATGTCAGTATCGCTCTGTGAGATGGTGATCTATGCTGCACTCTTACGCAAAGCTACCAGCTACAGAGGCTTGGGAGTAGCTGACACCGGCAGACGCACTTGAGCTACGCGAGTTGGTGTAGCTGCCCATCTGCTGGTGTGAGTCGTTCGATGCCGGATACCAGGTACCGGACGCGCTTGGCTGAGCATAGGACCCAGGGTTCCCATAGCTGTTTGCTGTTGAGGAGTGCTGGCCAGAGGGGTAGGAGGTCGATGACGATGAGTGGCTGCTCGAGGTGTTGGAGCGCCTTTGCGATGCCGAGTTGGTCTTGCTGCTTCGAGTCATGTTTGGGTTGATACGGAAGTGACTTGGGAACGTTTGGTGTGAGTTGGATCTTCTGTCCTGGCAAGTGGTTTCGTCAGTGGATGCCGTGATATTTAAGGTGTTGTAAGAATACTGGAGGTAAGTTCGTATCTGTTATATCGACACAGACATGAACGCGGGGTACTGAGGATCAAAGAAGGGCCTGAACGGCCAGGAGTCATCCAGGCAGCGAACGACTAACCTTCGACACTAGCCACCCCCCGAGGCGCAGACCTTGTCGACTTGTTCTATTTCCCAGGACCGCCTCATCCACTCGCCTCCGGGGGCCGTGCAGACGAAGACGGCGGGGCCGTTCTTTTGCCAAGTGCCATCCAGCGGTGTTGTCAGTCAGGGAGCTGACGTATCGCTCTCAGGTGCACGGCCTGAGTATATGGAGGCCATGGCTAGGTAGCCGGCGTGGGTAGGTAATCGTTGTAGCGACATAGTGGCCGCCTTGATGCCCTGGCTCACCAGAACATGGTTCGCATGGGACGTTTCCCCTTTGGGCCCCTGAGCTGCTGACAGGACGACAGATAATTGGTCGCATCAAGCGTTCGACACAGAGTCCTGGGCCGATGGGACCAGTTCCCAGACGATTCTAGACCACGCGGAGCAAGAGCAAAGCTCGGGCTGTTGGGGAGGAGGAGGAAAGAGAGGAGACACCAACTTGTGGCCGAGGGACCGCCCATTCCAGGTGAAGCTTGCGGAAAGCGTCATGGTACTTGCTTAGGCACAGATGATGCCTGGGATCCAGCTTCATGAACGGGCACCGCCACACCGAGTAGGACCGTGGAGGCTTGGGCACCCCGGAAGATGCGACTCGGCCCACGAGAAGAAGCCCGGCGGAGTGCCTTGGTGTACAGCCATGCCGCCGTTGCGGCGATGCATCTTGTGGCAGCGTCAAATAGCTCGGGACGGGTGGCGAATTGCTAACTGCGTCAGAAGAGTCACGATGGCGGATGAGCGAAGTTCTTTATGCCCTCGTCAAGTTTGCATTTGTTTTGCTAAGATGCGGGGTTCATCAATGATCACGAGGTGGAATGCGTGCAATGGATATTGCATCATGCATACCAACAACGCATACCTGCAGAAATGCACAGTACCGGTTGGAACTGTCTTGGTTTGCCCATGATCGCCCGCACAGCGGCTTATCTTGCGGACAGAGTCACCGGCGCCGTGGTAATACAGTCTCACCAGCAAGATCGAGGGGACACTTACTCAGGCGCTGCCAGCTTCCATATTCCCTGACACTTGAGACATAGGTAGGTAATCTGCCTTTCTGTCATGCCTACCGGTGAAAGCCTGACCGGCACACCCTCGACTCCGCCGGGTTCAGCCATCCGCTTACCGCGAGCTCCATCTCACTGCTTGATACACCCTCGAAGCATCAGCACACAGCCAGCCAGGCCGAATACGAGAGCATCATCATTGGGCGAGCGGTCGCTTCTTGGGCTGCACCAAAATGGTTGTGGATTCCTGGTGGTACTCACCATTGAATCTCCATGTCTAGCACAACAGGCTGCAGGATCGCAACCCCTGTCAATCGCTTCACAGGCAGATTCTGAGAGTATTATGGTGTCCTACGGCAGACTGGGCGGCGGCTGCAGAGAGACACGGTGCTGGCAGCCGAAAAGCCTGAGAGCGTGGGCCCCGCCCGCACCGCATGCTTGCTTTTTCTCTCTTGGACTACTGCCATCTCAGTGATCTCGCACCCCCTGCGGCACGCCAAACATACTGAGCGGGTAAGCAAGGCAAGGCACGTCACTTACTATCGCATGAACACAATGGGGGCACCTGGGGGCACGGGGGGCATTGCACCGCAGCAAGCAGCCGCTTTCTGCACTGATTCCCAATGCCCACGTTGATCGGGCGCTGGGCTGAATTCCATCACAAGCTTGTGAGCTGAGCTGAGGGCGAACAGGCAGGTTGAACATGGAGAACGAAGGCCGGAGGCTGCCCCGCAGCGCCCCCACTCCCGTTCATCGCCTTATAGCCGAAGACGGTCCACCACTCAACGCGACGTTGAGAATTGTGACCGAGGTTTCTCCTGACGCAAAAGCTGATTTGAAGCATTGCTAATTGCGGAGGGTTTCTATACAGTACTTCTCAGCCGACCTTTCTTGAGTGAGGAGATGCAATTAGGCCCCATAAGCTGTGATGAGGACGTCAACAGTCGAAGCCGATCCAATGATCCACGGAGTTTAGGCAACATACACGTCATGCAAGCTGTGGACAGGCTCAGAGAGAACCCGGAAATGATGCAAGAGACTGCTTTCCTAAAGTTGCGCCAAGGGATACGTCTTAACAGACCTATATCCGACCCAGAAGTTAAGAAAGTTTTCGATCTCGCCGTTAAGTCTACTATCTTGATGGACCCAAATGCTAAACAGTGGCATGCAACTGGGTATAACTTGGGGGGGTATCAGCCAGATTGCTGGTATTCTGATGACAAATCCATTGACTTTGTCTCTCATTCACTCGCCCCGGCTTCTCTTAGTGATGGTAACCCTGTGGAAACCAAGATGACGAAGAGCCTCAAGGATTCGCTGAAAGCATGGAAATTGAAGAAGCGAACAGGAACGAGCTTCCGACTGACAGACGACATTGCAAAGCATCTTCTCTACGAAAGTGGCAAAAGACGGCAGTTCATTTTCCACCACGCCCAGGTCCTCAAAGCTCAGATTGACTTGTACCATTCACATCCGGATCCACTTCAGGGGAGTTTAGAAGACAATCTCAGGCAGTAACAGTCAAGTCTGACTGCATACCTTTCGCGATACCATAAACTGAAGAGGGATTGTAGCGGAACACTTCCACCTCAAGTACTGTTGGAGACGTTACGCTCGATCCAGGACCTCTTATTTCCGCCTTCAGAACACAAATCTGCGAAGATCCTCAAGAAGCTTCATATCAAAGCGACGCAATGATTTCGATCCTGAATGCTACCGATACGATGGCGTGCATTTGCGAAATAAGTTGCTAGAGGACTTCCGATATATATTCTGGAGTGGGCGTGTGGACGCGTTGTGTAAGCTGTTGAAAGAGCGACCCCCGCGAAGTACTCTTGAACGTTGGCTTAGATGGCAGAGTAGTGAACGTAATGCCCTTCTCGTGGCTCTGCTGGCCATTCTGATATCGATTCTTGTCGGGATTATCAGTATCGGACTTGCAGGGATCCAGATATGGATTGGGTATGGTATGGAAGCATCCCGTTGAGTGACGAAACCACGTCACATGTAGCTGTATTTACTGCTTAGATTTCGCAAAAGCTCAATCGCCCTCAAAGTGAGGACATAGTTATTGCTTTGCTCACGTTTATGACTGGAGAGATTGAAGAACAATACAGAATTGGGAGGACATCGTGACTGCAACAAGCATCACGATAACCGGAGGATCTTATCTTCCACCCCACTTACCTTACCTTATCGCGCAAAAGTTTAAAAGAACGCGACGCGTTGAGCACACTTTAACGCATCACGCCATGACCAGCTTAATGGAAGATTACCGAAATGAGACCATGGAGCAATCTGTGGACCCAATGGCAAAAGAAGGTATCCACAACATCCAGGATCTGAGTCGGGAGCTTGAGATCAGTGAAACATAGATAAGGAAAATTTCCGCCTCCTGGCACAAAGCTACCGACACTGTTATCATCTCATCCACAATAGCTAGCTCTCTTCCTCTCCGTTCCACCTCCGATCACGCAAAGATACACTTTATTGCCATCACGATGTCTTCTACCGCCTTCGTTCAGCGCCCTGCTCCCGCCTTCAAGGCCACCACCGTCTTCCCTGGCGGCGAGTTCAAGGACATTCAGCTGTCCGACTACTTGGGACAGTGGTATGTGGATTCACGCTGCACTAGCCGTAGCGAAACGGCGCGCCGAAAATGAGACAATCTAGAGCTAAACTTATTGATCTTCTCTAGGGTCGTCCTTCTCTTCTACCCCCTTGACTTCACCTTTGTCTGCCCGACCGAAATCATCCAGTACAACGACGCGCTGCCCCGTTTCAGCGCCATCAACACCACCGTCCTCGGCGTCTCGACCGACTCCCACTTCTCCCACCTGGCCTGGACCGAGAAGCCCCGCAAGCAGGGCGGCCTCGGCTCCGACCTCCAGCTGCCCCTCGTCGCCGACAAGTCCCACAAGATCTCGCGCGACTACGGCGTCCTGATCGAGGAGGAGGGCGTCGCCCTTCGCGGTCTCTTCATCATCGACCCCAAAGGTATCCTCCGCCAGATCACCGTCAACGACCTGCCCGTCGGCCGCAACGTCGAGGAGACCATCCGCCTTGTTGAGGCTTTCCAGTTCACCGACGAGCACGGTGAGGTCTGCCCCGCCGGATGGATGAACGGCAGCAAGGGCATGAAGGCCGACCCTAAGGGCAGCCTGGAGTACTTCGCTGCTCAGGGCGAGACCAACGGCACCAACGGCCACACCAACGGCAACGGCCAGAAGAGAGCGAGAGTCGAATAAGTGTCTTTCTAAGTCGAGGAAGGGTGACGAAAAAGGGTACGAGTGTATAGACTATAGATGTAGAAACTAGACTTGTAGAACACTAGAACTGCTAAGACAGATGTAAAAAGTATGACGCGGGTCCAATCAACCTGCAGCGTCTCAATCCCAAGTTTCCTGATCAACATTTGCCGTTTGACGTGATGTCATGTCGGAGATTTAATGTGAGCTAAGGTGATTAAGGTCAGGGTCAAAAGAGGGCGTGTGTCGGTCTGGACCCACCAGGGACATCCCAAATACATATGTCTTAATCAAAAGTAGAGCTCTGTTTAAACGTTCATGTTGGCTTGACCATATTTCCAAAGAGAAGACAATGATGCCATGCTGTACAGGTATAATGGAGGTCATGGATGATACGAAACTTGGGAAACACTAGTGTACAGGAAAGACATGAACAAAGATGATGTGATCCCATCCAAAAAATGTTAACGCAGAAATAGAAGAACAACCATGAATTTAGAAACGAGACGATTCTGAAATAAGATGCGCCGTATTCAAATGTAGACTTCAAAGATGCAAGCCCTCCATGCTAAGCAGAAGTCCGTTGCCTACTTGCTCTTGTAGAGTGGCTTCAGAGTCTCCTCGATCCTTTTCTTGGTGTTGCTCTTGTGCCTAGTTCGAGTTGATCGACCACCTTCCCGCAGTTTCTCCCGATGTCTTCGTTCTTTCTCTTGCTTCCTCAAATAGTTGGCAGTTTCATTTGCTCCACCTTGACCAGATGAGGAGGCCGCAGTGTGGTCGTCATCGTCATAGTCTCCATGGAAGCTATGATAAAGTGTAAGTATGTTCCGCATCTGTATGCCTCAGGGGTAGCGATGTTGAATACCTCCCAGCTTCTGCTGCGTTATCTTCATGCTGATGATAGCTTGGGCATTTCTCGCCATACTGGGCTTGATGGTATTGCTGGGTCGACACTTGGTTTGCATTCGTGTAGGATGGTTCCGTATAGGGATACCATTGCCCATCGCTTGCTTGGTAGTATAGTCGGCCGTCGGCGCCGTATTGAATAGAAGATGACATGGCTGGCTTCTTGAAGATGAAGCAAAAGAGGGCAACAGGTGGGGTAACCGAAGACGAGAGTTTGGTGATAAACGACGTAGCTATTTGCGTTGAAGTGATGCTAAGCGAAATATCAGCTCGTTGTTGCCGGCCGACGATGCGTTCCCGTCATATTTATAGTGTGGCCAGTGACACCAAGCTTGATGTGTGTTCGTGGGACCGTGACAACCTTGGGCGTCCTGCCTATCCATGACCAGAACATCTCGAGCCCTCCCAAACATGGGTCATCGTACTGAGCTTTGACATCGAATCGATAAAGCAAGGCCAAAGTCCGTTGCCATGGATGGAAGATAGTGTTGTTTGAAGTTAGGGATAACCCTGGCCCACTGTCGGTGAAGGATGTCGTCAAGCTTTCTCGAACCGAATGTGTCATGAAGGGGCGGCTATTACAGACTGGGTGATAGGTCAGCTTCTTGGAAAATGCAAAGCAAAGAGCAACACAGGACAACGGGACAGGGGTTATACAAAAACATGGGGCCGATCAACAGCTTCGCTTTAGGTGCACTGGCAGCACTGCCGAGGCAGACTGCTGCGGCCCTTCGACACGGTATCTCTTGTAGAAAGAACCATAGCCCCTGACCAGTGATCAAATCACTCTGCTGGATGAGAGACTGTCTTTCTGTTGCACCAGAACAGACGAGCGTTCACCGGTACGCTGACATTTGTGGACCGCCAGGTTGCCTGCGCTGCTATGACACTGGAGGCAGGTCCACAGCCACAGTCAGAACTTGACGCAGTTCTGTGCCGCAATTGAGGGAGCTGTGTTCGTTGTTGATGCCGGCGCCTTCGGTGGTATAGCAGGTTCGGAGAACAAAAACGGCCACTACCGGGGGTGTTCACTGCAAAAGAACCACCGAGTCCCCGTGGGTCGTGATACCCTCGATGCCGAGCCGTTGCGGAGGATGAAGAGTCGGGGAGGCCGAAGGTGAACCTGGAAAGATAATCTGGGACAAGTTGGGGCCGTTGGGGTCTAATATCTCAGGACAGCAAGGATTCAGTAAGCTCTGCAGCCGGCAACCTGGATTTTGGGATACAAAACAGATGATCTTGCGGCAGGCTGTGGAGGGATCTAGGTTGGCGCCCATCCTACGGAAGGTTTACTCCCTGTTGATGGTGTAACGGGCGGCTAGTAAACCCGCCTTTGGGTAGTCTTCCGAACGAGAAAGTTGTAATTGGGAAGTCTTGAAACGAAGTTGGCATATACGGCTGCCATCCTTTGCGCCGGGAATAATCAACCGAGAATATTGACCGGTGTTGTTGTAGGCAAGATGACCAGGAGAAGGATCAGACTTGGCCATGGATGATGGAGGCACAGCAGACAAGCAGACGGCACAGTTAAGCCGTCTTGACTGACCGACAATTACCTCAAATCGCCTGACATGTCGGTGCATTTGGAGGAAAGACAAATCTTCGTCAAGTTCGTCTTTACCTTCTCCTCGAGCCTCGGGCCAGAGCAACGACCATCCAGCTCTCGCGAAAGCTTTTATTCCCCGCATTGTAGAGACATGTTTCTCAACGACAGCCGCTCGTGTTGGAGCTGTCGATCTAGCTCACCCCAGCGTTCGAGCGCCACAGGTGCTTCAGCTATCTGCAAGATATCGGAGATCCTTACCTCTGTCGGCAGGCTGGCATTCTCGATCGGTAGAACGATGTGACATGGCCAAAGAGATTGAAGTCAAGACAGCGCTTAGAGTTAATCATTGATCCCAGAAAGCCCCAGTGCCATGCCATCGGATTTCTTTCTCCAGGATGTTTCAAGATCAACGTGGGTGGCTTTTGTCCGTAGATCGCAAGTTCTTTTACGACTTTCCTCTTCGGCGGCGATGTATGAATCACATGTTGTTTCCCATGGAAAACGGGCCGTAGTGTATCAAGGGAGCAGCGCGCCGACCGCTGCTAATTCTCGCGTGCCGAAATGAATTGTGGACAAGACGCAGGCAAAGCAGATCAGTCACATTTATCGATATGCTTTCGTACATAGCTGAACTGCAAAGGCCGGGAAAATTGGGGCCTGTCTCGGCCGATGCGACCCTCATTATGTGTGGTGGTGGTGTTGCCGAGCTTCCAACAAGCGAGAAACCATTGAACCCAAGCTTTCATTCTGGCTTCATTATCCAGCCTCCAGCTTGAAGGTATGCCGCGACGTGTCAGTCCGCTCGTTAAGTGTCGGCAGCCCAAGATGTCCCGCCAGTGTTCCTTTGATGGGGAAGCGGATTAGGCAGGTAGTAGGAATCGCATCTCATTGATTTTGATCGTTACACTATCAAGCTCGAGCCTGGTGCATCTAACAGAAGAGGCGTCTACAGCCGCAGAGTCTGGCCTTTCCACCGAAGGTGTCCTCACCACACCAATTCATCATTATGAGCCTCCCTAAGAATACATAGTCACGTTGCATTCCACGTATCCCCCACTCGAAAACCCGATGCCTCCGCTCCATCTACTCCATACGTAGACAGGTAGAGGGCATCAAAGATGATAAGCAATAGAACTGCGGCTTAGACCTTGAACAGAGTCTTGACAAAAATATTAGTTCTGCTCTGTGGCTACAAGTCAGTACATGTTCGTAGGCCGCAAACGTGAGCTCGCTTGCGTTGTGTTTCTGCTTGCTGGGGCCCGGTGGAATCATTACCTGCCTGGGTGATCTCAGCCTGATTTGATGCGCTGCATCAGCGATCCCCTTTCGCGAAGGCTCCCTTGTTTCCCCCAGTGAACTGACGAGATTCGATGCCCTCAGACAGCTTAAGAGGTTGCAAAAGCGAATTCAACCCCGGGATGGCGCTCAGCGCGCTTGCAGCCGCACTTTTCCCTTCCATCCTGGCCTGCTTGCCAGAGGTGCTTCGATCTGCAAGCCTCTCATGCGCACTCTGCACGGCATCCACAAAGTCAGTGAGTGGACGCGTAGGATGCCACATTTCTGCAGACCCATGCTTGTCATGGCTTGAATGGCCATCCACAAGGTTATTCATAGATGATCTGGAAGTGTTTTAGACAAGCACATTCAGAACAAAGGCAATACCCACGCTGCGGAGCCATCTTGGGCCCCGGTACAGCTACCAGCGCTGAGTGGAGAGCCTTGCAAGGCTGGAGTGGAATGATGAGGGCTCACCATCTTCACCGCTAGATTTTGAAGCTTCCTGATGGTGGGTGAGCGAGACTTGGGGTCCAAGGAAGAAAGCCACTTTCAAGTGAATGGGTGTGAAGAGGGTTTTGTAGAGCCCACTGTATCATGTACGCGGCCTCTCACTCTCAAGAAATCAAACTTGCTCTCGCCGACCGGAAGGCTCACATGTCCTCCTGATGTTTGAGGGGTGGAGCTCCCACCCCTATGAGCCTTGCTTGTGGTTCAAGTGCTCAGAGGCATGGTGCGGTTACTCTGCACTTTCTGTTCGGAAGTTACTCAGGAAGTCTCTCGACCCCAAGGAAGAAGTCACGAAGGGCAGAGCGGGACCCGAATGAGTACATTAAAAGCCTTCGAATGGGAAGTTCACATCGACCACCCTAATACAAGACTGCTCACCTACCACTATGAGGCAGACGTGATCGAGCTAATGCCGACTGGAAGTAAGAAAGACGAGGCGATGTTGAGGAATACGAAAGTTGCCTCGTCATGGTAACCTGAAATAGGGGGGCTTGTATTGGACAAGAGTGAAGTGGAAGTACACCCCTTCTCTCATGACTCCTGATGATACAGACATATAACGGAAGCACTCACCGCCCCCGGGGTGTTGGAATCTTATAATCTTACCCTCTGAGCTGTAAATAGTAAGACACCAAGGTCACTCGGAGGTGCGGCCATGACTCTGAGTCGTCAACAAGATAGGAAGCCCCATTCTCCTGCCTCCTCCTAAGCCCCTTTGAGGCTTCTGAAGGAACGTTGAGCGCCCTACAGTGTACACATTGCCAGCACATCATGGCGGCCCTTCCAGCCAACCTGTCTGCCCTTCTTCACCGAGTTTCTTTCACTATTCGAACACCTCCCTGGGCTGGCGCTGCTGTGCTTGTCACAGCACCAAGCAAGGCTGCCTAGCCCCCTGGCGCAAACTGTTGGGTATGTGTATTGGCATTGTGTGTGGTAAAAACGAGGCGAACTCCCACGCCCCGGTATGCCTGGATAGAGCAGCGAGTATTGGACTTTGGGACACCGGCGAGTGAAGGCTCTCTGGGAGGGGTGTCGCTAACTTGAGATGCTCACAACGGCTGGCTACACCCTCCGGTGACTAAGTACCTACTTCCAGCGAAACCCCCAAGCGCTAGTCTAACCAGGATACAAAGTCACGAGAGGTTGAAGAATGATGTCACTTTTGTGAACCAAACTGACTGATGTTATAAACACTCAGCTCTCGTGGTGTGAGACAATCAGTTATAGCACTCGATAAAAAGATATAAGGGACATGTGCCCCCGATATCCTGCAACATACGAAGGACAATGCTTCCATTATTCTCAAGGAAGCTGTCTGATATGTCTTAGTTGCCGCCAATATTCACCGCATTCGCATAAATAACGTAATAGTGTTTGTATTTCAGGTTAAGTTGCTGGTGACATTTGATGAATGCAGGAAGCTACCATCTTTCTCTAACTAAATGATATGTTCAATTATTTGGACTGAATTGATCAAACTATCCCCAGGCTTTACCAAATTGATCCATATATCGAAATCTTGATGAAGGAGCTTGAGCATGGCCATATTCAAGTGACCTTCATGTGTTGGCTTCACTGGCATCTAAGGGGTGACCTTGATGACATCACCAGGGCGCATAGCACTTCCAAGGTTATAGCGGGTGTCGTGGGTGTACTGTCTAAGAGGGAAACCGCCGCCGATCGGGTCGTCAAAGGCGAGCGGGATGCTGCCGGGAGCCGGGGTTGTGCCGTCAATGGTCCAGTAGAAGACGACGTGATTGACAGCCAGGTCGTAGAAGAGGTGAAGCAAGATGACGGCGCCCTTGTAGGCGACGCGCTTGTAATAGCCGGTGTCCGCAGAGAGAGTGATATCGGTGGCACGCTTCTCGATGCCACGGACCTCGAGGTCGACGATCTTGTCGGCGTCGAGGTTGGCGATGTCTCCAGGAGTACGGACGTCGAGAGCCTGGCTATCGACAGGCGCAGCGACATCTCTGTCAGAGAGAATGGGGCTGGCCTGAACGAAGCCAGCGACCTGCAGAGCAGCAATGAGAGCAGTTGTGTAACGCATCTTGAATGTTTGACGTGAAGGTTGCTATGCAAACGTTAGTCTAACTACCTTGAGCAATAGAGCTTCAGGGCAAGGAGTTGAAGGGGGCAATCTACCTTTCCAGCTGTGTTGAGCGGTTCTGAATGGTGATGAAATGACGGACGAGTAAAGAATGACTGAGTAAGTAATGATCAAAGAAAGACTGATGAGTTGTAAGTGCCTTTTGTAGAATGGAAATATCAATTTTGGTCCGGAAGGAAGACATCTTAAATATTGGAATCGCGCCATAGGACATATGGAAATCACCTTGTGAGCCCCTGACAATCCTGGGTCATATTCCATGACTTGCAACATGGCACATGAAGTCAAAGATCACGCGACCTTGGTCCGAATCCAGCTCAGGCTAGTCTAGATCCGCCATTTTCCAGTGCAGCGGGCCTATTCAATGATCACTTAGACACCGCTCTAGAACTCAAGACGAATGTTCCAAGAACGCGCTAAGCCTAAGGCCTGAACTAAGATATACAACTCTTACAGAAACCGGCGACTTTCCCAAATTCTCATTGGAAGCTAGACTAAAGCTGTTGTCTCTTAGTCTTCGAGGTGAACAGGCCGACTGGCACCTGGTACAGGGGAAAGAATTCATTGACAAGGCCCGTCGCCAGCCAGTGTAGTCAGGCAGAGCTATTGAGTCAGGCAGAATCTGCCTGCTCGAGACTCTGACTACCGTGCAAAGGCCACCTCCGTAGCTGTTGACGTAGCCGGTGCTCGATAGCCCACGCAACATACCTGATGTGTGCTCTCATGCTGCCAACTGGCGGTCATAACATTAACTCCAACTGCCCGCGGTGATCAAGCAGATGATAGATATGAGACGAGTACTTCCGAAATTTTGTACTTAGCCATAATGACAACCCACTAATTCTTAATAGGAAAGGCTCATGCTCGAGATTCTGCGCCATGATGCCTAATTCGGAAGTCAAGGCAGTAAACTCACGATTCACGATCATAATGCGTGCACAGGCCGACTTCTGTAACCCACAGTCGTCGGCAAGACCGTACATAGTGGCGCGGAGAGTGTCACCGCCAATTCGGCCGTCGGGGTTTTTTGACTTGGCTTAATATCCGATTACAGTTAGAGAAAACTGGAAAGAAAGCTTGATTGAAAATCCTATGGAGGCACTCGCACATAGTAGTTCATCTGGTCTTTTGGCCTCCGGACAACCCCTGGCTCGTAGCTCCCCATTCAGCCTAATATACTCCGTATCCTACAATCAATCCACCCAGCACTGAACAAATCTAGTGCCAGGGTCCGGGTATAATTATACTAAGCGTAACTCGACAATTTCACTAGTCGTAAACCTAAGTAAGCAACTGATTATCTGGATCATCGTCCAGGGCCGTGCCAGGACAAGGAAGGTGGACTGGCTTCCAAATGGGTGCGCTCCACTTGTCGGTACAGGAAAGCTTCAATCGTCGATATCGTGTTTGTAAAGACAGGACGACTAATCAGTGAAGGGTAAATACGGATAATTCGACCGAGTTTGGCAAACTTCGCAGAGGCTAATTCCCCTGCAGAACCTTAACAAAGAAGGACATGTGTTCACGGCACGGATTAGTCCTGCTACGGAGTACTCCGTACAGATTTCTGCTTTGACGATCAGGGGTTCTTATGAACGACGCTCATAGGGGCTCGTGCTCCGTCCGCTCGCCCCCCGAATGTTTATTGATACAGATTATCAGGCTCAATCTAATCCCTTCCAATGGCAGAAGTCGCAAATTCCGTTTAAGTGTCTTTGAATTAGGTGTTCATCTTCTCAAGTTGCGCAGGGGCTGGGAACTCTTGGACATGCTCTGTCTGCAGCCTCGCACCTGTGGCGACGTTGGAGTGATTGGCAGTGCTTTGCTCAAGTTCTATTGATCACATGATTGGCGAGTCCAGCGGAAGACAAAAGACCCCAGAAACTCTATTAACATACTCTCCAGGGGTCAGGTATGGAAAGCTCTGGACCCCGGTGTCCTTCCTCCCACCGGGCCGGAATGGGCTTCATCGGGCGGTCCGCGCCACTCATCCCACTTGGCTTTCCATGATTTGAACTTGTCAAATGCTATACGGTGGAGCAAGTTCGTCCATATTTGTGTGGAAAGGTGAGAAGCCTCGGCAGCAAGGGTCTCTTTTGGAGGAAAGGCCCACTAACTTGGTACGAAGAGCAAGGGTGGCGATGCAGACGAAGTCGAAGTTTGGGTGGCTGATTGGGCTCCCACCTCCGTGTCCTGGTCTGGAAAAGCTTCATCGTAACTAGGGAAGGTTCCGAACCAATGACACAGGAAGGGCTATGCAGAGAAAAGCAAGAATCCTTGGTTGAGACGATTCGAACTACCCGGGCGGAGGAGACGTATCTTGCTGCTCCGCCTCACTTTTTGACGAGCCTCAGTCCAATCAATCACTTTTGGCCTCATGGGCCCTTGGAGCCTCACTGGGAAAAGGTGCCCTATTGGACACATACATGTGCTTAGCCGGGAGTCGCTTAATATCTGACAGCTTCATTTCTTTCCGCCTCCAAGCGCTAGTAATCATGATTAGAGCCGAATGCCGATGCGTCATATCATCGAGGGATTGAAGTGGAGAAACATTCCCAAAGTTCCCACGATTTCGAGAAAGAACTTGGAAGAATTGCATTTCGGAACACCCTTGTACATGTGCTAGTCACAGCAACAGAAAACAATCTTATCCTAGCCAGAAGTTGATTGGATCTCAAAACCCTACTATCACAACGAATACAAAGAATCTCTAGAGGGCGCAAAAGAAACCTTGAGCAAGACTGGAAAACCACCAAGAGAGGATTCTGGAAGTTACATGTCAAACTAGTACGTTTTCGTCTCACGTCTGTCCGAACCACCTTCTCGTCTCTGTTCGTTCCTTGTCCGTTTCCTTCTGTCGTCCTTGTCGTCGTCTTTGCGTGGCCGAGAGCTGGTGCTTTTTTGGTCATCTTTACACGACGTCAAAGGTCGAACGCTGCGCTTCTTTATGTGGATATCTCCCTCTCTCAGAGGACTGGGAATCAATCAGGACACGTTATGACAGACACTCATAAGGAATCCTTACCTGCTGGATCGATGAACCTCTATTGATTCAGATCGCGAGGGGTTGGGTGGGAAATCTGTGACGTGAACCCTGCGTCCTTCCCGATTGCTTCGGTCCATAGTTGGTTGCTGATAGTTCTCTCTGGGCTGTCTGGCATTATCCCAGCTCCCTACTCCCATAAGTGTGGGGGACAAGGGCTGTACAGGCGTGTTCGCTGCGCTAGGGGTTGTTGTCGCAGAACTGGCGGCATAGGGACAGCCGTAAGAACTTGCGGCAGACGAGTAACCTGTCAACCCCGAATAAGACGTCGAAGGGCTATTCGGGTGGCTGCGGTGAGACAAGAGTGCCGGGTTTGTCGAGGTTGCCTGAACCCCATACAACGAGCGATCAGCGTAGGCGGGATCTGTCTGCGACAGTACAGGCGGGTAGGACATCATGCTATTTGCCGGGGCACTGCTCGAGTATGGGTACCCCGTTGCGACTGTGTTATAACTAGGGCGATAGCTACTTGAGTCCGAGTATTCGACAGCGCCTGGTGTAACACAGGTTGGGAAGCCTTGCCCAGAATTTACTTGATTGAGCGGCAGAGCCAATGGATATGAGTGGTTGATTGGAAATCCGGCATGTGGCTGTGGGAAGGCCGTTTGTGGTGGAGGCTGGGTGTAAGGGGAGGGCATACTTGATCGGTGCCGTGGGGGAATGGTGGTCTCGGAACCTCTCCTGGAAGATTGTTTTTTGGGCTGGAAGTCCATGATATCGGTTCTATGAAATGCAACGGGAAGAGGGGTAAGAGATGAGGATGACTGGAGAGTATCTCAGAGAGAAACCAAAAAGCATCGTGAACTAATAGTAGGGTGTTTGTCTACATCTTAAAGCAAGCTGGCAGGCTTGTGGATGAGCCCAAACTCGCTATGATGGCTATCGCACACCACTGTCTTAGCGACAACAGGGTCGATACATGGCCTGAATTCGTTGGGCCTCATTCCACACTCAAGCCGCCTCATCAGGCTCGAATGTCGTGAGTTCTTCAAGCTTCCTCCACCTATCATTCACTAATTAGCATCCAGTCAACTTTGGCGTAAACCTATGTCAGCCTGCAGGATGCGTAATCGAAGACTTAGTGTAGTTTGTTGCCTGGACGAGACCGGGGGAGGACCAAGCCGCCTTATTTCGACGGATCAGGTTTATCATGAGGACGTCCCAGAATCATGGCGACCCATGGCGGCTTATGGCGCTAGTATTTGATCTCGGACGCAGTTCTGGACAGCATGCGGGTGAGAACATGCCCAAACCCCTTGCTTGGAGCATTTGTAGAAGGCCAGGTCAGGGGCGGGCTTGATCTTGGGAAAGGCATCAGTAACATCTCTCGCTCTAGGTCCCTTGCCATGGAAGGCTGTTCTTCTATCGATTCGTTATGAGAACTTCGATGAAAAGACTAAACTTCCTCGAGGCGAAAATGCGGAAGTGCCGACCTCCGTTTAACATTCTCGACTGGGCTAGAAATTGGGGTAAATGCCTCAACAAACCGCACTTCGAACCCCTCTATCGCGTTGAGATTGGCACTCCTGAGTTGGAGAAAGTGTCATTTGCTGCACCTACCCGCTCACGCACTGCACGGGAACAGAGGAGTGTTCTGTGCGAAAAGGGGCGCAGCCCAATGACGACGGAACAGTCACTGCGTAGTTGACAGCAGGTCTCATAGCGTGGCGTCAGGATATAGGTGGGCATCCGACTACTGCTCATTATCCTCAGGTGATGTTTGGGCTGCTGGAATGGATGAGGACATAACAAAGGGCAACTAACAACCTAGATCGACGACACATCGTATGAACCACTTATCCGCTAACCTGGACTGGAGATACGTACTTCCACCTAGCCGAGTTAGACAGCTTACGTTGCCTCATCATCAGTCAGAAGTGTAGACAGATGGTAATAGACCTCGATATCCTGGGTCGAAGACCGCGGTGCACTTCGGCAAGCCACCCCAGCTACATGTTGTAGAGAAAACGATATCAAGGGGGGGCTTTTTGCATGGCTCCTACGAGCCCCCAAGAGCCCCCGAGAGGCCCTTAAGCCGGAGCCTCCACGTTCACAGTGAGATCGGTGCCTGGCCAAGCACAAATAGCAAAGTCTCAAGCTTCACCGCCTTGAGTACCTACATCGTCAATCTTGATTTCTTCTGGCGCCATGAGCGCTTGTCGCGATCACTTCATTTTGGATACGTATGGTTAGAAGGATATCCAGTCGAAAGGTGATGAATAACGTTACACACATGTACGGGACTTTGTTTGTGTGCCGCTTCAACAGCCGCTGGCAGTGGTGATCTGCAATGCAGCTAGGCTGAGGGATGAAAAATGCTTACCGAGCGATGCCTTCTCACGTTTCTCTGATGCATCATCGTCGATCTGACGCAGAAAAAGAGAGGAATTTCATCCCAAAATCGATAGAGACGAACCCGTCGGTGGGATGCCAAGCCGGCGTCCCCGAGAAAGTCTTGGAGAGAATGTACTGGCCGGTGTTGATGTGCCCAAGGCGGGAGGGCGGCACAGCGTGTAGTTTGAGTGTTATCACCCAGACATAGAGCACACCGGATGGCACTCTACTTAAAATAGCTGGAACAGCACCGTGGAAAACCCAGCTGCGCGGCGACAGAAATGAGATATAAGGACAGAAATGGCTGACGTGGCGCCTCAACAGTGGTCATACTTTCAAGCAAAGCCACGATACGGAAGCCACCCTCATAGTAGTCCTCCTGAGAGAGGTCACTACGACGGCATGGGATGCTTAGAGACCATCTTTCAATCCTGGCTGAGACTCAGGGGCGTACCGTACTTATACATCTGCCCTTGCATGCTCTGTTCAATCCTTAGCGCAAGCAGCCAGGCGACGCGGAACAGTAAGGCCAAAAACACCAGATAGGTGCGGGAGTATTTTACACAACTACCTAAATTGCCTGCATTGGTATCAAGGCTAGCTAGTAGATACCTCTTCTTTTAGCTGGATTGTTTTCTATTTAGCAAGCCCATCACGCACACCTTAAACATACATGTGATTTTTGCTACATCTATTACTTGACACACGGCTCACGGTTTAAGTCTTGCTCAACTCATGTGGCGCACTCTAAGGCCCGTACCATTCTAACTTAGTATTACCCAAGCCGAGTATGCATAATTCGACTTAAATCTTCTATACTCCAACTTGACTGCTTGCATAATGCCTCAAGCTCAAAGATTTAGCGAATGCTTTCCCATGATACTATTAATCCTGAAAGCAAGGAGGCACTCAGGTAAAGCCTATTAGGTTCATTCCACAAGAAATAAGACGAATAACAGAACGGAGGAGAGACTAAGGCCGGCTCCGTAAGGAATACGCATAATATGACCTGCTGAGAACTGGCCTCTTTGATTGATGTATTTACCCAGAGACTTAATCGATGATGATGGTTGAGTTGACATAATAAAGACCCTGTGGTTGTTATTGTAGAAGCAGAAAGCCTCTCGATCCGACGTTGTTAACTTGTCATACATCAACTCCAGGATCATGTGCCTATTGAGATTATCCTTGATCGTTGAGATCGAGGATACAGCAGCTGCATAAGTAATTGATCACTAACTACAGACTAAAAAGCAGATGCTGGAAGGAAAATAGCGAGTCGATGTGTAACTTCCAAGACATACACCACACAATGGTACCTGGAACAAAGTCTCTCCTTTCAATGGCGATGTCGTTCAACGGACTAGTCATAGTAGATCAACGGACCCCTGGAAGTTAAGACTGACTATTGAAGCATCACCGACATAAAAACGGGACGATTGAAAGCAACGGCTGGTGCGCAAAATTAGGGTTCAATTTGACGTCAGAGGTAGACTGAGGAAGACTTCCACATAGACCGCGCGGAACAGTATATGGCTACTGGCGCCTGAGTTGGAGAAACTACTCTTCGCAGGGACCTCTGCAATATTCAGCACCAGGAGGTGGCGGGCACCGGGCTCCGTCTGGTACAATCCCACTTGCACCCCCAGAAACGCCCTCTCCGTTGAAGTAGCACTTTCCAATATCCTTCTCACATGGATTACCCGGGCCCGGACAACAGTATCCATAGGCATTAATGTCAAAGTTGTAGCAAGCAACAGGGTTGACAGGAGCAGCAGTAGGGGTAGCAGTCGGCACTACCTCAACTGTAGACTCAGGCTCGGGCACGTCAGTAATAACCATGAGTGGCGAGGAGGTAGAGCTAGAACTCCTAGCTCTGCTCGTGCTCCGGGCTTCCGCGGCAAGACCGTCGTATACTGCCTGAGGGAAACCGTCTCTGTCTGGTGATGCATCACCTCCCGTGGGCACTGATAGAGGCGGTCTAGAAGAACACCGGGTCACCGGCGTTGACGAGGTAGACGAGGGTTTTGATGAAGACGTAGGTGGCAAAGAGGTAGGCGGGGATGAAGGCTCTGAGGTCTTTGGGTGATTCGACTCTGCAGGCTTAGAGTTCTCGCCGTTGTTGCCATTATCACCGCCGTTTCCGCCACCACCGCCACCAACTGGAGGCACAATTGGAGGAACTGGCGCAACTGGTGCGATAGGAATGGGAATGGGAACAATGGGAATAATGGGAACCCCACCTTCCTCGGTGGTTGGCGGCGCCGTGGAGTAAGAGTATGAGAATGAAGCGCCTGAAAAGGAGCTCACTGGGATAGGTGGCCTGGTTGTGAAGATAGAGCCCTGGACGCTAGATCGAGGCCCTAAAGACTGTGGTGGTGCTGATTTGCTGGGCTGAGGTGCCGAAGATGATGGCCGCACCGGGTTGCTGGATTGAGGTCTCGACGACGATGGCCACGCTGGATTGCTGGATCGGGACCCCGAGGATGCAGGAGGCACCGGCGGCTTTGAGCGCGAGGCCGACGCCGATCCAGTAGGTCTTTTAGAAGATGGCACCGGCAGTTTGCTCGAATGAGCCGTCGGCACACGAGAGCTTGTGCCGTTTCGGTGTGTGGTGATCCAGGTCGACGATGCCTTAGCCTGTCTACGAAGCATCGCCTCATACTTGGCATCTAGACTGTAGTCTGCTCTCGCCATAAGATCCTCGGGTCCTCCGAGTAAGACGCCACCTGTGTCTCTTTTCATAATGGTACATGACTGCCCGGGTGCTGCACCGCTCTGGGGATCTGCCATGACCTCCAATGCAAAGAAGGCCATATTTTGGGCGTTTCTAATCTTGTCGGCGCCTTTGAGTCTCGAACAGCTTTTGGTTTATTAGCAAAGCTCTTGACAACAAGACAATCCAGATATCGTGTAATAATCGATACTTACCAGTTGGCATCGTAGCAGCCGCTGCCATCAGTTTCGTTAGGATCCGGGACATCGACACATCGTCGACCATCGCTAACGATGGCTCCTAAGTGCTGGACTTCGTGCAACAACCAAAAGCCGGAAGAGGCGCTGAGTCTACGCGTGTCTTTCCAAGTCCGCAACATGTCTTGTTGTGAATTGGCCCCAAAGAACCGGTCACATAAGACAATAGAGTGGCCTGATAACCCTCCGGCCCCGTGCTGATGGGCTGCTGCAGCCATTCCGCCGGCGCACATGCTATCATCTGCGGCAGCACACATGTACGTAAGCCCGGTAGGGCTGAGGTTGTCTATTCTCATATCATCGACACGGTTGCGTGCACCAGGGGCTTTGAGAAAATCTTGAACAGGATCGTAGTTAAGAGTCTTGATGGAGTTCTTTGTGGCGGCCTTGGTGTTGTCCTCTGCACTCGACTGTCAGACCATCCTCTAGGCACTGTTAGATATAGAATTCGAAACTTACCTCCAAACCAAAAGATATATGCATCAGAAAACTCTGAATCCTTTTCGGCAAGTACAGTTGAAGCCATGAAGGCCAATGCTTGCGTATCTCTGACGGCACCCTCCAACGCGGCGATCTTTTCCTCGCTGCAGCCCCATTCACTTCCAGCCTGCTGATCGATGACATAGAAACCATCTAAAGCCCTTTTACTGGATATGTGCATTGTTTGCTCGATTGATCGCTTGGCATGGTCGGAAAGGCCATGGCCCAAAGCGCCCTGGCCAGAGGCTAAGAGCAGTGAGCTTAAAAGAGTCAAACGAGTGAGTGACTGTAACATAGTGTTAAACGAATGTGGATTTCGAACGAGTGTTGCCTTCAAACAGACTAGTAAAACTTCTCAACTTACGGTCACTCACCCGTCGGTATTTGTATCTGGTCTTTCCGATTCATAGTCAATATCGTTCGTCAGATGGCCCGGAAGAGCCGCAAAGCTAGACGGGATCTGCTCAATCTATTCAGGCGCTTCAGCTTCTAGTAAATGAATGGAAATTGAAGATCAACAATTTTCAACCGTCATTGTTAGAATCAGTTTTGTTAGAACAAGGGCAACCTGCATTGTCGGAAAGTTTAACCAACTTAATCGAGGAGCGCGCGTGTCATGAGGCGTGGGTTGCTGCTAAATATGGGGTTTCATGCGCGGGTTCCCTTGCCATCCCGTCCCAAGACCGCAGTGGCGAGCGGCGGGATGGCTCTCACGGCCAGCTGAGTAGCCGCAAGTCCTTTTCTATTTGTCTGGGATTGTGCCATGTAGAACGTGATTCGTCTGAACTTCTTGGTCGCATCCACGGACATTGTCTTGGCTTCTTTCCCCGTCATCATTCCTTCGCAAGGCAAGCCCAGTCGAACCTGTGGATCTTTCGTATTTCCCTTCCAGAATTCTTCTTGGGTTCATTTGACGTGCACATTAGGCTTTGAGTAACGTTGTCTTGGCCTTTACTGCCATCCCAAGATCAGACGATGTGTACGTCGGCTATCGGGACTGACTCAACATCGCAGTTTTTTGGAGAGTATGAGAAGCAAAGCCACACTAAGCCGCTTTCGTTCCTGTTTCAAAAGTACGAGGGGCTAGGGGGTTTGGCTCTGCGGCTGGAGTCAGATTTGATCACTTCGTTTATGTTATCTATTGGCCGTTTAGTCAAGGCAATTTGGCGGAGAGTGAACCTGTTCAACAGCCTGCGTATGATTTGATGATGAACATATCACATGGCGGGGCACTGATAACTCAAGTCTTGTATTCTCTTTCAGACTCCGGTTATCGTAGGCTTGTGTGCCAGATACGAAACCGAAATGTCGGACCCAGCCCGGGCTCGGACTGGGCCCACGGCTAGGTCGTACTCAAATAAGCGTCATTCGCTCGATCACCTGCCTTGGCCATCGATTGTGGAAGCACTCACGAGCATACAGCTAAGCTGACTGAAATCACAGCAATAGCCATCAATTTTCCAATCATGTTGTCTGGATCATTTGATCTTTTACATTTCACACGAGAGCCACGAGAAGTGCTTCGCATACATCACGATTCAGGCAGCGTATCAATCCATCATCGAGCTCTACCTGTCATGCATAATCCGCAAAGCTCAGTCCTCAGCTTCCCTGACTGTGGAAAATTGAGATTTTAGGACAACTCTCATATTACCTATCAACATTGTAACCTAGTTGTAGCCTTTGTCTTACATGGTCAAGCCTTGTATCTCTTTTCAACGGAGAGTTGGAGGACATCCTTCGGAGTGATTGCCTGGACTCTGCTGCCCCTGATATCCTCTCTATCCAGAAGCTGCTGGTACAACGGAGCAAACTCGTCGCAGGAGGTCACATGAGCTCCAGCCCAAGCCTTTTTGGTTTCCTCATCGACTTCGAACTGAACTCGATAGGCGAGGTAGACCTCGTTAAAGCGGATGTTTGTCTTCTCATTCTCCCGAGACGCAGCGATGGCGAAGCTGAACAGTGCACCCTGCGTCACTGCGGGAGCAGCGCGGAAACCATAGTCGCCTTGAGCACCCGTACACAAGGTCCAAGTGCTGCCAGCAAACCCTTGCTCAAGCAAGTATGGTACTGTCACGCGATAGGCATCTAGGTGAATGATTAGCAATCGGAGTCTGCAGTCTGTCTTCAGATCTTGTTGATGAGTTATGGAGTTTTCTCACAGAAGTACGACTCGAAGTTGACATTGAGAACCTCGCGGAGAGCCGCTGGGTCAATCTCTAAAATTGGAGTCTCCCAGTAGAGTCCACCAGCTGTCATAAACGTCAATTGAGCCTACGTGGGATAAAGCTTGTGAGTAATTGTACAACGTACGCGAGGCCCAAACATGCTGGAAGGCAGGGAGATTGCCAGCCCGAACTTGATCGACAACTCCTCGGAGAGAGTCCTCAGAAGTAGGATCGGCTTCAACCACAGTGATGTTGTCGCGACTGCCGACGTATTTGAACATCTTCTCGGCACTAGCTTGACTGCGCACAACAGCGATGACATGGCGCTTGGCGCGCAGAGCACCGATAATGACTGCTACGCCAATGTTGCCCGTGGCACCGAAGACAAGCACGGTTTCGGTCATGGTGAGGTTTGAGCTTTGGAGTAGCTTGATTATGTTTAACCGGCACGAATAACCCGGAGAGTCGCTGGTGAATGCTGGTCGATGGTTATGATGTTGTGGGAAGTGTATCCTGAGATGTGAAGTAAGTCTTTGGCGATGTATATATATAAGTCCTGTTGAAAGAACTGATTTGCTGCTGGCTGCGAATTGCCTGATCCCTCGGATATCCTTGAGCCCGAGCCTCATCACCGAGCGGAGAAGGTCACAGCTATTTTCGACTCTTCCACAATTAGAAATCCCATGATAATTGAAGTCGGAGCTGTACCGGAACTAAAACGTGGTATCAGGCCGTTGAAGTGACTTTGCTGACTACTAAGCATACTTGACAATTGGATAGTCGACGTGCACATACTGCCTAGTAACTCTTGTAACAGAACCTCGTTATGTAAGCGGGCTCACTTTGCCGTTTCACTTCCCTACAGGATTCAGTACTCCGTATAGATTCTACATTACTAATTACATGCAGCTGCGTCATTCTGCGTGGCCTAAAAGTTCGTTCTCGGTCTTGACGTCTTTTGCCGATTTAACTAGGGGTTCAAGGCGCTTTAGTCACCATAATCGGGCTTCCAATTGCGCCAATACCCGCTAACTATCCGTCCCACCCCCGTGCTCGGACGCCGGAGTTCGGGGGCGGCTCGTGCTGAGTAAAGCCGGCACAATATTGGTTCTGAATTATCGTGTTAGTCCGTTGATTCTGAGACTGTAGCTGCTTCGCTGTTTATCGGAATTTGCTGGCAGCAGCGAAGAATGTGAGCAGAAAGCTTCGATTGAAACTATGCTCAGTACGAGCTTGAGGTGCAATGTGCCTGTTGGACTTATCAGGCAGGCCTGCTATTATTACAAATGGGCTCGTCCGACAGCTCCTAGCTACATTTACAATGTCCGCGACTGAGGTGAAACTATGTCACAATCTTAGCTGGCCAGTTGCGACTTTTCTATTGCCATCTTCGCCACCAAGTACCTCCGAACTTCCCACCTTCCCTTCACTGCGTTTCGGGTCACGCGGACTGGCAGCATCTAGTTATATATCTGAACTCAACTATTTCTGCGATATTTGAGGTTGATTTTCAACGAGAATTTTAACTGAAATTTGAGAGCAGTTTGACTGGAGCCCGCTTCGAACAGAGACTTTGGGTGGCTGGAGTAAGTTATTGCGGAAATTACGCTTAATCATCTCAAGGTAAGAAGGAGAGGTGCTCTACGACTCAAACTGCATGGATATATGCGAAGATGCCGGGACAGAACCTTGTACAGACACATAGCGATGGAAAAAGATGGCTAGGTTTCTCGGGCCAGCTTGGTTGCAAGCTGTAGGCAACTCAAGTCCGACAAACGTGGATGGGAGCCGTGAAATAAAGACGAGTCAAGGATCTGATCTGTGGACCCCTGGATAACCTCATTCTTCGGCCTTCCTACAACATATATAAGAAATTGATTATCACATATGAAAGAGTTTGCATGTTGTTGTTGCTTGTTGAAGAGACAGCTATCGCGATCAACGTATTGATCTAGTTGACTCTCACTATTTAAGTCCCTCTTTCAAGCGGTTCGCATGGCTCATGGTAGGATAGGGCACTTTTACTACCCTAGCGCATGGGGATTTGACTGATCTTGAATTCCTGTATCACCCAGACCCCGTACGCAGCTAGCGACAAGCTTCTAGGTTCATCGAATTTCATATTCGGTTTTTAACCCCTTGAGAGAGCCTGGCCACCGACTAGGCTACAAGCAGAATGAACATGTCCGATCTTCAAGTGCGTGCGTTGTGTGGAAAGCGGAGATCGAATATCATGGTCTGGACAGGAGGTGTGTTTACGGCAGCCGCAGCCCACCCACCTTTACGCTTTGAGCAACTCTTCTTCATTGAGAGCTGTTATGCGAGTATCCCGTAGTAGATATAGAACTCCACAGTTTAAATACTATTCTGGAATCTATGGCGCTGACCCGTACTCCATGGGCATTGTTGCAGACCATCTGCTTGTAGCAAGTAAGGAACCCTCTGTCCAAGATAAAAGTGCTGGCGAGGACTCAGGACCCCATCATACACCGAAATAGTCTTGCTCCACCAAATACGCAAGAACGAATGAACCTTCGCAATGGTCTTCGCAATGGTCAATCTGAATAAGACTCAGCTAGATGGTGCTAAAGTGTCAGCTGACCATTGACACTTAAATGGTGTCGATGGCAAGGGGCACGGATCCTAGGGCATCATTCATAACTAGGGTGCGTGGAAGTACGTAGGATGAGACGGATGGGTCATGGTATACTTCCCAGAAGACTGCCGAGTCCCTGAAGGATGTCTAGTGCATTCCAAGCAGACGGGTGGCCACCCATGATCAAGACGCTTCCTCGGGTTGGGCCCGTCAGCTTGTCTGCTAAATGAAGCGTCGTCGCCTGCATATGGAACTTCGTGACGTTCCTTGATTCCGATTGGATAGAGGACCTGCTGTGGCCACGGACTGGCGTCTGTGAGAGGGTGGTATTCCCGATCAGATTCGAGGATACAAGGTGCGATTTCGATTTCACTCCCAGTTGCTAGAACTTAGCCTCCATACCGACTTGCATTCCGTACAATTAGGAGCATTCGGAACATTAAGCTCGGTATGCACTGAGATTTCCGAGACTTTTACGCAGATGCAGTGATTCACCCAATGAAGCGAGCTTCAATGCTCCGAAGCTCTCTCAGTACAAGCTTTCGCACACATCCATGACCGCAAAACGCTAGGTTATGAATCGGGCTAATGGTAGATACTGAGTCATTATTCTCCCCCATTTTCTTCCCAGCCTGAGCATGCCCTTCTTTTACCTTCGGATCACCTGAACCAACAGAGGAAACGGGCAACACGTCGCTGGTCTAGGCTCTTTGTCGCGCTTAATAGTCAACGCACTTCTTTCGGCACTTCGAAATATCTCTTAAGCTGCTCTTGGGGGAAGTAAATGACTTCGCAAAATGTCAGTGCATCGAATTTCTGTCGGCACCTTAGCGTCGGCACCCAGAGACGACGGACTAGAATTCTTCGCTTGGCCATGTTCGTCTGGGCACGTGGAGTGACTAGACCAAATGAGAACGGTCTTCACCCTGGAATCCTCAAGAGGAGATTTCTCGGCAAAGTTCAAGCCGTTTGGCAAGGGCTCTTCCCCACACGCTTACTTCCGTGCGATGTATGATCGGATTGGAACAATGATTGAGAATTTGTCCTCTTGAGGTTTAAAGGAGCCAGGGTCTTATCAAAGCTTGACCTTGGCCCGCAGACCTGCTGCGCTGGTAGCCGTATCAACCAATACCGCAAGAATCGCCAAGATGCGCGCGGGTGTTTTCCCACGGAATGATGAAGCTCCTTCCAAAAAAAATGTCGGAGGATTGGGGGTGACATCCCCTGTCTTGATGCCGGCAACATGGTGCCGATTTGGATGCATAGGACTGATGCTAAGTTGTCGGCACACCCTCCTCAAAAACGGCGACGGGGTGATTGGTCAACCCCATGTAATGCTGGGATGACTGCTTGACCTTAGCTCCGGTGATAGATTTCATGAGAGCCTGTCAGATGAGCTGAAGTTCACCTTGCCCCATCTAGGCCTCTCTCCAGATTTCCCCGCATTCTTCCCCCTTGCCGTCGCGTGGGGAGAGCTCATAGAGTTCAACCTAGTGGTTCGGCTTTTGATATCTGAGCGTAGGCAGCTGCCGCGACGACATGCCGAATGTTTGAGGTTGGTCGACCCAGGATCATGGTAACACTAGACGCGTAGTTGTGCCGTCGACAGGTTGATGTCGCAGATCGCGTCGGTAATTCGACTGTATCGGTCGATGTGGCCAGGCCTGTGTCTACATTTATTGCTCACGTCCGCGCCCCGATGTTACGACGTTTCTTCTAACCCATCACTGTGGTTTTTCATCGCATCACTGTCCGAGACGTAGAATCGCAAGCCAAAATCCCGTAACCATGTCGAAAGATCCGGAAAAGACAGTAAGGTCAGCATTACCTCATGGACGAATATCCACTAACACGGTCTTTTAGACCCGCGAGGAGATTGAACATGAGCTTCACATCGAGGTCGTGCCTGGCACTGAGGTCATGGCCGATGTGTTGAAGCATCATCTTATCAAGAGCGAACACTCGACGGTGGTTCTCGTCCCTCAGCCATCCCAGGACCCGCACGACCCTTTGAACTGGAAAGCATCATGGAAGTGGTCAACATTGGGCGCGGTCTCTCTGATGACCTTCTCGCAAGGCTTTGCCCCATTGTCTCTTGCGTCCATGTTTCCATACCTTATGCGAGACTACAACAGCAGCCTCGAAGACGTCATTCAGTTTACGGGAGTGACCATTCTGCTGCTCGGATTCAGCAATTTCATCTGGTACGGCCACAAAGGGATGTTTAGCTTTCGAAGCCATTGCTGACCTTTGAAAGGGCTCCGATTTCGTCCTCATTTGGTCGACGCCCCGTCTTTATTGTTTCTCAACTAGTCTGCCTTGCATCCCATGTGCTTCGAGCGAAAGCTACAACATACGGCTCTTTCATGGGTGCTTGCGTGTAAGTTTTGATTCTTCATATTATCAATGAAGTTGCATGCTGACTGCATTTTAGGCTCAACGGTATCGGCGCCGGCCCCTCAGAGACTCTGCAACCGCAGGTCATCGCCGATATTTACTTCCTGCACGACCGTGGCCGCTGGAATACGCTATACTGGGTCGTTTATATGGGATCTTTGATGGTGGGTCTAACCTTGACGGCAGCAAGAATTACTCTTGGCTAACCTCTTCAGATTGCGCCTGTTATTGCTGGCCCGATGGCGGATCATGTTGGATGGCAGAACTTTTGGTGGCTCAACGTTGCGCTGACAGGTGCCTCCATTGTCTACGCCTTCTTTGGCTTCCCAGAGACAAGGTGGATTCGTTCTCAGCCAACTCAGGACGCTGTCACAATCGAAGTTGCTGACGAGACACTGAACCCAACTCGGACTGCGGATATGGACCCGTACCTTGGCAAGGGAACCCCCTCTAAGCAGCAGTGGTACCTGTTCCAGCGCAACTCTTCGCCCCTTAAGACCATCTGGTTCGACCTATGGACTCCCTGGAAGCTTTTTGGATTCCCCATTGTGGTATTTGCGTCGTTTGTTGTGAGCTGGAGTTGCAGCAACTTCCTCATTCTAAACCTCACTCAGTCTCAAGTCTTCGCAGCACCCCCTTATAATATGAGCTCGCAGTCTATCGGTAAGTCTCCTAAACCCAAACTTGCATCCCATAACTGTTTCAAGAGACTGACTCTTGTAGGCTTTACCAATCTAGCAGTTCTTGTTGGTGCGCTGATTGGACTTGTCACAGCTGGCCCCTTTAGCGATTGGGTATCCGCCCGCGCGACTGCTCGAAACAACGGCATCCGCGAGCCTGAGATGCGTCTCCCTGCCATGATTCCATTCGTAATCATTATGATATTTGGTAATATCATCACCGCTATTGGATATCAGAACCACTGGTCCTGGCCTATCATCGTTGTCCTCGGCTACGCGAGCGCAGGCATCCAGGTTGCTGCCTTGCCCAGCATCGCCAGCACCTACGCCATCGACTGCTACAAGCCAGTAACTGGTCCTCTCATGGTTGCTATCACGGTGAACAAGAACGTGTGGGGATACGGCATGGGCAAGTTCATTACCCCTTGGACAATACAGGCAGGGTCAGTAAAGCCTCTCTCTTTCGGCCAATGCCATTTGCTGACACAAATAGTTTCATACCGGCTTTCATGACGAACATGGCGTTGACCGTCTTTTTCTGTGCTTGCGGGGTGATATTTTACTTCTATGGCAAGACGTTCCGTAGGTGGACTAGGAACAGTACCGTTCACAACTTGTAGAAGACGAAGGATCTATGTTATAGATAATGACCTAAGTTAGGCTCTAGACGCTTAGGCGGCTCATACTCAATAACATGTTGCAATAAGATGATTGTAGAGTTTCAATATTAATCACCTTGTGTCTTCGAAGCCACTCGCTAACATGAAGTGATTACATTGACTCATATACATCCAACTCAAGGAAGAGTCACAGAAGTCGTGCAGGTTTAGTCTTACGAACTTTGAACAACCCTATGCGCTAGAGAACGAGTAGTGTTGAATGTGACCATCTTGCCTTTCACCGACAGTATTGAGAAGGACTACGTGATTTGCTCAATCGTCCTCCTGATGAAAATAGAGCTAGCGAGAGCTGAGAGGAATGTTCGAAGTATCGCACTGGCCAAAGCAGACGACCGCATCAACCATCGGATGGCAATTGCCCTGCACTTGATGATGATAGCCTCGGCCGGGATTACTTTATCGGCTCATCGGCTATACCGGCAGGACTATCCAGTAGGGGAGCTATTGACCGAGGCTGTACGAATCATAGCTAGTCGCGCACGTATTACGAAGCCATGGCGCGTAACACCTCGGTCTAGTTTGCCCAATGTTGACCTGAGGGCAGTTTCTAGCCGTTCTTGAAGCTAGTTTTGATTTTGATATGGAGAAACACAATCCGGCAGTGGGTTGAGGTACATCTTGAGAGGGTAATGGTGTTGTCAATAGATCATAATTCATGGCTAAACTCATGCCTCCTCTGAACCTGGGTCACTGTCGCCGCTGTCGTCCTCTGATCCGTCTCTTTCACCCTCTTCTTCGTCAGTTTCTTTTCCCGAATCAGTGGGCAGTTGGCTTATCAACCCAGCAAGAATTGAGTTGAGGCCCGTCTTGACTTGCGGATTTGGTGTGGCATTGATGCGCTGCTTTAACTCGGCAATCCTTGCTTCAAGCTCCTCCTTGTTCTTTTGAGCGATATCGATCTCCTCATCGGATTCATCCACCTCGGCTTCTACGTCTCTCTCAATGCCCTTCCCGAAAGCCTCTTGGAAGGCGTCGGCCATGCCAGTATCTTTGATCGCGAAGACAACTTCTTCGATCCCGCTCCATGTCTCTTTGTTCCCTTTCTTTTTCCCTTTTCCGTCGTTCCTCGGTAGTAGCGCCTTCTTCCACGCCTTGGCCACTTCGGCGACTGGATTCCCGTAGGCACCACATCCCCAAGCACCGAGCACAATCTTCTTGATGCCCTTGAGCTGGCATATCCGCAGCACAATCTTCATCTTTTCCAGGATGAGCTGTCTGTCTTTCTCTTGAACATAGTGGCTGAAACCAGTGTCCTCGTCTCGCTCAATTTCCGGGTTCCGCAACATGGCGGCGCTGATGCAGTCCACGAACCATCGGTCTCTTTTGTCCAACACGTCGTCCGCATCTTCATCTCGGAAAACCAGTACATCTGGTGTGTAAATAGCACCGAGCTCTGGCAGTCGGTAGTACTCGTCTTTGAGAGATGGCAGCAGCGTAGTCCGCATACATAGTGACTCTTCCTGACTACCAGCACCGTTGACGAAGCCACCACCCGGCGTGAGCGGTGAGGCCATGTTGAGAACCGCAACCCGCGTTTCTTTATTGCTTATGTCTACGGGGCGATTCGATTCCGCCTTCTCAGCCACCAAGGCGTGAGCGGCTGTAAGAGTGTCGGCAACTTGAAGTCTGATGTGAAAAGGCCCGTTGGTTTCCGAAACGTCAGCGCCTTCTGCCTTGGGAGTTCGAGTCTCCTTGATCGATGACTTGGGCTCGATGATAAGCTCGGCTGAGTCGATTCCGCGCCGGGCTCGTGGGTGCGTAGGGAGGAGGGATGGAATTAGCTGATTGAGTGTGACCTTGGCCTTCTTGGCTCGGGCAGCTTTCCGAAAGGCCGCCGGTGGCTGCCCGACTGACGGCTGTGTTCGGCCCATTTTTCTTTGGTATGGAAGTTGGGATGAGTTCGTGAAGATTTAGATTATCTGCTGTTGATGCGGGAGCTGTCGACGGCGTCTTGAAGTCCGCCTTTAGTAGGAATATCTTGCGGTGGGGCTGTAAGGCACCTTGATGGCCCGGGGATAGATTGCTGAAATTATCCCAGGCTCTCTAAGCACGCGGTTTTCGCTTTTTGATTCTTCTACTACTCTGATGCGTCAAACGGTGAACAGTGGGGGTCTTATGGTGAGATCGTGAGAGCGAGCAAGTTCACGATGACGATGAGTGACGAGGGACATGTTCGTGCTCATATTTTCTTCCACTTACCCTCTGCAGGTGGCGCCAGCTGCTCTAATATGGTCTGGGTACTTGGTACGGCTGATGAACGCCGAGCCAGGACTTGCATGAGATATTAGGCGATTGATAACTTACTTTCAGCTGTGCTGACGAGTCCAGAATGCCTTTGGTTTCTTTTTTTTTTCTTCTTGGCTTTTTGAGTTTCCGAATTCTCAGACTCGTGCAACTGTCGAAACCTCCCTTGCTCCTCACTGTGTTCGTGGCAGCTTGAGACTGAGCGAAGTCATCGGGACCCACCTGAGAAACATTCTCGAAATGGAAGTGGCGCTCACTGAACCTCATCAACTCTCATCCAACTTCACTCATCTCATCGCTCAGGCACCATTCACGGGAATCAGCATCGGCAACAGTCAATTGGTACTTGCGGCAGCCACATTTTCCATCGCCATGGCTTCTCTCAAGCAGCCTCGTCAAGTCGCCGAAATCATGCTCTCATGGCTAGGCCTTGAACTCGTCTCCCTCACTGAGCTTCAAACTCTCTGGGCAGGCTACGGTCACATCTGTGCCCTCACTGCAAAGCTTGCCGATACCAATGGTGCTGCCAACTTGAACAGAAAGCCGCTACCTATCCGTTCAGAAGAAGACGGAACATATCGCCTCATCATCAAACTCATCTCACCGCCACGCGCCAAGGGAACAGATGAGGGCCACCTGCGCAAGATGTTGAGCTACGAGGTGGAGCAATATTTCTACCAAGAGATTGCACCGCGATTATCAGATGATATCGCTGTCGCAAAGTGCCTCGCTTCCACTCTAGATATGGAGGACAAGCCCCGCAAGGAAGAGCTTGAGGGTCTCACCGCCACCATCATCACGGACCTGCGGCCAGAGTTTCCCGTGGCTGGTGAAAAGAGGTTGGTCCTCAACCGCAAGCAGGTCAATGCTGCACTGGACTGGCTGGCAAAGTATCACAGCAGCTCTTGGGCATCGCTGCCGGATGACCTTGGGCAATTTGTGCTGCCCCCGCTTGAAGAGGCGAAACGGAGGGAGGCTGGTAATGGCGTTACGGAGCCCAAGATGTGGCTGAATGGAGGTTACACATACCTTGCTACCAGACGGAAGGAATACGCATCGCTTTGCAGAGACGACTATTCCGAATGGTCTTCGGCATTCTGCGACCCCGTCGAGGGTTCGTCCTCTTCGATTGCCGAGCTAGTTGCCGATTTCCTCACACCATCTGGCAGGCCGTTCGAGACATACATCCACGGCGACGTCAAGTCCGAAAACCTCTTCACAACCAAATCTGGCGACAAGGTGGCCTTCTTCGACTTTCAGTACGCCGGACTCGGAATTGGCGGCTGCGATCTCGCTAAGCTTTTCACCTGTTCGGTCCCCATTGAGATGCTCACTCAGCACGAAGACATACCGGATCAGCTAGCCATGGATAAGGGTGAGAGGACTATTCTAGAGCAGTATCTAAGTACTCTCCTGAGCCAAAAGCCGACAGGGAAGGGGCCCAAGAATTATGATAGGGATATGTTCGTGCGACACTGGGAGACTGCCTTGGTGGATTGGTGTCGATTCCAGGCATCTTGGGGCTTCTGGGGAAATACAGAATGGCTCGAGGCTAGAGTTAGACATATTCTTGCCGACCAGAGTTGGCAAGATTGGCTCAAGAAGGAGACAATCAGGACTTAGAGCGACCTAGATGGTCAATATTTTGGTAGATGATAGATCATTAAGGAATTGTGCCAAAGCCATTGTTTCTATCTGGCCGATACTCGGTAGGAATTTTTCAGCTTGTGACATCTACTGCGTCTTTGCGCTAAACGGACAGCCGGGACCGCTCAACTGAGACATGATGAATTGCTCATAGGACTTGTCCAAGGCCCTTGTCTCCTCTTTCCGCTTTTGTGCCTCTATCTCTGGCAGTGTCTCCAGCCTTTCGAAAAATGGGATTTTGGGATCAGGCAGCAAAACTTCCGTGACGAGAAACACTGTTCTCACGATGAAGATAATTATGGCTGCCAGTAAGGGGTTTGCCGGCTCGATGCGAAAAGCGCTCAGCGTCGTTGGCAGAGAAAGCGCTCGCGGAAACGCCATGCCGAACCATCGCAGGCCCGGTGGGAAATAGCGGTAGGCAAAGAGATTGAAGATGGACAAACCGATGTAGCGAGCTTTCTCGTTGTACTCTCGAGGCGTATTCTCATACGCCTCGCAGAAAGCTATACACCCATCGAAATCTCCTGGATAGTCCTTCACAGTTCCTTTGCCTTCGACTTTGAAGAGAGGAGCCATATCCCGCCAGAAGTGGTGAGCAGCAATCTGCTGCTTTTCCGTAAAGCCAGACAGACCCAGGCGTATCCTCAGGCGATGCATCAACACGGCGCTGAAGGTCAGGGTGTAGACGTAGTCCTCGTTGTGGGAAAATCTTCCAGGATACTGTCGTGCGAGCCCAGCGTGTAGCTGATTGATTCTCTCAACGGCATCTCGGCAACGTGGATCACTGGGGCCGTAGTACCACCATGCCATATTGTAGTGCTCCGTCTTCTCGACTCTGTCGACGGCTTTATGGACGACTTTGCCGCCGTCAGAGCGCCACACTACTTCTGCTCCATGTAGGGGAATGACAAAGTTGGGGAAGGTAAGGGTGTAGATCAAGTTGTTGGCGAAGTCAGAAAGCTGGTAGCTTGATGTCAGACGCCATATAGTCTCATAGTCTGTCTCGGGATCCAAAGTATCGATTGCTTTCGAGATCCAATGGTAACTGTCTTGGGAGATTTGAGAGTTCAAAGGGCTCATGATGTAAATGTTGTAGTTGGATGATTTGAATATCTGATGTATCGCACAAGTGTTTGATATCTCTTCTGCCATCAGTATCAGTAGTGGTTCTCAGTCCATCTTATAACACGAGACAGTGCAACAATGATCGCTTTCGGGGACTTAGGAGATAGGCGTGCTCCTCTCCTGAAAGATCGACTCGACTATCCTTAGCGACGGCATTGTTGCTCGTCCCGACCTCCGCAAGCGCTGCACCCCGCAAATTTCGCGGGAGCTTACTCGGCAAAGCTTGCATGGGACTTCGGATACAATTTGAAAGTCGCTCGAGTTAGAAATATGGTTGTATTCATTCGTCGCATAAGTACAGGACTCTTCGGAATTCCGACGAACCCGATTAGTCAGGCAACCGCCACCTGGAAAACGAAACGTTCGGATGATTCTTCGACCTACTCCCTTGGTTCTCTTTTTCTTTCTTTCTTTTTTTTCTTGTTTTTTTTACCAAATATCGGTCCCATTTCTAGTGAATAGACGTGTAGTCTAGAGCTGTTGTCTCCGGTTTGAACAAATGTCCGTGGCTCCTGACAATACCCTGTAAGACATTTCTCCCAGAGGTACTGATATCTTACCTAGCTTGAGATAACCTGTGGGTACATCAGCCTAGTATGTCTCAGTAATGATTTTGCTGTCCGGAAAGAAAAGTCCACTAGTGATTGCTTGAGATATTGATAAGCATCTTGACCATGGAAATTGGACCTCGTCATCATAGCATCCATGATCCATAGTCCATCCAGCATGAATCTAGGACTCTTTCCCAGACCTCATTTCACTTTTTCCGGATGTTCTTTGTGGCAAAGGTCTGAAAGCAAATAAGTATATTTGAAAGCCTTTGAAAGCTATCTATCAGAGTAAAACCCTGATCGCGAATCGAACCCATCTTGTTGCCTCGAACTCATACAACACCCCGAATCCTCCATTGTGCCTTTTAGCTGAATAGTCCCGTAGTTCCAAATAATCGAAAACCCATCAATATGAAGAGGGAGGCCTCTGGACTTCCTTACAAAAGGCCGGAGATGGGGATGCAAGGAAGCTGGACAGCAACGAGACCGGAAGCCTAAAGAAATAAAAGTCAGCTAAAGTCTGCAATTCGGCATATTAACTCAGTGGGAACTCACGGTGTTGCCATCGGACTTGCAGCAGGCAACATTCTGCTTGCACTTGCTGTTCAAGAGGTCGTTGGCGACTGCTGAGTGTTAGCATTCGAGATAGATACTTGGTATCGGAGAATCTTACTTCCAGCTCCAATGGAGGAGCATCCATCAAGAAGCTTCAGGCCGCCGTTGCCGAGGACGCCACCCAGAATGCCGGAGAGGATTCCGGATCCCGAGTTGTCGTTGACATTGGTGTCGGCGCTGACCTGGTTGCAGCAGCTGACGCTGAGGTTCTGGCCGCAGACGTTCTGGGCCTCAGCGTAGGTGAGCGTGTCGAGGGTTCTCTTGACCGGAGCAGTGGTGCCAGGAGCGGCGGTGACGGTGAGGGCCATGGCAATGGCGGTGATGGCGGCGGTGGAGAACTGCATTTTGAGAAGATTGAGGTAGACTTGAAGGTCGAAGTTTGGAAGTGGCAGATGATGCTGATTAAGATGGATGAGGATTACTGAAGAGTGAAGAGAAGATGATCAGATGAGATGTGCTTGCTGAGTGTGATGATGAAGGGAAAAGAAGTCTTGTCGGGACGAACAAGCAACGCTCTTTATACACTTCATCCTACCTTGAGAAGACTTGTTCAACAGATGCTATCCCCACACATGACCAGTCGAAGAACTCAGAGATCGTCAGTAATTGCTTCACTAGTCTTCCTCCGACCCCAAGGAATGAGGGCATCCAAGCCATCCCCGGCATAGACAGTATTCCTCGCCATCTCAGAAATATCTAAACGACGGAGTTGTCTATGATCTACATTGATCCATAGCAGTCGCTCTAGCCATTCTGATTGTTCAATCCCAGCATCATTCCGTGTGGTGAAGCGCACTCCACCCAACAACAAATCTTACGTCCCTTGCCTTCATTCCACGTGCTGGCGTTTACTTTCCAATACCACCATCATATCGAAGACCGCAAGGGATAATAAGAGTATGCCAGTTTCCCATTCGACTAATCCTACATTCATGCCTTAGTAGCCATACAAGTAGGATCTCCATCTATTGCGGCTCTGAGAAGCGCGTCAGAGCGCAGGGATCGAAGGAAGACTTGACTTCACCTTCTCATTCCAAGCAGGTGTATCCATGATTCCATCCTTGCACCTTTCAGAAAAGGATCTACATGCAGCCGCGAAGGCTCCATTTTGAGCGCACCTCTATATCGAACAGCAAGGGGCGGGCAGTCGGGAAGATCTCGTCCATTGCAACCCGCCATCATGCTCATCATTTAGCGAAGTAAGTGTATCCTTACAACGGTACAACCCGAATCTCAATCGCAAGATGATGTCGGCAATACGTCCTAGCGTTCTTTTTCAGCTGAGGGTATAAACCAATTGAGACACATCTAGAGTTCGATGAGAAGTGATAGATGTTTAGAAAGCTCTGAGTGCCCCAAGCGGTATTAGTCGTTAGATTCTACTTTTGGTATTGCTTCCATAGTTGTCAAAGTTGTCGGCACTAAGACTCAAGAATAACGCATTCGGCCTGCAGCTTTCTTTTTACAGTAGGCTGGGGTTCACAGAATCCCTGAAGATTTGGCAGATCTTGGCGATCTGGGGATTAGCTCTGCCGAATGCGTTGAGACACCCATTCCCAGAGTTGTCGATCTCACTGTCTCAACTCTTCAACGTCTGGTCGGAATGGATGTGCACGGATGCCCAGTTACCGCAGGGCATCTTGGAAAATGTGTTATTGAGTACCGGCGTATCGGATCCAGTCCTCGCCGGCGCAGAGTCAGAATTCTGCATGATCCAAGTACCGTTTACCAGAACAAGGCAAAGATCTGCGTCATTCCCCTTGGAATACCGTAGGGAGACCTCTGATCTGACTCTACCATAATCCCATTGAAGTCTGGCTGGGTATTATCGTCTACCTCACTAGTCGTTAAAGTGAAAGAGTCACTCTGACGAGGTAGTTTTCTACATCTCAATAGGCTAGGCCGAGTGTCCAAACCGTATCGGAGGAGTGCCCCAGTCGCCGTCAAAAACCGTGAACGGAGGCAACGAAAGAGTCATACTTATTTCAATCAATAGCACGGAGAAACTCTACTTGTGGAAACGGTTGAGCCATGGGCTCTTGATGTACACAGTACGGGAACCGAAGTATTTGCAAGGCTCGAATTCCTGAGTTTCATTGGAGGTCATTCGCTTAGAGAAAGAGATACTTCAGCCACCCGCCAGAGTTTTATACAGGACACCCGACCTACTAAAGACAGGCTGCCAGAGCGCCAGGCAAAGGCGAACGCATGTGGCCTCTTTGGACTTCGGAGGCGTCTGGTGGCCTGCTTCGACTTGATAGTTTGGGAATGCCAATTCCGGCGGGCGAATTGCCTCCCGAAATGTGAACATGTCAAATTTTTTCTTACTTCCCTGGTCATGGGAACAGCGCGTGGGGGCTACGAGCTGATAGGAGCCTAGAAGGTCGACGCCGCCTTACGGCCGTGTTTACGTCCGTAGCTATGCCGCCCATGTGCAGTTATGCAACTGTTGGCGGCGCCTCTTATCTTCAGCCAGGCCTATTGCGATGCTACTCCGTCGCATAGTTTCCTCTTCCCGGGTTGAACCCGAGGAAGGGGTATGTCGTTGGTGTTTCCTCCAACTGTCAGTCACGTCCTGCATATGCAGCCCTAAGAATCGCTGGAAACAAAACTTGAGCAGGGGTGGGAACATGGAATTATTTAGCACACTTTCTTGCCAGCTCGTATCTTACAGCGGCTCAGTCTGACGCCGATAAGATGTACCCCAAGTCAGATAGATTCCTTCGAATCCTTTCCGAAGCGTCGAAATTCCTCCTCAATCAGGGCCCAGCTTTCCTTTCTCAAAAACCCCTGAACCCAGTAATTTCCAGATTCGTCCTTGCCATATATCATAAAAGCGTCACGGGTTTTGTCATCCGCGTTCATGGTGGTGCCCCAGAACATGACTGGTCTGACATGATCTTGCGCCGCATCCGCCGCAGAGTTCCCCACCACCCCAGTGCAGGGCTTGTGTTCGCCAACGTCGCCCGAGGCAGCAGAGCTGATATCGGCGGCATCCAAGAATTTTGCCTTGGTCCAGTTGGAGCAGGCAATCACTCGGGAATCCCACCGCGCAAACAGGGGCATTGTGCCTAGAGCTGCAAACCAGTTACGTGCGAGACGCAGAAGACTTCGGGTCTGCACGTCGCTAGTCTGCTCAGTGATGGCTTGGCGCAGATGTTGAGCAATCTGTGCCGTCGTGGCGCTGGCAGCCTCCCGTCTGGATAGGACAGTCGTTGCTGGAAGGATCAGGTTCTGCAGGTATGGGCCCTCGGGCGCAAACGTATTCTCCAAACGCCGGCGGATATCGAATACGTTGCAAATTACTGCACTGCACCTCTTCCATGGTCGTGACGACATGACAAGGCGAGAACCCCAAGCTGTGATGAGATCCCCATCGCTGACGAAAGGGACCACTCCACCATGTGTTTCCTTCAACTCCTGCTCGACTCCTTGGCGCAGATGTCTCAAATAGTTGGCGGGCAGATAGATGTGTCGAGCTTGCACGGTTCGGCGAGTCGCGATATCCCATAGATATCGGGCAATGAAGGAAACCAAAGCAACGCCACGAGTTTGCTTACTTTCTAAAGCGAACTCTCTCTGCGAGACATCCTTGTCGAGGTCTGTTGCTACGCTGTCAAGCACATCTCGATAAGTGCCCTGAAGAGGCTTCACCAGATAGCTCTTGCCCACTATGATATTGGACCATGCCTTGAGTAGCTCTGATATACCCATGGCATCGGCGAGCGAGTGTGGATAGGTGAGCCCTACTAGTGTAGCGTCTGCGAAAGATGTGACATGAAGACACAGCAAGGGCTCATCACTCCTCAAGTAATGGTTGGTGTTCTTTGGCAGATCAACGGGCGCAGCGAAAGACTTGAAGGCTGGGCTGCCTTCTTGTAAAGATGGTGTAGATCCTGTTGCTTTGGGCAGCCTCGAAGCAAGAGGATGGGAGTCGATGTTGGTGTTGAGGTGGTCGACGTGGGAAAATCTCACGGCCGGGCGTGTCTCGGTGAAAACGCGCGGTACATGGATCTCGAGTTTTCCTTCACTCTGCAAGATTTTACGATGGCAGTCAGTACCGGCAAGTCAACGGGTTCTTTATATCAAAATGGAAATCATGACTTACATTGGCTCGTAGACGGCCTGAAATCTTACGCCATCCAGGCGTATGCACAAGTTGGATTAGACTTTCGTGAAGCGTCCTGGCGTCGAGGACGTTGTCATAGCGAAAAGTATAGTTTAAAACAATTTTACGAATGATAGCCGCCTGATCTATGAAGTGAATTGGCAGAACTTCGTCTTCGTATAGAAGACATTCGTCTTTTGCCGATTCGAGATCACTATCTCTCGTGAACTTTTCGTAGTTGCGCATTTCAAAGAGAAACTCCTCGAGGCTTTTGAGCACAATCTTTTGAAAGAGGCAAGAAGTTTGATAGCCAGTCTAGGTAAAGACAAGCTTTAGTGAAAGAATAGATTGATTTGCGACGCCCAGTGTCTCTGTAAGTTGAATGCGAGGCGAGAATGCTCTTCGATTTATATGTTTTCCATCGAGGAGACTGATATCCGCCATCTTCCATACTCGGTCGGGCTGATTCTGGGGGCTAATCCTTTTGTCTTGATGGTGCCTCTTTTCAAGGTCATACGGCCATTTCACAGCCATGTATCTTGACGCCATTTTGGGCAATGTCAGCCAGCCCAGTAGGGCTGATACTTGTCAACTTTTGAGAAACTTCCAAACCAACAAGATACAGAAGTGACGAGAAGGAACATTTGGGTGTGGCGGAGAGACTCCTTATTGGTGTTCCTACGAACGAAGTCATCGGCTCGATGCATCCAAAAGTGAAGGAATTCCACTTTGGGAATGTGTCCGGTGTGAGTCTTGTCAAGTCGCCCCGCCCCCCAATCGTAAGACGACACAGCCTTGTTCCGCGCCGCATCCGTCGCTCGTTGATCTCGCCAATAGTCTTACGGAATTGAGAGTGACTGCCTGGAACCTCCGGTTTTAGCTGGATTTGAGAAGGGTGATGGCATGCCTAATAGTCCTTATACCGTGTGACAAATTACTGTGCACTCTAGTTTTTTGTGTGTAGGCGACTTTTTCCGACTATACTAGCCTGAGATAGAATTGACCAAGTATTTGTACCAAGACGGATGCGTGCACGAGAGCCTTGCAAGAGCAGACCGCACCAGAATTCCCTGATTCAGTTCTCTAAACGAATGCGATGCTGTCGACGAAGGGAAAGGTCCGATCAGACTGTAGTGCATGTCTTGCATCCACATGTTGAGACGGGAAGGTTTTGAACTATTGCATTATTAAGACCATGATAACATTCATCATTAGTGAGAAGCTAAAGACCGTCTTCTTTGGGTCTGCATCCTGTTTCTAGGCGTGGTAGTCAAAGAGCATTCTGCCAGAGAACACTGCCCTATGACTTTCCATTGCCAGCCCCTTTCTTGACCTTTGACATCCTAGGTGCGTTTCTTCAATTTACATTTTTCTTGTTTCCATCTCGTAGTCGTCCACCCTTGACTCGTGAGTAATTGGCTTTGTGAGCATGACAGTGTCGTCGCCAGCGTAGGACTCGAAACCCTTGATATTGTACTTGGCGGCAAGCGGGCCGAGTTCGATCAATCCGGCAATGATGATGCCAATGCTGACCTCGATGGCGGACCAGTTGAATACGGGTGCAGCGTCGACTGTACTGTTGTTAGCATTCGGAACCCAGAGTGGAGTTATCAACACATACGAAGCTGGTCGCTTGACCCCTTGAGTTTGACCAGTGCCACAAGGCGGATGATGTTTGCGATTGTCGCGCTAGTCTCCCTATTAGCAAAGGCCTTCCAATCACCTCGAAATAAAACTTACAGTATTCCCAAGCCGAAGATGCCGTAAATGTACATCTTCAATCTTGAGTTCAGGCCGCGGCCTCTCATCATGATCCATGGTGAAACCATCAAAAGACCATCCAGGGTCGCCGTCACGATAGACAGCGCATATCCCATATAGAGCTGACCCGTGAGAGGCAGGCAGTGCCCCTTTGCGTTCGCATCCAGCAATCTCCATGCGAAATCAATCGGCTGGCACTGGACCAACAAGTAGATGATGAAAGCAAGGCTGATGGCCACGTCCAGGCCAATCGATACCCAGAACAGAGAAGTCAGGATCCTCGAGCGCGATAGTCGAATGAAGGTCAAAGCAATGCTTCCTTTCATTGCCGAGGTGAGTACCACGTAAATAATTTCCAGGAAAAAGAGTACTTTGAGAGAACTGGCGATGCCAGGGAGTGTCGCCTGGAGAATGCTGCCGCCAATTCCACCTTGAACACCTAGGACCAAGAGAGCGTAAAGAGCTGCAAAAGCGGCCTGCAAGCATAGTATTAGATAGAGCGAATGCATACACCGCAAATCAGAGTACGAACCAGAGCTGTAAGTAGTAGGTAGTCGTTGGGTCGGACATGCTTTGTGATGAAGATCCGAGTATACAGGCGTAGACCGACGAAGAAGGTGTTGAGAAACATCAATATCGCCCCCACCACGATCATGACCATGCCCTGCTCTGCGATCGCCATCTTGACGGTAGTGAATAGACGTTCCGGTGATAAGTGATGCGACTAGTGGCGACTTCGGTGTTGTGGCCAGCACGCAGGAATGTCTGGCTTCCAGGACCGACCGGACTACTACCGATATGAAGGGTGAAAGTTGTAGATGTAATCGTAAAGTTGGTGCCTTCGCGACGATGTAAATGGACAAATATCCAGCAGCGATACTTTGGGATTGCAGTTTCTGACATGAAGACACACCAACAAATCCAAATCACCGCTGCAGCACAGATCAAGGATCTGGCACACAGAAGGTCCCCTACTTGAGGATGTAATTGGGGCTGAATAGTATTCGTATCAGAGTGTCGGGGCTCGCATGGTTTCGTGTGGTGTTTCAAAACCTGTAGAAATGGGAAACCACTAAGCTTTCAATTGACGTCCGACCGAGGCTGACACGAGCTAGATGGGAGGCCGACAGAAGCAGTTCCCTGCTGGAAACTGGTCAAAGTGAGTAATCCATTCGCATTCAGGGTAAAGATGGGATGAAACAAGTGCTGAGATACGTAAACCCGACACCGAAGACAGCAGCAGTATGTGCGGCCCGGTGCCGTGCTGCCGAAGGGGTTGATCCGTTCGCATTGATCGCCGGTGATAGGCACGGCAGGGTGATGGGAGGCGACGACAATCAACCACAAGAAACATTGGCCCAATCTGCTTAGGGACGTTGGAGAATTCAAACCATATCATATCATGAGTCACTGTTAACTGGAGGACTGGACTGCTGAGACGTGCTCTCATAATGCCATGATATTTTCTTCACGGACCGTCTGAAATTCTGAATACTTAGTGTTCCAAAAGCTCGAACAAGTCTTCACTCTTCTCTTTTGTAGGCCTTCCGCGCCTTTGAAGAATGCGATACCGACATACCCTGGATTACGGTGCTGAATATGACGATTTGTCAACCTTCAAGGTACTAAGATGAAGTTTCCCACATGCCTGCAAACTGGCTACTGACAGACGAAGGTCTTTTCAAGATTCTGGCCCATTTTCATTTGGCCAACCAAAGCTTTCATATTGTATCCCTGATGCCCTTACCCCCGTGCAAATACACGAACTCTTCATCACCCAGTACTCCAACAGTGAAATGCCTAGTTTGACCTCGGGTTCTCTGAAAGCAGCCCATTCTGAAGCTCAAATCGTCCACACGACTGTAGAGGTCGCCCTTGGACAGTAAATGAACACTCTGTGGTAGGTGACTTGGTGCATTTGAGCCTTGAAGCAGGTTGACCATGGACGCCATGCTATGGAAACCATCTGGCGCCAACCCTTTCACTTCCATATCGAACAACCGCGGGATTCCACTAAGATGCCTCGTAGCGGCAGAGAGTACTGCCATTATGTCACACAGAGCCACTAAGCCCAGTACCGCCATCAAGATATATGTGATAGTGGGGTTCTGGACTAAACGTCGTTTGCTTCTGTCTACAATGGTTGCTTCAAGCAATGGGAGACCATTAGCAGGTGGAGGGCGATTTCTGGAATTTTCAGTGACGCCAAAGCGATTCTCTAAGTTGGCGAGTTGGGCACCAATGAAGCCCAAGTTGTGTTTCAGGCCATCGAGAACGTTGGATTCCTGGCTAGGGTCTCCCAATGCGCTGAGTGGTAGTTGGCCGTATGGCTCTATCAAGACTGTGAATTGCCTCTCCATTGAACCAGCGAGCGGGTCGTTGAGGCTAACAGTTGGGAATGCGTCACCCGCTTGGAAGTTGATGAACTGAAAGTCGAAGTGAGGAACGTCAAATGGAGGATCCCAGAGTTTCGTAGTTGATAGATCGGGTTCCGGCGGCTTTTCGGGGTCGAGAATGTATATGCCGTCCGACTCCATGGATAATGAGACCTTGGTACTCGTCTCGACCCACGTGTAGTTACATCTCCAGATGGAGAGATGGTCAAGATCGTTTTTGTCTTTGTTGAACTCTCCCCAAACGTAAGTTTGGAATCGATATGGGGAGTATATGTAATCAGGAGCGCTCACGTTTATGCCTAGCTTACAAAGGCCGTTGATGGAATACGTGTTTCCTGGTGATTCAAGAATGTCCGAAAAGTATGAGCGGCCTAGCCTATTCGTAGCGGTGCTCATGGAGATGATTCCCGGAAGCTTCGCTCGATTTCCATTAGGACAATCAAACGACTCGACCATAAGGACCTCGAAGAATTTGTCCTCCTCGGTGTAGTTCCGGAATGTGATGTTGTAGGTGCTGGCGGGCAACTGGACGCAGGTAGGGGCCAATGTGGCAGCCGGAGCGCTGAGCTGGATGGAAATATTTGGCGAAACCTCTGTTCCTTGTAGTCCGTCAAGAACCGGGAAAACGAGATCGTCGTAGGTGTTCCGTGGGTATGTCAAAGCTCCGTCACCCTTACGCAGGACAAGGCTGCTCAACGAGTCTCGCGTTGCTGCGAAGGATCCGGCATTGTTCAACGTCATCTGACGTGATCCGAACCATGTTGTCTGTCGTAGCTGGACGTTCGTAGAGCTAGGTACTGGGTTTACGGTGAACATAACCGAAGCTAGAGTTGTCAGAAATGCGCAGAGGAAGGTTAGCAACTGTGAGAGGGTGACAGCCCAAACACGCTTTCGGACCGACCAGTATAATGCCCTTAGACCCATCATGTCGAGGAATGACATATCGAGAAGTCTTGCACTACACGGTCGCAGAGAAAGGCTTGAAAGCGTTGCCAAACCTCGGTATGCGAAGTCACAGCAGCCGACATACAGAGCAACACAAAGCATTACCAGTGCTGGAACAGATGTCCACAGCAGATGCAAATAACCATCGGCATTTATAGAGGCAAGCCCCTCTTGTGATTTCGATACACCTAAAGTGTAGTATAGCCCACCGATGATTCCAAAAATCAGGACAGAGATCGGCACTCGTGTCCATGTCCTCAGTACCAAGGGAGTGAATTCACAAGAGCTCCACTCATTGTCGAGACTACGCGACTGAGAAGCCATGATGCTGTTTGACAGATCCATGTTGTCGCGGAAGAAAAGCATGCTTCCGAGAATTGTAGCAGGATCTCTGTGCCATACTGACATCCTCTTTCGGTAGCGAAGCAGAACTATTACGGTCAAAACAGCAAGCAGGAAGAATAGCGCTGTCATCGACAGCGAGACCCACTGGTTGACTGTCAGCCTTTCGATGGTGGCGATTGTTGTTCCAGTTGTTTGGGAATCGCCTTCTTCTCGCAAACGATAGTGGCCGATCAAAGGGCTCAAGATACTGCTCGTGTTCATGACCGCGTCGTAAAGGACATCATTAGTGAATAGTGATGGATCAGTATCATTGTTCGTTCCCTTTCCGTTGAACTGGAAACCTGTAATGATCGGCCCAAAGATTGTACCGGTCCCTGAGCCAGCCCATAGACCGACTGTTTCAGGGATGGAGCTCCCCAACAATGACCAGAGGTCCGCGTTGACCGTTCTTCTGGACCCGCCCGGTATGACCGTCATATTCGGGCTCACACCATCGTCAACTATCTCCACCGGGGTTGTCCAGGCCGTCGAGGAGCACAAAATCGCAGCAAAATTAAGAACATCAGGGTGAGATGTATTCTTTGCTGACGGTCCAATGCGAGTTGCGTAGTACAAAGACTGGTTGTGTTGTTGTGGAAGGTTTGAGCACGGCTTTGGCTCATTAAGGAGGTTGTTGACATTCCAACTGCTCTGTAATGTCGTCTTGTTCGGATTGGAATTGATCCACATCATTCGATCCGTAGTTACTGGGACAGGCTGATCGCAGCCCTCGAACAAAAGACTGGCGTTGAAGGCGTAATAGCTCCTGGCGGGACCTGTTTCCTTGAGGTCCGTATGCGAGTAGTTACTAAGCTTCAGACATTTCATCTCTGCAAAGTACCCATCGACAGTGACTGTGATCGGTTCCGTTTCTGTTCCTCGCCCGGAGCCCTGACGAAACGAGAACGTCTGATAGGCCCCTTCCTTTGTGACCCCAAATGGTAGCTTCATTTCGAAATTCTGCAGAGCCTTTGCAATGTAGTATGCACTAGTCTCTCTGTTTGACATCGCTGGAGTACTGACATTGAACGAGTCGAGCACATGAACATCGACGAGTTGTTCAGCTTGGAAGCTGACCAGACTGTACAAACTAGGGGCAAGAATAATCTGAATCTTGATGAAAAGAGACACAACGGCGATGATGAAGACAAGGAAGTGTCTTCTCCGCAGGGATTGATAAAGAATCGAAGGCGACAGCATTGCTGTGTAGTCAAGAGAATACCCGCCCCTGCTCATCGATGGGTTGTCGCGGTAAGCGATCCAAGGCATATAGCGGATGGCCTGTAACTCGACTCTTGACCAAAAAATGGACAACAGAGTGAGGACTTGATTTATTGAATGTCAGCCTATCTTGACACAAAGTCTTCACAGTTTTCTCTTACTTGCTGTTGGGCCAAATCGCCAAAGGTAAACGAGGCTCTGCCGTGTGGTGACCAGACCACTATTTTGCTGGGAAAATTGAAACATGACAATGAGAGAGGCGCCGAAGAGAAGGAACAAAGCGGCGAACGCCAACAATGTCCCTGACCGAAGCCATGTTGGACACCATGTTGCTGTGTGATTGGTAGTGTCGTCTGCGCTTCTGTCCACGCCGCTCACGGATTTTTTCGCTAGGAAGCTATCAAGCTCTACATCCCGTTGAAGAAGTGGATGCGTTCCAACGATGAAAGCGTTCTTGTTGTTCTCCGTGAAGTCATCATCGAACAGACTGCGGGTATTTGTCGAAGACCGCGAATACTCCGACCTAGGCGCCATTTTGGGAGTAGTGGGGGTCAAGGCGCTGCCATGAAATCAATGGATGCGAAAGCGTTCTTCTCCAGAAAGTTCCTCTCTTTCTCAAGTTGAACGAAGGTCAAGGTATGGCATTATACTGTTAAGAGCGGCGGAGCCTGATTGAGGCAAGCAAGATCAGAATTTCGGTGATCGCCTGTTACAGTCGGGTGACCGAAGTGTCTATATTTCATTCAAGCTTCTCTAGCCTCCAGGCAAAAATTCTCAGGGCGGGCTACTTTCTCCATATGATGATGGGCCTATGAGCGCCTCAATACTGAGAGACCCTTGTGTTATGTGTGTCAACGTAGGGGCAACCCCCGGGAGCCTTGCATTAGTTTCCGACATTTCGACTTCAGCTAATAGTATCTGTGGTGGCAGTTGCGAAATATTTGGCGCGAAACGGGCGCTTAAAGATGACTGCATGATCCTTCGATGGCTGATGTGGCGGTTGGGGGCTAATTGGGTGCCTGATGCAACTTGATTTAGCGGACGGGGTCTTCATTTACAGCAGGAGCCCATTGAGTTTGTCGTATGTTCGTCTCATCAGGCGGTTTGATCCTCTGCAAGCTTTATGTACAACAAGTAGGTAAGTAGTATAAATGTACCGTAAAGTTTGACATTGTACTACCACACTACTTCTCAAATATATATGCCAGATATCCTCTCTGCCGTAACCACTCCTCGGCCATTGAGGGCCATTTTGAGACCGGCAACCCTTCAGTGTCCAAAGCGAAGCCGTGGGGCGCGTCAGCAAAAACGTGGAGCTCGACAGACCCCTCCGCTGCCTGCAACCCCTGCGCAAGCCGGTATGCGTTCACCACAGGCACCACGGGATCGCTGGCAGAATACACAATAAAGGTTGGCGGTGCCGGGCGCGAAATTTGCTGATCGGGGATGACAACATCGTAAAGCTCCTGCTTCGCCGGCGGCTCGAGGGGTGCCTTATTGGGAATTATGGTGTGCCCCTTGGCATTGGTAGAGATAGGTCCGTATCCAATGATGGCGAACTCCGGCTTCGGCACCGGTGCCCCGGAAGAAGACGCCCACGAAGCCGGGTACTCGGCCAGCAGCGCGGACGCAAGGTGGCCGCCGGAGGAGAGACCGCACAACGCTAACCTCGCTGGCGCCGCCTTCTCTTCGATCAGACGCAACGCCTGTCTGGCATCGTCGACAGGGGCTTGGGGTCCTGTTTCTGCTGTCGGGAATCGGTGCACAAGTACAAAGGCCTCGAAACCGAGAGAAGCGAGCCAGCGTGCGACGGCGACACCTTCACGGCCCACCATGAGCTCGATGTAGCCGCCACCACCCAGAATGAGCACCGCGCGTCCGTTTGACTTCGCTGTTGGTTTGTATCCAAATAACCATGGTCTTGAAACTGCTTTGACAACTCCTTGATCGATAGTTCCTTGTGGAAGGTCGAGTTTGAATGCCCCATCGATGGGTTCGCTATCCCACAGCGGCCATGCGGAGTCCGCCGCAAACGATGACAAAAGACTCATTTCGTGAGAATATCCGACTTCGAATCGATGTCGCTGGTGACAAAATGAAAGAAACCTATGTGGAAATGTCGACCCCGCGTTTTGAGATTGGAGAGTTGGTCTGACGAGATGGGGTGATGTGTCCACGAGTTGCAATAAGAATTGGATCCTCGTGTATTTGAACAAGCGCTCGGTTTGCTTTGCCCCGATCAACCGAATTCAACGCAAGTCTGAACCATCAGAGAAGGCATCATCGCCATGCTAAATGTTGCTAGCAAATCGGTCTATAGAAGTCGTGGGTAAACAAGGAGCCGCCAAAATATCGATCTAGGCTGAACGATATCTATGTAACAAGATAGCATAAGGTCGCCAGAGACACCCGGGTAAGATGAGATGGGAAGACGAGTTCGTCATGGGCACGATAGAATTATTCCGCTAGATATCTTCAACATCACGCGCATTGACAAGACCGTAGCTTCTTGGTGCTGACTTGACGAACAATGTCGGAGGCAGGTCGTTAATATATCAGTCGGATGGTATTCCGACTGAACTCAGTGTTCTCGCCCCGAACGAGGGGGTTCATCCAGGTCTTGGCGTTCCAGGAGTAATCGATCTTAGCCCAGGATTTACCTGTGTCCGGGAAGTAAGCCTCGCAGTCATGATGAGCCAATCAATAAGAATCTGGATACCCTCCGCATTGGTCTTCCATCTAAATGCTAATGGTAAGCCGTCCCAGTATTGACTTGCTTATTTGCGGTTAGTATGCTTTTCATATTGAGCAATTCTTCATTCTTCGCATAAGTGTGTCGTGTACTCCGAAAAGCCGTTTCAACATCCCCTCCCCCGCCGTGCAACTACTGGTGTTCTGCCGAATGACTGAAGAACCTGGCCAAACCAGGAAAGACCCCGGACAACGCATGTAATCTCATCGATTGAACGCATACTGACGAAAAATGTTTTGATCCAGGGAGAACTCGATCATTTGATATCGCTACAATCAGGAAGATATTATAGAAAGAAGATCAAGACGCTTGGGCCAACTTTGATTTGCGGTTGGTGGCATTCGGAGTCTAGAAGCGGAACCTTAGATACGGCCAGCATCGATATTCACTGCACCCTTTGTACGATACAATCGTGGGCGCAAACCAGCTGAAATGTAAACACATTCAAATACCATTTTTTCATCCATACCTATATATTGCATGAGATTGGAGAATGGTGTCGCCTATGTTCTCCACGAGAAATATCTCTCCTAGACAACATTGAAAGTGAAACACACCGACCAGTGTCATAGTGGAACTCTTTCCGAGTTCCGCCCTCGATTTGTGAGTGAGGAACCGCCGGAAATTCCGCCGCTAGCCCCGCCATCCCACCTCAAACAGAGGCATTTTGGACGCCGGTAGCATTCGATCATTAGAAGAACCTCCGATCCGCGCCTGTGAAGAAATCCAGATCTCGATGGTTTTGACGAGGGTCAAATATTTTGGAAAGATCCTAGCAGTCACATATGGTACAGAAAGTTGCATGCGCACATCACTTGCAAGCTCTTCCCATCTTTGTTGGAACGGGCAGTTGCTACATGATCGATCTACCTACGAAACATGCATCTAATCGGATGTGTAACTTTCCCAGTGATAGACATCATATATGACTGTTATTCTCAGTGAGATTGTATCTTGAGGAATATCGACCTATGATGAGAGCTCTATTTCGACTTTCAAGCTGCAATAATTGTGATGTGAAACCCTGCGGACGCCGCCATTCCGCAAATATTTAGCTCAGGACTATCTATCCCTTCCAAGCTTAGTCCGGCTAGCAACCGAGTCAGGTAGGTTCCTACTCTTATCTCCATACCCATACGGCCGTCCAGTGAAGTGACTACCATTTCTGAGTCAGTACTTCATCTTGTATTCCTGGGGAAGCAAGTGTTGGAGAACGAGTGATCAATCAAAGACTCCCAATTAGTCAAATGTCGAACGCATCCCGGGAAGGATTTCGGGTGTGACGCCGGCTTTGACGGATAGTGATCAACCCCCACTGAATGCCACTCTACCCCAGAGATCTAGCGGCTTAAGTTTGCGGGGTGGCGGGGGTTAATGTCCAGCCAAGATCCTTCAAAACCCCCCGGAAACCCTACCTCTCAAATTCCGCCCCTTTTCTCTCGACCTCTTTTATCGTTCGATTATCATTCGACTGCTTCGCTCAAAGAAGCAGGTCCCAGAAAAAAGAACGAAGAAGAGAAGAGAGCGGAAGGAGATCACGTGCTATTACTCTTTACTTTTCAATTGGAACATGGATTCTCCAGAATCTCCCAGCTCGGTCGGCGGCGGCGACGGCCCGCAAGCCGGATCCCCCGGTTCTCAGAAGAGCGGAATTCCGAGTGCCCCAAAGACCCGGACCACTCGAGGGAAATACATTTCCAAGGCCTGGTAAGAAGACCCATCTTCGGGATTCCGACGTAAGCAGACGTTGGTAGTTGGCCTATACTGATTACGTTTCGAAAACCTTGCAGCTTTGAGTGCCGGAAACGAAAGAGCAAGTGTAATGGCAAGAGCCCTTGTTTCCGTTGCGCTCGTCAGGCATTGACCTGTAGGTTGATCTATTCCTCCCATTGCCGATGCAGAGCGAGGAAGACTAATAGCCTTAGGCGCATACCCGGCCTCGAAGAAACCACGCAAAGACAGAGGGAATAGCGCGTACGTATACAGCTTGAGATAGACACGGTAATTTGTTGACTAACCTGTTACTTAGTGATACCGATGCACAAGCTATCCAGTCTCTAAGGGACCAAGTGGCTTCTCTGCAAGGAGGCCTGGATCAGTTACGACGGCACCAGTCCCAGCAGCCGTCGGAAACCCAGTCAAGCCCTCTCCATTCTGAGGTTGCACCAACAGTGCTCCAAGATCTCCCGGTCCCATTGGGTAATCCGGATGATCAAGTAGTGGACCCAGCACTTCAACCGGACCCCATTGTCGTAGATGTTGAATCCTCCACTAGCCAAGACGAGCCTCAACCATCCGCCAGTTACACCTTCAACATCAGTCTTGCAAGAACACATCTACGGGCACGGGGTATCGGCACCGCCGATCACGAGTCCGGCGGGATGCCCGGATCTGTCAATCCAACCCGTCCACCTTCACCATCCATCCAAACAGCCTTTGGGTTAGACGTCGGGTCAATAGATCCTCTGTGGCTAATCAACGAAGAGGAAGCTGTACGGTTATGCAATGTGTATGAAGAAGAGATTGGCATTCAGTACCCCTTCCTCGACATTGGGTGGCTGATCGAACGAGTTCGAAGCCTTTACCATGCCATGAACAGCGGTTCTCGCCTTGGGTTTGCCTTTGCCGCAATCCCAGGGCCGACAATTATCGACCCTCAGGATCTAAGCTTGGTGAAGATGGTGCTATCAACAGCCTTGACTGTAGAAGCTGGAGGCTCAAGTCAACTTGGCAGGTCCCTATTCCTCGATGTGAGGAAATCATCACACGATAAGTTGTGGGAATCGGCGAGCATCAAGTCGACTATGCTCTACATCTTACTAGTATGTGTCACCTATGATTGGGTTAAAGTGTACAAGAGTACTAATAATAGACCTCCAGGCTGTTTATAGCTTTATGACTGGCGATGATTTGCAAGCTTGGAGACTTGTCGGCATTGTTGCCCGATGGTGTTTGGAAATGGGCCTTCATCAGTCAGCAACCATCAGCAAAACCTTCAAGGATGCTGGGAAACGCAAGATGGCCATGCGGCTATTCTGGTGTGTCTATACACTGGACCGGCGTTGGGGCTTTGGCGCAGGATTGCCCTTTGTGATGCATAACTTCGATGTTGACCAGCAATTACCAGAACCTGTGAGTTACACAACACTCAGTCACGACTCTGCTACAATTGCGAGGGAGATATTTATTGACCTTCTTAACTGCAGGATCAAGATGTTCCGTATCTCAGAGCCATGGTTGAGTACAGCCGAATTGGCGACAAGGTTTGGGCGACATCGTACAACTCAGCAAGAGCAACTGGCGCCATCAGAGATGACGAGATCTCCTACCTGCTGTACCGCATTGACCAATGGTATGAAGACCTTCCAGAAGACTTGAGGCTATCTTCGAATGAGCAGACGGCCAGTCCCAATACGAACTCTACGACATCTAGAGGTCTTCAACGGCTGCAAGTCTTGCTTCATCTGAGAGCCAACCAGATGAAGATTCTTCTTCTTCAACCGTTCTTGCACTCAACATCTAGTCTCAAGTCAAACAAGTCCAAGGTCCAGTCACTCGTCAACCTAGCCAAGGACACCATCCAGATGCTCGACTCTCTTAATCAATTAACAGACATCTATCAGAACCAACAAATGTGTTTCAACCATTTCCTTGTCTCCGCTCTCGGAGTCATCTTCCTAGTCGTGGCGCTGTCGCCAACAGAGCATGGCGCTTCGGTCCGCGATGAGTTCCACACCGCACTAGACTTGATCAGAGGTCTCAGCGCCAGATCCTACGTCTCAAGCCGACTCTGGAGGAGAATAAGCGACCTACGGCTCGCGTGGCGAAAGCTAGGATTGAATGCTCCTCAGTCTAGGGAGGCCAGAGAGCCTAGTACGCAGCAGGGCAACGCGCTGGTTACACCACCCACCTCATCTGGAGGGATGGACATTCCACCTGGAAGCGTGCCGACAGGTGCAGATGATGGGTTGCGCGGCCCAGAGCTTGATACATGGCCATCAGGTTCGGGTGAGCCTTTCACCGAGGCTCAGATGGCGCAGGAGCTGAATGACTTTTTCAACTCGATTGATGGCGGGGGAGACTTTGGGATTCCTTTACCCGTTTTGGGTACCGACGGAGACGGCCTCGACCCAGAGAGAGGTCCCGAAGATGCGTTTCTCGTGGACGATATGAACGCCTCCATGGATGTGTCACATTTATTTGTAGATATGCTATGAAATGACATGATGTAATATGAGCGATTCAACTTTTAGCCATCCACTTGGACCATAATTACGTGAAAACTGCTGCATTTGTCGACTCTTGTCTATCTCGGCCTCTTTAATATGCATGATGTTTGCAAAAGTTGATCAACAAAGGGGTCACCGCGACAAAATGAGCAAGCGTCGCGTCTTTCTGTTGATGAGGAGATTGGAGGACATGGGAATCGGCTCGAGAGCCTGAAGCTGGCGATGGCTGCTCAGGACCTAGGCTAATTCACGACAACTTCTCTCCAAGCCCCTCAACTCGCAACTTGCCCCAATTATGCGGAAGGCATAATACCATATTCACTACAGAGGATGATTCCGATCAATGCCCGCATCTCTCCACCTCCAACTACTCAAACCCCACGTCATAGTGTGACCTGTGCGGCCTCCGCGCGACACCGGGACGCGGGGGCGGAATTTGGAACTGCTATTCCGACACCAAACCATCGTCTCGGGACCCCGCGATTTGGCTCAGGCCAAGGACAGGACGAATCGCGGGGAACTGTGAATCCTAATGTGAGATTTCCGCCCAATGAGTTATCTTACATTATAAATGATTTTGCTCGTCTAGTCTGTCGTTGTCATCAGAACCAACAAAGTCAACGACCTCAATCAGCAATTACAGTCTGCGCTCTGTACATCCTGCCCATCATGCTCGTCGCAGAACTCGTACAAGGCCTCGTCCACGAGGCAACCCACCGACCGACCGAGTTCCTCGCCAAATTTTTGGGGGTCGCGGTATTGGTTTACTTCATCGCAAACGAAGTCGTCAGATCGAAAGCTCGTCTACCTGCTTGGCATGGCCCGAAGGGACTCCCCGTTATAGGGAACCTGCACCAGCTTGGCGGCAATGCCTCGCAGGTATACAAGGACTGGGCCAAGCAGTATGGTGCCGTTTATCAGGTCCAGCTGGGCAACCTGCCTGTTTTGGTTGTGAACACTGCTGCTGCGGCCAAGGTCATGTTTGGAAACAACTCGCAAGCAACTGCTTCACGACCGGAGCTCTACACTTTCCACAAGGTATGTTCCATTGTCTAATCAGATCAGAATTGAAATCCCTAACATTTGTGCTCTAGATTGTTGCCAACACTGCTGGCACCACTATTGGCACATCCCCCTACAATGAGTCTCTCAAGAGGAGGAGAAAGGGAGCAGCATCCGCCCTCAACCGCCCATCCATTGAGACTTACATCCCCCACCTGGACCTCGAGACAAGAGATTTCCTCAAGGACGCTCTCAACTACGGCAAGGCAGGCAAAGTCACCATCGACCCGCTTCCCCTCGTTCAGAGACTCAGCTTGTCACTGGCAGTCACGCTGAACTGGGGCATGCGATTCCCTAGCCACGACGACGGACTGTTCAAGGAAATCACGACGGTCGAGGGCGAGATCAGCCGCACGAGGAGCGTCACGGACAACATGCAGGACTACATCCCCCTCCTCCGCTACAACCCCTTCTCGGCCGGGAAGCGCCACGCCGTTGAGATGAGAATCCGCCGCGACAAGTATCTGTCCAAGCTCAACGGCGACCTGGAGGAGAAGATCCGCAACGGAACGCATGAGCCGTGTATCCAGGCCAACGTTATGCTCGATGAGGAGGCTAAGCTTAACAACGTCGAGCTGACATCGATCAGTCTCACCATGCTGTCTGCCGGCTTCGAGACGTTTACTGCGGTATCGACGTGGGGTATTGGGTTCTTGGCGACGCACCCCGAGATTCAACAAAAGGCTTTTGAGGCGATTAGGAAGACGTACGACGAGGGAAACCCTTTGTGCGATGCGCATGATGACCAGACTATTCCCTACCTCCGCGCTTTGGTTCGCGAATGCTTGAGGTATGATTCAGACGTGGCATTCTTGACAACCTGTGACGTCGACTAACTCTCTTACTCAGATTCTTCACTGTCCTTCGCCTCTCATTGCCTCGTGCCACGAACAAGGAGTTCATGTACGAGGGCAAGCTGGTACCCAAGGGCACCGTCGTCTTCTTGAACTCTTGGGCTTGCAACATGGGTGAGTCTTTCGTCCCTGATTGGGAAGCGAATGTATTCAGAAACACAAAACTAACATTTCCTCAGATGGCGACCTATGGCATGATCCCGAGGTCTTCCGCCCCGAGCGCTGGCTGGAGAACCCCGAAGCACCCATGTTCACCTACGGCATGGGCTACCGCATGTGTGCCGGAACCATGCTGGCCAACCGCGAACTGTACATCACCTTCCTCCGCATGTTGGCCAGCTTTGAGCTGTCGTCAACAGACAAGATCGACACCGATCCCATCACCGGCGCTGCTGATTTGACCAACCTGATTATCACCCCAGGCTCCTACAAGGTCACCTTCACCCCCCGCAACGAGTCAGCCCTGAGAGCCGCCCTGGAGACTGAGGTCGAGCACTGATTTCGAGTTATCTGGCATTCGCTACCTGAGATGTGGGGGAGATCAAGCCTGCCGGAGGGAATACAGGACGGATGAATGACAAGAATGGAATACCGGTCCACCATGGAATGAATATTGAAGCATAACGATTCGGGACGGCGCCATGCATTGATTGACAGAATGGAAGAAAGTTAGGCCAAAGTCTGGCATCCCATTCATGTACCAATAAGTCAAAAAATAAAAGAAATGTCTTGAATTTCCGAAACCGAGAATCGAACTCGGGGCTATGCCTAACCTCTCACTCACGGGAGCTCATGAGAGGGCATCATGTTGGCCACTACACCATATCGGATTGCTTAATGCTGAATATGTTCGAAATTGGATCCTTAGCTCGCGGGCTAAGAAGCGGAGCTGTGTGTGTGAGCGCGATGGGGTTTTCATGAAAAGATGAAAATTTGTCTCTTTGGCTTGTGGGACGGTGGGTCACCTCCATGAAGTCGTTGCAGGGCGAGACCTGTCTCTGAGATTTGGTGGAGAACACGAGGTGCGGATACTCTAAAAGCAGAAAAGGTCTGGTATTCGAGGTTGACGGAAATCTTAGCGATGGTCGTCAAATATTCATCGAATTTGGAGGCCGAGTTGAGCTGCTCAATGTGTTGTCTTACGAGATCCTCCAAGGAATCGCACCGCAGTTCATCATGCTAGCGAACTAACTTGCTGATATTAGTGATAAAGACTCCCCTCAGGGGTTTGAAAAGGTGCTTTGTTAACAGGCTTCGAAGGTCAAATCAGCAGGAAAGCATTCAAAGATATTGAAATCAGTCAACCAGCTAGTTTTAATTGTTTGTTATTGAGATTTATTCAGCTACCGCCACGTAGTGATGGTCAATACCGCTTTGAGGATTGATGCAGATACCAGGCCGCCCGGGCTCGACTCTTGCATAGGCATACGCTGCCTCAAGCTCGATTTCTTCGCCACTGAGTGCATCAACTGCACCAAAGTCATGGAGAATGCCGGAAGCACTGTATGAACACTGCTCCTTCGCGCCCACGAGATGCACCGAAGCCTTGAGCAATAACCTGTACGCTCCGTCCGCAGCGTCAACGTCTGCCTCTAAAACCATTTGGATAGTCTGAGTTCCGCGAGGCGCAGGTGGGATGCAATCCAACCTGAGAATGAGGACTTCGTCGTTCATTCTCGCATCTGGGAGCTCGCCCTGGAAGACTGGTATCACGATCCTCGTCTGTCCGTCCACTGTTGTGGTGAAGGTCATGGCCCGAGTACTCGGGAGTATTGTGTATCGCTGGAACACCCGATGCGCCTCGCCTCCGATGATCTCGAGAAGGACAGCTCGTGGATTCACCTCAAAAGTACCGACTAGTTCGTCGTATCTTCCGTGTCCACAGACATTCTCGGCAAAGACAGCCGCGCCAAACGTGACAACTTCGTCGTAGTCCCACGTATCTGGTATCAAGCGGAGACTTCGTGGGTAATCGAAGATCGCAGAGGTTCCGGTACCGAAGAAGGCCTTTACCATGGATCTTAACTGTGCCGCTTCGGTGTAGCCTCCCACAATAAGGACTTTTGAAATGTCGTTGTTAGAAAGATTCGCGCTTTCGATAACCTGACCCAGAAGGGGTAGTGTCTTTTCGAGTGTCTCCATCTCAATTGCGTCGAATACCGAGCTCCCTCTCAGCTGCTTTTGATGCATCAATTCGCCCACCTCATTGCCAAGCTGGTGATCACTGACACTAGCCAGACCTTCAAACACACCTGCATCAACCTCGAACAAAGATACCTCGAAGGTTTCTCTCCCTAGGTCGTACACAATGAAGTGGAACTCGTCGTCCAGCTTGTCTATGCCGAGCCCAATAGCAGCGGCGGTAGGCGCATTCATGATGCGAAGTACTTCTATTCCAACGGAAGAACCCGCTTCCGTTATGATATTGCGTTCTTCCTTGGTGAAATATTGCGGCACAGTCACAAATGCCTGTTCAATGGGTTCAAGTGTCCAGACTTTGGCTACCTCTTTGAGTTTCCGGAGGGCTTCAACTACCGAGTCTCTGAAAATGTGAACTTCATCAGGATCGCCTAGATTTACGTGAGGGATCGAATGTTTGAGAGCCCGATGTAGGAAGTACTCGGGTTCGGTGGCGTCGCAGACCATAACACTGATAGAAGTTAGCACTCACCATCGAAGAGTGTGCTGCAGACCATGGTCCAACCTGGAATCGAATAGAGCACTTGAAAGACATGGATCGCTTTGTGCGTGATATGCCAATTCATCCGACCCCATGATCGTGAAACCTGAAATACAGTCTGCTATCAGTCTTACACTTTCTAAATTCAATAGTAAGCTTACTCTGGCCATCAAGCGGTATCCTCCTGGCACCGCGTTGTATCTTGCCCACGCTTGCATACGAAGGTCCGAGGCTCTTTACAACACAACTTGTATCAATCACAACGTTCATGAGTGCTTTGGAGTTCCGGGGAGACACTCACGATGGACATGAAGCCAGGCTTACACGCATCCTCCCAGTCATTGACCTCGAATGCGGATGCACCAGAGCATGCTAGCGATAGAGACAAGATCAAAAAACCGAGTAGACCAAAGCCCATGGCTCTATGTCGTTCTGACGAAGGCGGCATCTCGATCAACTTCAATTTTCTGTGTTGTGTCGGGCTGTCGTGAATGCATAGTTTTGAAGTATCGCGAACGCCTTCGGCAATAGAATCGATGGAGACCTGGCCTTTCTTCCAGGAGGATCGTGAGGCCAGCTTAGCTTCTACTGAGCATGCGGCGGAGAACCTGTCCTCTTTGTGCAGTAAGTACGGCTGTCTTGGCCTGTTGTTGGCGACAGCAGCTGGGTGCTTAGTGAGCTGACCAGAATATTGATCCCACGCTAGCTCGTATTGCTCACTTCGGTAGGCTAGGTCTCTTGGTGCTCAAGCTGGGAGTCGAGCTCGCCTCCCAGTTCGACATGACCTCCCGATCTAAGGAGACGCCTGCTGGCTGTGGCTAAAGATATTGAGATGGCATCTTCCCCTTGAGGATTTGAGCGGCCTGAATACGTGATGAGGAGGTCCTGATACTAAGGTCGGGGATGCCGCGCTTGCAGCAAAAACTTATCGACGATGCTCTTTTGACGGTGTCGATTCGACCGATATTCTTCCTTCTACTTGGCAAGGAGCACCTTGCTACAAAGATCGCGGTTCGTCGCGATTGGTGTGAGTGCATGTGGTTAGACAAGGGACGATGCCGAGAACATGAGACGAAAGTCGCCCTGCTCGCTCCCCCGAAACGCTTAGAGAGAGGTTCTCCGTACATGTACCTGGCCACACCTGGCCCACCCGGCCCCAGCCGTCGTCAGCCGCCCCACCACGGGCTTCTTATCGCTCCCGCAGCTCCGATAAGGCTCTCAACGACAACGGGAGCCAGCCCTCTTCCGTCATCTTCACTCCTTCAAGTCGCACTCTTCCCAAGCTATTCCTCAAGGCTGTCACCATTTCCAGAGCTGAGCCAGCAAGCATGACGAACGCACGATCGGAATGACTGATCCCACGTACACAGTCTTCGTCAGACTGCCCATTCTGCGGGGCGATTTCACGGATCCCCCTCCGGTGAGTCCATGAGTCCATCCGCCCGTAGCCGTCCGGGTGCCTGTAGCCGCGGGACCGACACTAATGCGACTCCACGATGCAGGTCAACTGGGATTCCGCCAAGGACGATGTGCTATGGAACATCATCTCTGGCGCAACTAAGCAGGAGATTGACTGTAAGTTATGGCTAGCAATTTGAGCTTCTTAGCATCGCTAACTAGGTTGTGTGTAGGGAATGAACTGTAAGTCCTACCGAGGAACCGGAATCACACCATCGAGCTCACTCGTCCTCTAGAGCCGCACATTTCGATGTCACCGTCGACTTCCTTCTTCAGCAAGTAGCCTACTTGACCGAGCGGCACACCGCGCAGCTTCGAGCCCAGGTCCGAAAAGCCACAGCTGCTGCCAAAGGCTCCTCTGCCCCATCCCCCGTTCCTGGCGCCGAGCCACATACTCACCAACGAACTGTCTCCGCGCTATCCATCCGACGCGATTCGCCGCTCCCCCGAACTGATACGAGCACGCCAGCGACGCCAATAACGAGCTCTCTCCGGCCGAACATCACACGAAATGCCTCCTCAGGTACGATAACACGCAACCTGGGCGGCGGCTCTACGACCCGCCAGAACAAGCCTGCCACTTCGCGGCCATCCAACGACAGTCAGCGACGTCGCCTGTCATCGCTCCCTATCCAGAGTACTCCCAGAAGCCCCGAACCGACTTCGCCTGAGGCCGATGAGCTAAGCTCGCCCACATCCTCAGACGATGAGTCCAGCCCTGCGCAATCGCGCATCATCCGTCGCCCACCCCGCTTTCAGCAACGCGACGGACCGACTGATCTCGAAGATGAAGACGAAGACACTGAGCCTGCCTTTCTTCAATACAAGCCGCAATCGTCCAACACATCAGCACAAGACATGGGTTCGACTTTGCGAGGCGACCCTCGACACGCCCGACGGACGCCGAAAGGCAAGGAGAAGCTTCATCATTCCGAGACGTCAGATTCGTCTACCAGTTCGCCCGCCATGGTGTCCAGGGGCCCCTCAACAGGGGAGAGACGCCCAGCTGGCCCTCTCTCACCGCGGCGCCCGGCTGAACTGTCTGGCAAGAGTCCAAGTAGAAAGGGGTACTCGCGAGACGGAAGCGACGGCACACCAAGCATGGGCAGCAGCTTCAGTGACTTGGATGGTAAGCTCCAGGATGACTCATCGTTGATTTGCAGTGCTAATTGACAGTAGACGCCTCTGTAACACAATCTGCTCTCGAGGAGGCCCTCGCGAGTAAGATGCAAGACGGCGGCATCGGGAGCAGATTCAGCATCAGTCAAGCGTTTAGAAGCCGCTATATGCCCAAACCTGGTCAACAGTAGCAGCGCGTACATCAGATTTTGATTTACGGTAGAATATGAATCGGTTAGGTCGAGAAGCATCTCTGGCGTTTAGGTAAGATCACGGAAGCGGGATAGAATGCCCATTTTTGCTCAGTCAATTATGGTTGATGGAATAGGAGTTGGCGTTTAATACAATTCAGTCTGTGGACGTATTTGATTTGATTATTTGAGCCTCTTCCTACTGGATTACTCCAAAGACTGACATGTCTATCCAGCAAATGCAGCACACCACTGCAGGTTCGAGAAGAGGTCGGGACCACGCTCATCTTTCCTCGTCCACATGAAAACAAAACAGGTGCTATGTGCTTCAGGGATATGCTGATTCTAATCCATCTTACAGTCGCCTCTAGAGCCATGAATGATGACGTCCGACCTTGATCCGAGTATTGCGGTAGACCAGGGATAATTCAATCGAAACGTAAAGCCAAACCCCCAAACAGCGGTGCGTTGTCCAACGAGTGTCTCCTCGTAGAGTTCATGATCGCACCCTCTCCTGGATACGCATTTCATGGCTCTCGCCTCTCTCGGCTTCACAATAGTCAGCATACAAATACCCTAAGCCACCGGGAACAGAAACAGCTTACCATCCGACTCATCCGTCTTCGCCCCTTCATACGGGTCCCACGTCTTTTTCCTCGCCGGGAGCGGTTTCGTCACCACTTTGCCTCCTCCTTGGAACAGTCCGTCTTCGCTTTTATGGTGCCTCGTCTCGTGCAGCCGGTGCTCGTCGTCGTCGTCATCAACCCTCTCGCCGTGCTCCGCCCGACGCCTCTTGGCCTTGTGTGCGCGGTAGAAGAACAGCGCCCCGACGACGCCAATGAACACGATGACGGTGCCGATGATTGCCCCGATCTCGCCGGCCGTGAGGGCTCGAGGCGGCGGCGCTGGTTGAGGGCCGGTACGACTGTCCCCTTCGTAGAAAGACATGGCTTGCGGCTAGAGGATGAGGGAGGGAGGGAGGTGTGGCGTGGTGTTTTGTGTTTTGCCCGTTTGAACGGCAGAGACGCTCAGATGGCCCGGTCTAGGGAGCGTTGGCTGCGGGAGAGGCGTTCAATGGCGGTCCGGGGGATCGGAGGGGGGGAAGAACAGGCAATCATGGATCGAGACGGGAGCTGTGTCAAGGGCGGGCGGGCGTCCTGGAGCTCTTTGCGTACACGGATAATCCGTGAGTTTGGTGAAGCAGGACCAGGAATCCGGAAATCTTGTAGGAATGAAAGATTGTCCTGAGAGGAAACAAGGCGCTTCTTCTTCGTCCCACAGCAGTGGAAGTTGTAGAATCAAGAGAGAAATGGCAGGTTACTGCTCCTTGTGGAGGATTTCCTCGTTAAGTTGGATAATCCGTCCATGTCTCTCATCTACCCCGGCTTTCTTGCTCTACCTACGTGGGAACCCGCATGTAGCTTCTCGCCCCCTTTCTCGGTAGGAAGGGGGGGTGAGGGAGTCTGGTCTCATCCATCTGCGGTTTACCCCTTCATCTTTGCTTCTCTCGCCAACGACGGACCGGCTTGGGGAAACCTCACCGAATGGGGACCTACCCTCCTGCGGCTAGCCGAAACGGCACTCCCGTTTGGTGGTCAGTCGTTTGTGCGGCTCTAGATTGCGGTGTTTGTCTGCTAACCAACGGAACGTACCCTTTCTGTGCCAGGCTAAGACTCTACTACTCTAGCCTGTTGCTCGACTCTCTTCTTTCTGAAGGCTTGGTAGAGAAAACGTGACAAACAGAAATGTAGATCGTGTTGGAAGAAGAAATATGTTGGTTTGCTTGCTCCCCAAAGGGGCATGTAAGAGATGTTGGAGCATGGGTGTCAGCCTCCCTTCCCGCAACCCAGCACTAACCTTAGATCTCATCCGTTGCGCCTTTTCCACCTTGCCTTTTCCATCATATATCCGTAGACCCCCGGCCTGTTTGTGTTTGCTAGTGACGATACTAATGCCTTGCCTTCTCTTGTCTTGCTCCAACGGGACGATGAAACTGGCGGTCTTGGAGGAGGGGGTCCTCCATGCACCTGACAAAAGGTCTTCGAGCTCGACTGACTTTTACCGATGGCTCTGAAAGTCTTGGGCACAAATCCAACCGAGACAGACGACACAGTCAATATCAGACGGAAGACATACGTAGCTCGCCCTTGGTACCAGGACGCGGAGTATCGAATCAGCTTCCCTGTATCCCGTGATCCCCCCAACTCGGAGCAGGAGATCTAAGTGAGAGCTGTCGAGTCGGCTACACGCATCGACGTTCCCGGTGCTACGAGACAGTCTGAACCTCAAAAACCGACCTCTCATCCTCCTCTCCCAGAACGGGGACCCCGTCACAGCCCACATTCGAAAGCTCACTCCCGCTTGTCATCTCCCTCTAGCCCGTCAAGCAACGAGACACAATCGGGTCTACTCAGCCCTTGCACGAATACTTCGGCACGGTCGGTTTCCGTATGTGTCTAACGCGAACACAAAAAATTCATCCTTTCTCAATGACTCGTTGGACGAGACTGGACCTTTCGTTCAATCGTCATGGACTCGAGAATCAAAAGTTCGAGGGAGAAACACCGGTTCAGAGGATGAGATTGAGATTGGCCATCGACGTTTTCTTATTCCTCGGCCAGGGGTCAAGGCGGTGGGCTTAAGACATGGCTTCGGTTGCTGCAAGCCCTTGCATCCGCAAACTCGCCGACCGCGCATCCCGCCAAGGCGTGGCCAACATTAGCATGGAACTTTTCCCCCTTCCCAAAGACCGATTGTGCTGGTGATAGACGACGAGGTGAGACTCTTTTTCATTAATCTCTCGCTTCCAGAAGACATTGTAATATGCACAATGGTGCCACCGAAATCCCCCTCTCCCCCATCTGCACCATGCGACGCAACTCTGATCACTGCTCGTCGCTCCTCATGAGATGAATGAGGGGTAAAAGAGCGAAAGTAGATGGTGTGTGAGAGATCCAGCATGTCACCGGTGCGTCCAATCTGCGGGTGTATCGTGCAGGTTGGTGGTATTCGTGGTATCTGGGGTCGAACCAGTGCGCGACGCATCATTTCTAGTCGTTGGCTGCATTGCCGGGGTTGTGGGATGCAGGCGGGATACCTGCATGCCGCGCTGTCGCTCTTCGAGGGCCTTTTGGTGCTGCAAGATCTTTGACAGGTCGGGTGGGCGTCTTGGGCCGACTGAAGCCCCCGTCCAGCTGCGTTGACACTCTTGGCAGTCGTTTGGGTGGTTACTCGAGGTGATACGTTGAGGAGTTGCACAATGGTCGATGAAGTAAACGTGGTGTTCTTCCTTTTAGCGACTCAAAATCGAAGCAAAACCTACCAACTTTGAGACGGCAAAATGATTGACATGAAAAGAATAAGAATGGGGTTTGACGATAGACGTTGGGTCGGATCTGAAGAGCAGGTGAGTAGCAATTCGAGTGTATTTGAGATGGAAGTGTAAGAAAACAATTTTCCACAATGGCTCAGTTCGATTACAGCTCTCTGAGCAACGGGGCAACATACACGAATGTAATACTTCAAGAAATGAATCCATCGGCGCGTCAAATTTCTTCATTGAAAAGAGCTTTATCGGCAGTATCCTCTACAATGACGTCCAACCCATCCATCTACACCATCCTTCCGTATCTTGGGCGGATTCTAAGCCGGCGTAAAGCTCAACAAGACGTCGTTGGGCAGCTTCGTCGTGATGCCCACAGTCTGTAACATGGGCCTCTCGTCCCTCGGTTGGATATCCTTGAAAGTTTGCAAGATCCTCACCACAAAGTAACTCATCTGTGTTAGCGCAAATTGCTGCCCGATACAAATACGCGGGCCGCCGGAGAAAGGGAGATAGTCCCATCTGTGAATTTGGTTATCATTCAGTCAGCAATGGCCTCTTATCATGAACCAAATAACTCAGCAGAAGGGGTGCATAAACTTACGACGGCCGCGTCTCCTCCCACCGCTCGGGACGGAATTCATCAGCGTCTTCACCATACAAATCCTTCCTCCGGTGAAGACAGAACAGAGACCACCGCACGGCCGTGCCTTTCGGGATGAACACGGGCGACTTCCCATCGGGTCCTCCGCCGACAGGTAGCGTCGTATCCCGTCCTGTGCCGCGCGACATGCTCGCAACAGTCGGGTACAATCTCAAGACTAAGTAAGACGCATCGCACCGTCAGCACTCTATCCCAAAGTCCCCTCCCCCTAGACACTCAGTGGATAACTTACTCTCCTTGAGCACATTATTCAGGTACTTCATATCCTTCATCTCCTCCCACGTAGGCCTCCTCCCCTCCAACGCCTCCACCTCGCCCCTCAACCTCCTCACAACATCCCCCCTCCTCGCCAGGATCCAAAACAGCGCAGACAGCGTCGACGCCGTGGTATCCCGCCCCGCGAGAATCATGGACAGTAGCTGCGCGCGGATGTAGTCGGGCGTCATGCCGGGCTTCCCAATCATCTCGTTGAGGAACACGTAGCCCCGTTCGGGATCTTGCTTCTTCTCCGGGTCAGCCTCCCGGATGTTGCGAATGTAGTTGTCGCAGAAGCCGTGGATCTTCTTCAGTCCATCATCCCACTTCTTGTCGTTGTCGAGGAAGGTGAGCAGGCCGAGGCGGGAGCGGATGGCGGAGCGGGTGGTGATGTATTCGAACGTCGATGTGAAGTCGCGAGCTTCCGGGGACGGCGTCGTGAGCATGTTGGTGGAGTGACCGAACCTATCGAGGTAAATGTTAGTATGTCCGCCTTTTCCACACATCAACTCCCCCTATCTCATGAGACACTCACATAAAGTCAGTCGCCGAGTCCATCGTCATCATATATAACAACGCCTGCAAATCCACCGTAGCCCCATCCTTTGGAATATTCCCAATAAGATCCCCAACATGCCTCTCGAAACAATTCAAATCCGCAATCTGATTCCTCACAAAACTAGGCCTCATCATCGCCCTAGCACCATGCCACACCTCTCCATTCGCCGAGAAAATCGCATCCTCCCCCAAAATCGGCAGCACCGCCTCCCTCCTCGGCCCGATAATAGGAAACGCCTCAAACGACGTCGCCAGAATCGCCTTCAGATTCTCCGGCTCGCTCGTCATGAGCACCCACCCGCCGGGCGTCCTGACCCACCACGTGTTCCCCAGCGCACCAAAGAGCTCCTGCCACCACTCGAGGATCTTGTGCTCCTTTTGCCGGGCGAGCGAGGCGCGGATCCAGTCGGTGCCGAGGAGAGGGTCCTTGTGCGGGTACGTGGGCGCGGGCGCGCAGCGGAGGGCCTTCATTTTGAAGAGGTACCATGCTTTTTTGTATAAGATGAGGGCCGGGAGGGCGAGGAGCGTTGCGAGGAGGGGGCTGGCGAGGGCGTGGTTTGCTGTGAGGTGTGAGCCGTGGGACCAGGTGAAGTATTTCTCGGCCAGTGTCCACAGGATGTAGGACCCGAGGGCGGCCGATGAAGCTGCGTATAGGTGTTCTCGCGCCATGTTGGTCGATATGTGGTGTGAGAAAGTTCAACCGACTCTGAGATGTTGAGGTGAGGTGAAGGTCCTGGTCTTGTACCTATAGCTCTGGTACCCCTCAACTCTTTGGCATAGTACTGAATCGCTGTTAAAGCTCACGCACGTTTCCAAAGTCCGTGCCGGGTTGTCCGATAGAAAGCCGGTACAACATCAGACGGAAAAGGTCTCCGACTATTATGTCGCCCAGGCTTTCCCTCTTCCAAATGAAAGAACGGACCCAGTTTGTTTGGGTTTCGGTTTCGGTACGGAGTAGTCCACTAGATAAAGTAATCAGTAATCCTAGAAGGATCAAACCTTAGATTTTTACCTAGGCACATGTAGGCTGGCCAGAGTCGCATATCTTATATATACACAAAGTCTCCATCAGGGACATTCCCCATCCCATGTGCGTGCGTCCAGAGAGGAGACGCAAGTCCGCAGAATGATGTAACATCGCCATCTCAAAGAAGGTAACGTATGGATATCCCCGGTGGTTTCCCCTCTTCCCCCATATTTAGAAAATCAGACCTAAACTAGCTCTCGACATAATATCTTAGTGCCCCCCGGTGCCACCTCCTTCCAAGAGCGGCAGTTTGGCTCAACTAGCACCGCTAGGAACCTTTCTACGGGAGCGCTACGCTACAGCCACCAAGCTAACTCTCGACCCCTCCAATTCCACCGCCTCTGTAGCCCATTACAGATAGCCTACTGAAGTAACAATAATGTTAATCCCGCGACGAGCTTCACCTTCTGGTGACTTCTGATGAAATAAAATGGCCGTACAGGGCTGATCACCAATTCGCTCCTCCCTCTTCAGTAGCGCTGAGAAAGACTTTAGAGACAACCTCTAAAGGACGAGAGAATGCCTCGGTATAGCCTATTACCCCTCGAAAAAGAGACCGTAATTGTGCCGCCATCGTCATCTGGCATGGTTACACAACCACGTCCTCGAGACACGCAACACCACCACCACCACCCCACATCCCTCCTTACCCCATCACCCCCCCTCGCGTTCGGGCATGTGAACAGGAAATACCCAGCCCTTCATTGGCCGAGCTCCCATGTTCTATGTAGGAGCGGGGGATATATAAAACCGCGTGCGAGTGAATGGACGGATATTTCATAGTTGCACATCCATGGTAAGTTTCACCATTGACAAGGGGGTAAGTCTTACCAATAAGCGAGTTCAAAATTGAGCTGTCAGACTTCAAAGTGACAAGCTCGCCCGGAAGGTCAAATGCGAGGAAGGCAAGGAAACACATCCAACTGCGTAGTATCTTCGAATCTTACTCCCTCGCTCAAAAAGCATTCCCCCGTTCAAGGTTTTGGCGTTTCCTTGGTTTAAATTAACTGCCGGAAGGCTTGGAAACTCTATCTTCTGATCTCACTCATCTTTATCCGGAGCTCTACGCATGTCGCCTTGATGCCAAGCTTATGTGGAGAGCTCCGCCACAGAATTCGCCGCGAGAATCGCCCGTCACCTCGGCGGACGGAGCTGAATGCGGCGCCGCACCGGCCCCGCCAGCCGGGGAATATTGAATGTAATTGATTCCAGTCCGTCACTTAACCGCCGATTCACAGATTTATTCACTCAAGTTCCTCGTTGTGAAAGTAGCCGATAGCGGCTTCAATTACAATTGGCATCATCTATCTATATACAGTTCGTCATAACGTCGTGGCTGTTCCCCAGCTCTCGATTTTCTAGAGCTTGTTGTGCCGTAATAGCCGGCCATGACTATTCGGTTTTATTCTCCAATGAATGCCAGATGATGCCAACCCAATGCATATCTAAAATCCAAGTATGTTCCAGAAGTCCGTCTGTCCTCGCCATTTAACGCCTTTGATGTTGAATGCAACTTGCTCCGATCCCAGACTGTGGAACGAGACAGGTTCTACTCAATTCGAGCCGATCGCTGTGACGCAATGCTGTTGCGCAGTGCTGGGTTCCGGCTCTTCCTGCTCAACCTCTTCTCTCGCACCATGGGAATTCCTGGAGGCGGATCCGTGACTGCTGTTGTCCCGCTCATATGAGAGAGCACACTTCCTCGTTGTGGCAGGCCTTGGTGGCTGCTCATTGTGTATCCTTTCGTTGGTAAGGGAGACAGTATTCCGTTTTCGCGCGAACTGCCACCGTCGCTCGATGCATCATTGTCGATTCCCTTGCCCTTCTCATTCATCTCTTCATTCTTTCGCCTTGTACTTAGTGCAGCGAGGCCACCGCCACCAAGGAGCGCGGAACGGAAATCGAAGAACCGCTCCTTCATGGGCTTTTTGGACGTCTCATCTAGCATCATGAAAATGACACCCACAATGAGGAGACCAAGCACAACCATCGTCAGGATTGCTGCACCTGCCGTATCGCCGCCACCTAATGGTGGCAAAGTCGAGACCGCGGGGATCGTCCGGCCGATATCGTTACCTCCGGCTCCAGGATCGCCCTGAGAAGTGCCGCCAACGTCTGCAGTGTGAGGTGCATGAGAAGTTTCGATGAGGTTGCCGAGCGTGATTTCGAGCGCGGCCATCTGTTGTCCGACACCCTGCATTCCGTCCCAAGTCCCGTTTTCGGTCCACTTCAACCCACACATGCGTCCGTTCGTGCCGCCTTTGCACTGCGATGCAGCTGCGATAGATGAAGCGCGTATCTTGGACATGATGCCATCAGTTAAGTGCGGGGCCCATTTAGTGATGGCCGCCAGCCAGCGGCTGAGGTATGCCTTGAAGGACTGCTGGTCGAGGTTGCAGAGTTCGACCGTCTCGCATGCTACCTCTTGCATGATGTTCTTCTCCTCGCCAACAAAGAAAACGTCTGCGCCCTTGACCAGCCCGTCGAGTCGGTTCTTCCACACCTCGCTGCCAGTGTGGTTGTACATGGCAGCAGCGCCGAGGATCATGCCGCCAGCATTGTAGGTCCATTGATATGGTACGATGTTGGTGCAGTTGTACTGAATGTGGCCGCCGTCAAAGACATAGTAATCGTCGGAAATGAACTTGACGTTAACCATCCAATCCCAGGTCTTCTCTGCCCAGTCGGAGTAGGACGAGTTGCCGGTGTACACAGCCAGGCGTCCGGCAAGGGCGAAGAAGCAAGCTTGGGAAATGGTGTTCTTGTAGTCGTAACCATTGTTCCACTGGAAGATCTGCCATCGAAGACCTCCTGCACAATGGTCAGGATCCCACCGCGCGGCCTGGGTGTTAAATACGGCCTGTGCCAGTGCGAGCCATTGTGGCTTGTCGTCCGGGGGGTTAGGGAACCCATACTCGGCGGCAGACATGACTGCAAGCCCCCAAAATCCTTGATCGTCGTTTCCTTCGGTTCGTGTCTGATTCTCTGGCATGTAATCGTTGAATTTGCCAACTTGGTGGAGGAGACCCTGAGTGACAACGTCGTTCCAAGTGCTGTCGCCTGTGTAATACCAGTAGTCGATCATGGTGCCCATCATCGCGCCGGCCTCCCACCCTGGCATGGTGTTAGTCGAGAGCAGAGCAGGGATTCGGATGTGTACTTACAGTAGTATGGATCGGGGAGAAGACCTGGGGTCTTGCCAGGTTTGTCTCCGTCGTAGAACGACATGAGATCTTCGGTCATTGACCTCGCAATGGTTTTAATACCGGCTATGAATACCACTTGTGAGTCGAAATCGTCATCAGACTGCCATTTGCGCTCACCTTGATCACTTGTATCCAAATTGTATGCCGTGGTGAACTGGACGGTTGCCAGTAAAAATGCCGGCAAAAGCCGGCTTACAGAAGACCATGATGGACGGCCCCGCATTGCGATCATGATGCGGTGGGTTGCAGTGGGAGGAATCCTTGGCTTCGATGAACGGACCGCATGAAAGGTTGGACTGAAGATTGGGAATCTGGGGGAAGCGTCGATTAAGTGTCAAAATAGAGATCGAGTGGATGCCGCAAGGTTGGAATAAGAAAGCAGCCAAAAACTTGCACAATGTCAAGACTGACTGGCATAAACCGGGCAGACGGTGCGCATGGGAGTCGGGCCACGCTCGTGAGGTAATGGAGTAGCTCCGATGATGCGAGCTAAGAACCGGCAAGGTTGGTTGGCGTTTTTTCCCCTCTTCAACAAACGAGAGGTGAATTCGTATGGCGGCTGGTCTGGCCACACCACACACACTTACGCACCAACACTGCTTCAAGCCGGGGAAAGTGCGTGTTCTTGTATGTTGGTGTTGGCATGTACGTGCATGCAGGTTGAACACACTACACCCCTCAAAGAAGCAGTAGCACCTTGTCAGTTTCCGAGGTGGTCAGGCAAGCCCAGTTTGCCAGGTTCAGGATCCAGGCTCTCGTCGTCCAGACCGAAGTAACCGGGGAGGATCGAGTAGGAGCGATGACGGTGGAGGTGCGCACGCTTGCTGCTGCCACTACTGCTTGACTGCTGCTGCTTCTTCTGTCTCGTAAGTCTGCATCTGCCTTAGTTGTCCGCGAGAGACAAACCGAAAAACGAAGGTGGGAGGGGAGAAGCAGCTTCTAGCCCCAAGTAAATACGAGTTTGGTCAGGAGCAGTCGAAGACACCAGCAAAGACGGAACCGGTCGAGTCGAGAGACCGAGGGAAGTAAAGGAGCGGCGGAGGTCCACTAATAGCTCCCAAAAAGCAATACGAACTTTGCAAAGAGGATCCCGCAAAGACGAGATTTGCCTTCGTTTCTGGCCAAAGTTGGACTGGGGAACAACAAATAGGACAGGCACCGAGGTATGAGAGCCGAGTGCATTTCGGGACTGGTAAGACCGGGTAATCAAGCAAACGCGAAACCAGCTGAACGAGACCCAGTCTTACAACTAACAATGTCTCACCGCCGTGTGTGCTTGTTGTGGTTTCGTGTGTTTGATGCCGTCCAGTGACTCCCAGCCATTGGGCAGCCTGCCGGTAGGTGTTTTGTTTCTTTCCTGGTGCCAGAGCCATTGTGCCAGTCTGCCCTTAGGCTTTGGCCATCCTCCTTGCTTCTGTTTCTAGCGTTAGCATTGGCAGCTAAGCTTGTTCAACATGCTTGTGATGCTTGTGCAACCGTCCCATCCACAGCGCGTCCGGCTGTGGTCCGAACCCCTGCCATCCCATGAGCTTGGTGCTGCATATCGCTGACCCGTTGCTGGCATCCCCCAGCTCGCACTGCGGGAGGTAACTTGGTGACGTTTCCGGAACCCAGGTGGGACCTGTTGGGGCACCTACGGATAGATAGGTATTGGATTCCCCCCCTGTGCCGCTGTCGACCCAAGGTTTGTTGCGAGAAACACTAAATCATCAATGTTTCCCAGCCTGCGTTTCTTGTCTCTATGTCTCCTCTCAGGCCTAAAGCCTGCTTTCAGTGCCGAGTGACCCACTGGTTCATCTTTTGATCACTGACATTGCGACTGACATTATTCGGATGAGACTTTGCATCTGGTCAAAGCCGGACGACACTTGAGTGAATTGACCTGTGTGAACTCCATAATGTCTTCTCGGTACTACATATGGCATCCTATTCTGGTGTCTTGGTTTTGCGCTCCGACCTTGCCTAGCGAGACGGCGCGGTGCAAGCAGCCATCTGCTTCTGCTTTTGGGCGACGGTATGCCGCATGATGCCATTTGTGGGAGTTCCGCTTGAATAACTTGGATGAATAACATGAATAAACCGGGGCTAGCTGACGTCGTTGATCAGCAGAGCTTCTGGGGGGTGGCTAGGAAGCGACAGGGCCAATATGCCGCTGGTCCCGGGCTTCAGACTTGGTCCAATCAGCACCAAACAGAGCCCAAAGCTGTCCGGGCCGCCGCCGCCCTGCTGCTGGGCTAGAAAGTAAGAACTGGTAGCGAGCGGGGGAATCGCCGTAGGCCGCCGCCAAGAGTCCTCCAGGTTGACTGCCGAGAATAGGGTCTCGATTCCTCCAGGTTCGGATGTTGTATGCTTGGAGCGATGTGATGCTTCCAGGGCAGACAATCGAAGGACATCAGACGACCGTTTGCCGTCGCGTTATTAGATGACCTCGTCCTCATGTCCTCAGCCGTTGTAGGCCGTTTTAAAATTGATAAACCTGAAGCTTGGCGGCTGCTCGAGCGAGTGAGCCCATTTCCGCGAACGATTTAGCTTCAGCACTTGGTCGCTCCATTCCATCAGTGCATCGGGTCAGCCGCCGGCGCGCTTAGTAGGGGCACAAACTCGGAGCCGATCTTATGCAAATATCCATTCGTAGGCCTGGCCGTGAGTAAGCCATAGCATGGTGAATGCAGCCAGGCTCGCACTCTGAGCCCTCTCCAAGCATCGCCGTCGAGACTGAAGAATGCGTTTCCATTCGGCCTAGGCAACGGTAAAGTAGCATGCCAGCGGAGCATCGTGGTACGTGGACCGCTTTGTCACCGGCTGGTTCGCTGGCATTGAGTCTCATCATTCCGCATTGCTGACTGCGAAGAGCGCAATTTGCCCTCGCAAAGTCCATTCCTCGGCAGCAAGCCTGAAATTATGATGTGTTCAACCGCATCTGGTCATGTAGACGCTTGCCAGTTGTCTCGTTGAACGCTCATGGTAACGTGCCAGCCCGCCCGGTAGGCCGATGAAACGAAGTTGCGACCGTCCAGGGTTAGTCGAGATATCGCAAGCGGTAAGATCAGCTTCGCAGCGCACTTCATGGGGGATGGTCCTGCAATGGCGACACAGGACGTGCGGAAGCGGCACGGGCTCAGGTCAACATGAAGGTATATCGTCGCCTTCTTTGCGCTCGTGGCGATGTACCGGGTGCTACAGCATTGGTGTCTCCGGCTTCATCTGGGTCTCAGGTCCTCGTGATGAATGTTGGAGTAGCGGCAGGTGTTTTCAACGTCCAGCCGGTGAAGTTCCTTCCTAGAGGTAGATTCCCGTTTCTTTCAGTGTACAGAAATAGATTTGACTGCCAGTATAGGCATCTCTACGTTGGGTGCTACTAGCTTAGACGTTCGATATGTTTTTATACTGTCATCTTCAAACTTGGCGGTGCCAGGCCCGGATAGATTGAAACCATCATCTACCATGGTCGACGAACGGCTAGGGTTTACGGTTTCTGGGTTACTGCTGCGGGCAGGCAGAAAGTGGCATTGGAAAAACTCTGGTCTGTGATGCTCGGGTCTGGGTAACACAACGCCACTATGCTGCGCCACAAGGCGAACCGATTCTGCCTTACGTAAGGTCTTGGCCAAAAGTTCAGCCACATCAGGCGGGTAATATTCGGACCCTGGTTTGTCATCGTATTCGCGAAAAGTACGCGTATCACGTGGCAAGTTTTCACGTGCCGCCAAGGAGACAACCTGGGAATTTAGAGGTTGAGGATGGGATCGGATGAGATGGTGGCATGGTGCAAGTCATGGCTCCGGGGCAATTCAGTTCCGTCGGGGTCCAGGCTGTGAGTCGTGACGACCCTGCAGCACCGCCCCGATGATTACATCAGAAGCCGCGAGTCCGTGGCACTGGCTCCGAATACTTGGGAGGCGCCAGAAACCACCTTGCTGCGCAGAAAGCTGACGCTAATCTAATGCCCAGCCTTCTCAGCAGTGTAGCACAGCAAGTTGGGAAGGTCGGAGCAAAGGTCTCCATGGGAATAGTCCCTGGAACGAGTCTGCGTGACTGCGATACCTTAGTGGTCCTCTCCCCTCTCAAGGAAGAGCTGACGAGGGAATGGCAGTGCTGGCCCGGAGACGCTTCCAGATGCTCTCGTATTCAGGGAACAACCTTTGCTGGGCCTTTGTCATGTCTATGGGCACCCGCAGGCAGGGAGAGTCAAAAAGAACAGCAGACTTTTGAGTTGAAAAAAGACAGAGAGAGAGAGAGAGAGAGACGAGAGGGCCACTTGGCACTGCGTTCGTGACTGACTGCGCATTTCCACTTTTCGCCAGGTTCCCCAGGCACCGGGCGAAGGATACGTACCGCTCAGTCCGTCTCCGACCTGCTCGAAACGGTCGTTTTGATTGGCCCTCATCCATCGTTCCACCATCCCTCTTCTTGACCCCCCCGGTGCCCCGTCTCCGTCCTGACGGCCGTGCAACTCACCATCTCAGCCAGGGACCATTGAAATCAACTGGTTATTGTTGCTATCGGTCGGATTCATTGCCTTGTCGCGCGCCTCTTGCGCCCCTTCCAACCCTTGGGAAGTCCTGCTGCTAGTTTGTTCCAGTGGCTGGGTCGTTCCCAGCTCGACTAAAATTAGTGGTCCAGCATCCCCCAAGGTGGCCGTCGTCGTCCCCTTCCGACCGTCTTGAGTCTTCCTCACCACCCCAACCTGGAAACCCCCCGTGCCCCCGTGCCACCCCCCGGCAAGAAACAGCAGCGCATCCCCCCCCAAATCCTCAGACGGGCACCTTGTTTCGGCTGGGCTCTCGCCTCTTTTTCCAAGCGGGAGGCGTCTCATCACCTGAACCTGAACTTAACCACCTCATCAGCCCGCCTACACCCTCCAAGGCTCCAACCACCTTTTCTCCTCTTTCCCAACCACACTTCACACACTCTACAACCATCAATCAACAAACCGCGACCGATCGCCATTTGCATCCTCCAACAAACCCGGAACCTCGTTCAACTCAATCCTCAATCTCGCTTTCCCGAAGCAAGACTTTTATCCACCAGCTGCAGCTTCGAGCTCCGCCGGCAAACCCCAACTTCACCCTCTTCACATCTCCGTCACCACAGCGACAATGCCCGAAGACGCCCCCTACGACCCGTACATCCCCAGCGGCCAGGCTGCCAACACGGCCGGCACGCAACAGCAAGGAGGAGCTGGCGGCAATGCGAGAACCCAGGCTTTGCAAGCTGTAAGTTGCGCTGCTTTTTTCTCTATGTTTCCATCGCGCGAGGTGGTTCTCTTTTTTTGGTTCGACCTTTTGCCCCGGATTGCCCGACGCCAGATGACGACGACCGACCGAGCTACCCGCCCGACCTAAGCTGTCGCCAACTACGCCTGATTGGGGCATCGCATCAATTCTTCAGCTCGTCGGCCGCATATCGATGACAAGCGATATTGTACGCCGTTGAGCGGGAGATAAACAGTCGTCGTACCTGACAACGTCGATCGCGTCGGTGATGGATGTCAGAATGCCGACTGTGTCTCCTAGCCAACGCAATCGATACCAGCAATGTGGAAATATCCAGCGAATTGACCACGATGCAATTCGACGACCCTCCGCAACCGCACAGTATCTGAACATCAGGAACTACAATCGCTCCCGATTTTCCATTGTTCGTCGCTGGCGTTGCAATCAGGGGCAAATTTGTTTCGCTTACTGCGTACTCGGAACCGTATCACCAGAGTCATGTGCTAATGATCTATTTATAGCAAATCGACGACACCGTCGGCGTGATGCGCGAGAACATCAACAAGGTCTCCCAAAGAGGCGAGCGTTTGGATGCTCTGCAAGACAAGACCGACAACCTGGCTGTGTCAGCTCAGGGCTTCCGTCGGGGCGCCAACCGCGTCCGCAAGCAGATGTGGTGGAAGGACGTCAAGATGCGCATGTGCTTGATTGCCGGCATCATCATCCTCATTCTCATCATTGTCATTCCAGCCGGTATGTCTCCCATTTTTCTCGAGCGCTTTTCCTTTGGATCGCGGCGTCTGTCTCTGTTCTGTGGCTCTAATCATTGTCAATGTTGTAGTCGTCGCAACGCGCTAACGTAACCCCCCTCAGTTGTTGCTACTCGCAAGTAACAGATACCACACTTTTTGCATTACACTAGCCCCTTGGGCTCATGGTTCGCCCTCATGATATGGAAATGAATTGTCAGATATCTCGCAGGCTTCGAGCAACCGTGGGAGACGAGGGGATGAGGCGGCACAAAGAGCCAACCTCTATGGGTTAATGACTTGGGAAGCGCGGAGGTTGTTCGAAACGGACTCCGATCTACTTCAACGGTCTGCATGCAAAGGCCTGCTGCTGGCCGGCTCCGGGATTCGTTCCGAGGAAGCTAGCCAGCCGCAACGGCCCGGCTGCGGATCAACCGCATGTATGTATGAGGGATGGCAGGCGTTTGCGTAATTTGAATTCTCACTGGCCCTGGTTTTGATATCCAGTCTGGTCGCTTGTTGTATATGAATGAAGTGACGAGTCTTTTTTTCCACAACAACTCTGCGGGATCTCTTTGATAACGGTGTCCGAACTTTCCGTAAACATTTTGACTGTGACTACCATGTTCTGGTTCATTATTGGTGCATGCCGAATGATCCATTTTCCTGCATCTCATTACGTGCTGATAGAAGAAAATAGAGACATCGAACCACGCCGATCAAAACTTGCTCAATGTGATAATGATATCGGAACCAAGCTTTTAGGGCCCAGTGAATGGAACCACGAGGGATTCTGAAACTGCCAGTCTCGGAAGACGAGCCCGCTCTAGAAGAGTCTACTACGTATACGATCGGGGCCACGATCTCCAGCGGTGTGCGTACAAGTGTGCGTGGATGGATGAAAGCAATTTAATGAGGACCAGCCAGTCAGTCTTGCATACTGCCGTGGGCCATACTAAATAAGGTAGCAGTAAAGCCACGGGAGGTATCCGTATTGTTAGGCAAGGTAAGGTAAGGCAGCATGGCAGGTCCAGGTCCTGAATGGTTCATCTCAAGCTCGGCGATCTCTGCGCCGGTCCCCGGGATTGCGTCGGAATTTGGGCCAGCGGTGGTACGGATCCGAGAAGGCGTTTAGAGTTGACATTCGATGTCCACTCTTTTTTCCTGTCGTTTCCACATGGTTCAGGGACAACTAGAGTCTAGAGGGAGGGAGGGTACCAACGCTGTCCCGTCGTGCTTTTTTTTGGAGGATCAGGCTTTGTTGGAACTTGGGAGAGATGGTTGGTTTACTTTAGATGCGTGTTGGTTGGTTGCCAGTATGTTGTTTTCTTCATGTGTGGTCTAGACATTTGCCGGGCTACATATGCACGGTCACGATGTTAAAAACAGTCACTCAAGAAGCAACGTCGGGAACATCTTCAACGATTGAGATGGGATGTCTGGCTTGCCTCGGCTCGTGTCAGGCGCTCTCGCTCTTCCCCCAGTACTCCATCTAGCCGAGAAGAAGAGTTGAAATTTTCAAGTAACATTTTCCAGGTTACGGAAATGCCTCTTTTAGCTTGTTGTGCAGTGCAGTGCAGCGAAGAGAAAAAAAAAAAAGTGCATGGCTGCTGCAGATCCCGGTGGCCCAGCACACGCGTTTGGTGATCTGTACGTACCGGGGTGATTCCTTATCAGATCCGACCAATAACCGGGGTGTCCACTCGTGATGGGGCGCTTTTTCCCGTTTTGAGGTTCGACGGGTGGATGAGGGTGGTGGTGACGGGTGGTGCAGCGGGAGTGTTCCTTGGTTGGGATTTGACTTGCTCGAGGTTGTCGTGGCATTGAATTGAAGGGAGGAGACAGCAGAATGGTAGTCGGAGATGCGGAAGCACGAAAGAAAAGACTGTGGCATCGAGAAAAACGAGGTGAATAAATACCTGGTTGAGGTACTTCGTAGACGGCGCATACCTAAGCAGCCTAAGGTACCTGGCTCTTCCCAAATCGCCGCGATCGCATGTCACCGATGAGCTGCCAGCTGTCAGATGGCGCCCCAGATGCGGATGCGAAGTGTGGGCGGCCGGCGGCGAGCCGATGCAGACTGCCAATGGCAGCGGAGAGCGGTACCGGTCGATTTTTTCCCTTGGCTGAGCAAGGTGGAAGGTGCCCGCCAATTGCTTCCCGCTCAGGTTCCTGCCTGCGGCCCTGGGCCTGCATAGTTGCTGGGTGCTCGGTGCCCCTGCCCCTCCTCCACACCTCCACTGCATCATACCGGCTCTGTTGCCCGCGCACCGCACCACCGCCCACCACACCACCAAAAACGTCCAGTCACAGTCTCGCAGGCCTCAAAAAGTAAAAAGCCTCGTCTCTCCGATTTCTCAACACCTACGCTCTTCCCTTCTCTCCTTCTTTCCTCCTTTACTCTCTTGCTCTCTCCTACCTTCTTCCGTTTCCCCCGTCAATCACCCCTTTTACCCTCCCGGGCTGTTCAATTGAACTGGAATTGGACACTCTTCCCGGCAGCTAGAAGAGTCAGAGAGAGAGTCAGTCAGTCAGACCGAGTTCGAAGCTAATCTGCCTGGGTCTGTTGTGTGAGGTGTTTGTGTGTGTGTGAGTCTTCTCTATCCTTCCCAGACCTCCAATGCTCCGTGAAGGAGCTCATGCACCTCGAATTGTACCCAAACGTCTTCCCATACCCTTCTGTACCTCTTGTCGAGTCCATCCGCCTCCACATTGCTCTACCGCCGTTCCTCGGGATGCCGACCGCAACGACCCCGAGGACGAGGTAATACGATACCGATAGAAGAGAGCATGGGCAGGAAGAGTAGATGACGAGGGCGAAGACCACGCAATACACATCTCTGCTTCTCAATTGCTTTCTTCGCCGACGTCGCAAAACCTGGCTGACCTGTTTTCCCACCAAAAGCCCAAATAGTCGCGATGCTCTCCGCAACCTCTGCCGTTTTTCGGGCCGGCGCCCGCCGCGCCGTGCCTCGTGTCATTCGTCGCCAGAACATCGCCGCCGCCCGAGTTAACAACCCCTTCCAGCGCCTCAATGCCATCCGCGCCCTCTCCTCCACCAGCTCCCAGTCCGAGCAGGCCAACCGCGACCGTACCCGCGCCATCATCATCCGCACACTGAGTCAGATCGGCAGCCGCCGCGAGGGCCAGCAATACCTCTCATACTTCACCTCCGTCTCCTCCCAGAAGTTTGCCGTCATCAAGGTCGGCGGTGCCATTCTCACCGACTACATTGATGACCTCTGCGAGAACATTGCCTTCCTCTACGAGGTCGGCCTGTACCCCGTCATTGTTCATGGCGCAGGCCCTCAGCTGAACCGTCTCCTTGAGGAGGCCGGTGTTGAGCCCCAGTTCGAGGAGGGTATCCGCGTCACCGACGGCAAGACCTTGACCGTTGCCCGCAAGCTCTTCCTCCAGGAGAACATGAAGCTCGTCGAGAAGCTCGAGAGCCTCGGTGTCCGCACCCGCCCTCTGACCACCGTCCTCACCGCCGACTACCTCGACAAGGAGAAGTGGAACCTCGTCGGAAAGATCAGCAGCGTCGACAAGGCGCCCGTCGAGCTCGCCATCTCCCAGGGCTACGTCCCTATTCTCACCTCCATGGCCGAGACCACCGAGGGTCAGATCCTCAACGTCAACGCAGATGTCGCCGCGGCTGAGCTGGCCCGCGCATTGGAGCCCTTGAAGATCGTCTACCTCTCCGAGAAGGGCGGTCTGTTCAACGGCGAGACTGGCGACAAGATCTCCCACATCAACCTCGACGAGGAGTACGACCACCTCATGTCTCAGTCCTGGTGCCGCTATGGAACTCGCCTCAAGATCAAGGAGATCAAGGAGCTTCTCGAGACCCTGCCCCGCAGCTCCAGCGTCGCCATCATCCATCCCAGCGACCTGCAGAAGGAGTTGTTCACCGACTCCGGCGCCGGTACCCTGATTCGCCGCGGCGACAAGATCGCCTTTTCCGACAGCATCGAATCGTTCCCCGATCTCGCCAAGCTGAAGCAGACCCTCATCCGCGACCGCGAGGGCATGGACGCCGAGGCCACTGTCGACCGTTACATCGACTTCCTCAAGGGCACCCCCTTCAAGGCCTACTATGACGAGCCCTTGAACTGCCTCGCCATCGTCCTGCCCCCCAACGAGAACCGATCCCACCCGACCCTGGCCACCCTCACCGTCACCAAGGAGGGATGGTTGAGCAACGTCACCGAGAACGTGTTCCACGCCATCAAGAAGGACCACCCCAAGCTCGTCTGGACCGTCAGCGAGGAGGATGAGAACCTCACTTGGTTCTTCGACAAGGCCGACGGAAGCTTCTCCAGCAAGGGTAACCAGCTCTTCTGGTACGGCATCGACAACCTCCAGGAGCTCGGTGTCTTGACCGATGAGTTCAACGCCCATGGTAGAGCCATGCTCGGCGACTCCAACCTTGAGGCCCGTCTCCGCCGCGCCGCCCAGACTTCGAGCCGCAACCTCAACCAGTCTTCCACCCCCGCCCAGGCCCGTGGCTTCTCCACGATGGCTCGCCGCCCGACATGGGCTCCGGCCGCCGCTGCCCTCTCCGGCAAGCGCACCTTCGCCACCTACACCACCACCAACCCCAACCCCCCTCTGGGCAAGAAGAACGCCTCCAACGACGTCCCCTCCCGCGTTGCTCTCATCGGTGCCCGTGGGTACACCGGTCAGGCTCTCATTGAGATGCTCAACGCCCACCCCAACATGGACCTCAGACACGTCTCATCCCGTGAGCTCGCCGGCCAGAAGCTTGAGGGCTACACCAAGCGCGAGATCACCTACGAGAACCTGAGCCCCGACCAGGTCACCGAGCTCGAGAAGAAGGGCGCCATCGACTGCTGGGTCATGGCTCTCCCCAACGGTGTCTGCAAGCCCTACATTGAGGCCATCGCCGATGCCCGCAAGGGCGGTGCCGACCACCGCAGCGTCATCGTCGACCTGTCCGCCGACTACCGCTTCGACAACACCTGGACCTACGGTCTTCCCGAGTTGACCGGCCGCTCCGAGATCTACAAGGCCGACAAGATCTCCAACCCCGGCTGCTACGCCACCGCCGCGCAGCTCGGTATCGCGCCCCTGGTCGAGCACCTCGGCGGCTCCCCCTCCGTCTTCGGTATCTCTGGCTACTCAGGCGCCGGCACCAAGCCCTCCCCCAAGAACGACGTCAACCTGCTCAAGGACAACCTCATGCCCTACAGCTTGACCGACCACATCCACGAGCGCGAAATCAGCGCCAAGCTCGGCACCGACGTCGCCTTCTCCCCGCACGTCGCCTCCTGGTTCCGCGGTATCCAGGCCACCATTCACATCCCCCTCAACAAGACCATCACCTCGCGTGATATCCGCCAGATCTACCAGGACCGCTACGCCGGCGAGAAGCTCGTCAAGGTCATTGGCGACTCACCGCAGGTCAAGAACATTATGAACAAGCACGGTGTCGAAATTGGTGGTTTCGCTGTCCACAGCAGCGGCAAGCGCGTCGTTGTTTGCGCTACCATCGATAACCTGCTCAAGGGCGCGGCAACTCAATGTCTTCGTAAGTCAACCACTCCTCTATGTAGGCCCCTCGAAAGAAGCAAGTATACTAACACTCTCCCACAGAGAACATGAACCTCGCCCTCGGCTACGCCGAGTACGAAGGTATTCCCACCATGTAAGGGGCTCAGGCGTCCAATGATCAAGGAGCGGATTAGATTCACAAAGGCTCGGCGCGGACACTCAAACTTATCTGGAGTCATAACCGGTTCAAAAAGCATCTTCCAATTTTTTTCTTCTCTTTTTCAAGTCCTGTTTTCCCTCTGGTCTTTCAACTGCGTGGTCTTTTTTCCCTCTCTACCTACGAGCCCCTCTTTGGATACCTCACAATCAGGGGCACTCAGACTCTTTTCTTTTTTGTCATCCTGCTTCAGGGGACTCCGGGGTGCGGGGCAATCGTTCCGTTGGGGACCGTCTTTCATGACGTGAGTTGTTGTATGCATGTATATACCTGGTTACGAGTTAAGAAAGAGGTAATTATACAGATTTAAAGCATTGCGCGAAGATGTGTCGTGATATCGAGGAGCTAAGGTATGTCAAGGTGTGTCTAGCCAGTGTGCGTACCTATTCTCGTCAAGATTCGAGTTGTGCTGCAAGGTACTTGTTGTGTACGACATTCAGCGCATTTTTCTTATCTCTTAAGGGGCCCCTTCGAGCCGTGGTCTGGTGACGTAGAACTTAGCTTGGCTTCGAGGAGAAACGCGAAGATGTTTCCTGTGAGAGTTATAGCAATAACAGCCGCCGTACCTGGTAGACGTCGACGGGGTGCATAAGTGGCGCCTCGGGGCCCCACACATGAGATTTTCTCTGCGTTACCCTGATGGGAGCACCTAGTCGTCAGAGGCGATGATAGAAGGCTTGCCTGCTTCTGTCGCCGGGATGGGTATCGATGAAGTCTTGTAGCGCTCATCTTTGGAGATGACGATACGGGCTGAATGGAGTATTTGGCGGAGGGCGAAGGGGGGGTGGGATCTCGATATAAAGGCTGCCTTTTGGGAGGGTACTATGATCTAGGAGGCAACGCACAGCTTGCCCTCGTCTAGAGCGTTTCTGGTGTGCAAGGGACCTCTGCTCCGAGCGAGTTGAGGTGCCGCTGCTGCTTTGCGTCCATGTCGAAGACGAAACCATCTAACATTAGTGGCAATGAGGTATGGCTAATCATCGCTGTTCTATAGGTGTTCTCTACCCATTTTCGGTGTATTCATCCTTGAATACCTGAGGTCTATTACCAGAAGAAGATAAAAAGGCGTAAGTCTCTGGGCCACCCCCGGCAAATACTCATCAATATCCGTTTTGTACCAAGGGACAAAAGTATAGATCGCGTGCTCTCTGCGCATGTTAACCAGTGGGAACTTATGAGCACCCAATCCGCTTCGGAAGAGGATGGCGAGGGGTAGGTAGGTATTGGTGAGAGGACTGCCAACTGGTGATACCGGAATGGCCGAAGATAAAACCGGCAACAGAAGAGCCTTCTTCATCTCCTCAAACCAGATCGCCAAGGACAATGTATCTGATACTACACAAAACCACATTGCATCTTGGAGAACACCAGAAGGGTATACATTCGAGGTCCATATCACTATTTAAATACTCAATCCGGGTGCCGTTATTATCTGAGCCAGTGATATCTAGTTTTTCACTATGAAGACACAGACTGGAAGCTTGTAGTAGTGCTAGACAGTTTACTCACCTCAGCCTCCCTACCGAGAATAGATCTGTTCATAGGTAGATATCCCTTGACCTCATACGATTTCCCGTCTCCTCCCGTGATGCTTGAGTACCGTATCGTGTTACACGGTACCCTAGGAAGTTACTTTCGATATCGAAACTCGCCATAAGAGCCCTGGAGTCCTAAGGTGCTCCGCAGTATCGTTTGGAGGATGGGTTTCCAATTTGATCAACTGCCTACGGAAATCGAAACCCAATATGTCTCCCTTCAGGCACCTCCTTGGAAAGCGGGAAGAGAAGATGTTCGCTGACAACGCGGTGCCGCGCAAAGATTTAAACTTCTATTCAGATATATTCTGATCAGCATGATTGTGCAACGTCGATACTCTACCAGACGTCATCTAAGTCTTGAATATCTATCAGTATTATTGAGTACGAATTTTCAGCCTCCCATTAGATATCAATAATCGGTTTGCCACTTCTTGTGCTTTACTGATCCACTGAATCTTTTAGTCTCGTTCATGTCGAACGTGATTTCCCAGGCTGCCGAGGTCGAGCCTGTCACGGGAACTGTAAGCTTCTTCGAGGTGAATGACAGTACAGCAGACCGCTTTGACGTTCCCAAGTCGAATACAACCTTATTGGACGTGGGCAAGCCAATCTGTGCGAGAAGGTCATCAAAGCCCAAATTATCAGGCTCCTCGGAATCCAAAAAAGAGTGAATATGATCCACTTTTGCCTGAAATTCACCGTATCTCTCAAGGAGGGTTCCCTTCACTTCCTGGATGTCACTGTGAATCTCGTGGGGGTTGAAAATGAAGACGATATCCGTCTTGTGACCTTCGCGGGGGATCACCTCGTGGTCTGTAGAGGAGACTGCGTGGTAAACGTGAAAGAGAATAGACCCGCAAAGACGCGTCGGGTACGCCACGAATTCCAGTTCCTCATCGTGCCACTTCGACCATGGCCAGGCCTCTGCCACCTTCATATTTCTAGGGCAACGGAACTTCATTTTGACTAGGTCCCATCCGCCGTGGCTTAGTAGGCGAATTGGATAGCTCGAGGTATTGACGAGCAGGCTGAATTCCCGTCGGCGCTGGGCGTCTATGTGGAAAATGCAAGTAGAGACGCATTGATCCAGAGCCTCTCGTATAAAGGAGCCGCCTACAACTTTAACGAGGCGGATGGCAACGTGTTTCTCGCCACGAGAGCCGCAGTGTATGTAATAACGGCGTCCGCTGACTCCAGGCGCTTCTTCCCAGACAAGCTCGGTGTAGATTTTGATGCAATTCTTCGTCAACTCAAGCGTCGGCCGCCTGATAGGCGGCGGATAGATCTTTCTTTGACGGCGGTGGACGGCAAAGTCGTCTGCGGATTCGGCGAGCACACCGCCGAAATTCCGGCCGTTGTCAAAGAAGCACTGATCTGGCGGCGGTCCATGTAGGGCTCTCTCCCATGCAAAGATCGTCGCATCGTCGCTCTCGCGCAGAATCTCATTCTGGAGTCTTTGAAATGCCTTCTCTTCTTCACCGTAAAAGAGAGGCATATTGATGCCGAATATGCCCATAAGACAGTACGCGGCGTCCTCGACACGTGTTGTCTCCCGCCCCGCGGCCCAGGACATCTTCTCGGCGACGCAGGCGTGCAACAAAGCGCGATGGCGGTTGCCGAGGACATCTCTGGCGATGGCTGTTATAGCGTGGAGCTGGTCGACAAGACCACTTTTGCAGCCGACGAGGTTCCAGTCTCGGTCGTAGAATTCCACTTCCTTGGGCGCGATGAGTTCTTGGAGGGTCCAGCCCCGCGTGAACCAGCGACATTGACCCAAGTCTCCACCACCGTCGAAGTCGCTGTCAATGTCGGCGGAAGGGTCCAGGTCAGATAACCAGGCATAACAGATGGCTGCTCGCTGATACCACTTGAACATTGAGTTGATGGCCTCCGTCAGCTCAGCACTGCTCGACTTGTCGATGCAGCATGTGTCGACCCAGGCGTACTGCAGCTCTTGTTGTTGAGCTAGCCCGCAGGCTTTTGCGATCTTGACGAAGCCGACCTTTCTGATGGTCTGTTCCCGAACTAAGAACCTTGGATCCTTCATATCCTGGAATGTCACTTCATCCTTTCCCCATGTGTGCGAAAGGATTGCGTAGGGCGGTATGTCTCTGCCAATGAACTCCTCAAGGTTGTGGGACGACGTGTTGATGAGCCACATTTGAAGGCGTGCGTGAGGGCAAATGAAATTGATGGGCTAATTGAGCGGTTCTTCTGGTTCGACATGGGACGAGGTTATGCTAATGAAGAAATCTCCTGCTTGTATGCAGTCGGAAGATGTGGTGAAGTTGAGATCACACTACAGGGCATCAATCTGACATAAGTGGAGGTGATGTAAAGTACCTCACTACCAAGTAAGCCTTCCATCTCACGCTCACCATTGCAATTGGGCAGTCACATCCAATGCAGGGGAGCAGGAAGGCGCTACCAAGATTCGACCCTCTTTCATGCATGACATCTCACTCAAAGCCACTGGATGCTCATCAAAGTCGACTGAATCATCGCGGACGATTAAAGCATCAACCATAGCAGTATACCACTCCAATTAAATGTAATTATGTGAGAAACAAGATGACACTTCTTCTCAAGTATAATGTCTGCTCACCAGAGCTTCAAAGAATGAGAGTTGTTGTGAGACACTACGTCGCCTCTACTTACAGGTACGCAACAGCCAGAGAGCCCATGAACCCCATCATAGCAAACTTGAGCGAGGCATCAAAGCTTCTCGAACTCGCCCCAGCCGGAGTGAAATTCGCAGTCGGCTTGACACCGTCAGTGAAGGGGGCATTAGCAGCTTGAACTGCTCCGGGGAAGGCAGCCGTCGAGGTTCCCGGGCTCAACTTGGGTGATGCTGGGTTGAGGACACTATTTTTATGTAAGTAACTTGAAAAGCTGTGAGCTGGGAACGGAACGAGAGATGCTTACCTATCAATGACGTGCATAACACCATCGCTGGTGATGATATCCTTGATGGTGACCTTGGCAGAATTGGCAAAGACGGTAGTATCTTCCTTCCGCAGCGAAACCTTCTCGCCCATCAGACTCTTATAGCCCATCTTGGTCGCCACTCCTGTGGTGAACCGGACCTGATTCATAAGGACATGATACTGCAGAATCCTCGCAAGATCCGCAGGCTCCATCGACGCAACCGTAGCCCCAATAGCCTGGAACGCAGCGTTCGTCGGCGCAAAGACAGTCGCGGCCTGCAAAGAGTTGACGCCATCGACCAGCCCAGCCTTGATCAACGCGCCCGCCATGCTCGTGAGGCCCGTATTCATTGCCGTGTCGGCGGGGGATCCGGGAAACGTCAAGACGGTATCGATGACGTGCAGCACGCCGTTCTGGAAGGCGACGTCGGCTTTTGTGATGACGCTCATCTGCTTGTAGCCGCTGAATACCCTGCCCTGGTCACCCTTCCTGACAAGCTCGACCTTTTGGTTACCCGTGACGTTGGCGGTGGGCATCTCGAGGAGGGTCTGGGCGAACTTGGGCTGTTCGAAGAACATGGTCGCCGTGGTCTTGCCGCTGACGACGTGGTAGCTTAGGAGATCGGCGAGGAAGGTTGCGTTGGTCGCCTTTTGGGCAAACGTGGGGTCCATCTGCATCATCTTGACGAAGGCGTCGTTGGAGGGTGCGAGAATGGTAACGTCCTTGGCTTTAACGAGGGTCTGGTTCAGGGCCGGGACCATCGCCAGGAGTGCTATTTAGTGGTGTTAGTAGTCACGCTCTCTCGTCCATACACGGCCTATCTCATAGAAGATCATACAGGTCAGAGTACTCAAGGTATCATTGTTGCTCTTGAGCACATCCATGAGAGGTGGAGCCGCTGCCGCCAGTGCAGCAAAGGCGAGCGTGAGGAAGCTCGTCGGCTGCATTGTGCGGGAGCGGGCGAAGCGAAACGGGAAGCCAGCCCGGTGATGTTGAAGAAGAGAAAGGAAAGGTGAAGACTTGGGATTTTAGGTTCAAGCCAGGACGACGATCCACGGGAACGAGCCGACTAGTAATACTTATACTGACAAGTCTCAACCCAACCTTCCGGGTCCGAGAGGCGGGGGAGGCATGTCTTGACACTTTTTTTGCCAAGGTCAGACGGTTTACCACCACATAGGATAGAACTTTCGGCCTGCCATCAACGGATGCAGCATTGCAATACGACGACCAAAATAAGCACCGGAGGTGGGTCTCTTCTGGGCCCGGTTGTGTTTTGTCTCCTGATGCAACTTCATCTTTCTTTCCCAGCCCTCGTAACGACCCGTTATCTGTGAAGGACGCGTGGAGCCTTTTCGACGTGGGAGGACCCGCGGGAAGCAAGCTTGACACTTGAGTCCCGGCGCGCGGCCGTCCCGAAGCATGGCGGACCCATCAGCCTTACTACATACCTTTTCACGATACCAGGGAAACATGGGAGAGGAGATACACAGAGAGGCTCTTGCGCCGTGAGAGAAGAGAGGGGCTAAAACGTAGTAGGCGAATCAAAAGACGTCTGAACACATCCTGACCATCCACATTTCCCTTCTACGGTGCCTGCTGCGTAAAGGTTGACGGGAAGTGGTGGTGGATTCTCTTCTTCTCATTCGTTCTAGGACAACGGTGCGGCGGTAAGGAAAAGGCGCTGTGCGGGAGATCGACGAGTAGAAGCGGCGGGATGACGGTGAAACATGCCTCAGAGCAACAGGCGGAAACGCATCCATGCGCAGTGGGGGCCCTTTTCTCAGACGGAGGGAAAGTTATTTTCAGGAAGAGCGAGGCGTGCTATCGGTAGAGCCGCATCTTCGAGAAGGCTACCGTCCAGAGACAGATGCAGAGAGATTAGGTTGAGCAGCACTGACTTAGTAGAGATCCTCATAAAGGTAGTGCCAAGTCAGACCGACGGCGTTGGCAAAGACCACAGGTTCTGTTTATCTGAACTTGGGGAACGGCAACTTCATGATCTAAATCTGTAAGAAGAGGACCACTTGTGATGGAACGTAGCGGGAGAGACCGGAGCGACTCGAGGAGCCTGAGGTGCTTGAGACAAGCACTGACAGGTTTCCAAAATGGAAAACGATGCTGGGGGTTGAAGTTATTCGCGGATCGAAGCCCCGGGTGGAGATGGCCGGAGTGGGCCCGGTCGGGCGCTCCCTGGTGCAAAAACACCGTGCTGCCCTTTTGCTTACCTAAAGCGTGGATGACTCAGCTATGTTTTTGGTGCAATTCCCAGAAACTCCCCTGACAGACATGCATCGCACCGCGCCGCACCGCCTGCAACTATTTTGTCTTAGATTCCACACTGCCGCGGCCGAACAAGCCTGCATCCGCGGTTTCCCTGCCCGTCGTGTTGTAGCACAATGCACCGCAGCGATCCCATCTATCGCCCGTCGTAGAAGAGGTATGCTGGACTTCGGGTGACCGAGCGCACGGCTATCACGGCAGCGTCGGTAACTCTTTCGAGAAAGCTTAAACACGTTCCGTGGACCTCAGCAAGGATCGTCCCTTCGCACGCAGGACGCTGGATGTCGCCTTGAGTTGGAGGCTTTTCTTTGGTTTGGGCCTTTTCCTGCGCTGAACGTCGGTCTTCAGCCACGGCCGATGTCGAGACCAGGACCGCCACCGCTAATCAGTCGCTTGATGAATGGCGTGTTCGTACGGAAGGTAATAAGGTACTAACTGACACGGCGAGTTCTCACGTTGATGAAATGAACTGCTATATTTGGTGGTTCCTATACGCGGGAGGCGGACAACGGGACGGAGCCTAGCATTAAGGGCCGCCAGCATCGTTGACTCCGAACGACACTCAGAGTTGCGAAACCTATGTGATGATAGGCGCGGAGAATATCGGAGGGAAATTACGGGTTTCCTTGGCTATTCAAACATATTGTCTTGGTCTGGCGGTCTATTTACAGACCTTGAAAGCCCACCCCCGGTAGGCAAACGTGGTGTTGCGATAGACGCCAGTCTTTCTGAACATCACTTACAACAACCCTTCGCAACCTTCATCGTGAGGCCTCACCATCTTCAATCGCAACTTTGAATCTCTTGATCGATTGGACTATCTTGCCAATACACGTCGCATCCCCACGGAGTTTCTGGCTTCGCCCGCGTTTCCACCTAGCCCAGCCGTCGTATCGCAACCCACTCGAAACCCACCAAGACCTTGGCTGCTCTCTGGTGAGCAAAGTCGCTATATATACTCATTCTCGACAGAGACGCAGCATCGGGACTTGAGGTTCCGGGTTATCGGGGGACGACATCACCAAGGTCGTACTGGCAAGTTCTCTTGAGATTTTTCACGAACGACAAGAGCTTCAAACGGGATGCCTGTCGCGTCAACTCGATAAACCATCACGTGACGGTTTCTCATCTCTTGAGAATAGGCCGCCCCGAGATCCAAGTGAGGCCAGGATCACATCACTATGCCTTACCCAACAAACAATGAACAACGCATCGCCCCCTCTCTGCTATGAAACGCCTTCTCTCTAGCCACACTATCCGCTGCTTGGATCCTTGTTCGTTCAATGTAAGCTCGTTTAATCGGCCATGATCCATCACCTTGAATGCGTGAATGCCTAGGAACAAAAGTCCAATTGCTGTGCCAGTGCCACAATCCATGGCACTGCGCCACACCCTCAATATCTGAAAACACGTCATCCGCCCCCTTCCTCGCCCACGCCGCAGCTCGTCTTGCGCGTTCCCTTCCAGGCCGTTGAAAAGACTGGGAAAGTGTGTTCGCCTTCTTCATGGGGAGGCGCAATATTAAGGTTCAGAGACAGATCAGTGATGCGCGCCTATTTTGTCAAGTGAACCCAAAGAACTCTCTCCCTTCTCTCTTCATGCTTGTGTGAACCTCTAAGAATTCTCAAAAACTTGGAAACGATCTTCTCTGAAACACGTTGCATCTGCATCGCCAAGAAAGAGAACATCTTCTTCTCGCCAAAGATGGACACCACACAGGAACGGGAGCGTCACACAACGAGCTCCATTGCGGAGCAAGAGCTCTTCTTTTCCTCGTCGCCATCTGGCCAAGGCCAGCCTCAGTCTGGGCGGCAGCAACAGCAGCAACCTCAGCCTCGCTGGTATGATAACGCCCAAGACGACTCACCCGTCGAACCGAGGAGCGGGGTTCCGGCTGTGAACATCATTCCTGCCACGCCCTCTACCCTTCGTTCAAACAGCGTGCGCTCAAACCTCTCTTGGCGGGATAGGGATGCCGAGAGGCAGCAGGCGGCGGCGGCGGCCGGCGCGCTTCCGGAGGTTGAGGAGGAAGACAACATTTACGATCCGCCAAGCACTCATAGACCATCAACACCACCGACGGAGTCCAAAGTTTCGACTCACCACACGGCGTCTACTTTTGATTCGCCGACTCAAACTAAGGTGGATGAGGATTATCATGTGTCGCCCATGACCGAGCCCGCTGTATTACACCACGATACGGGGTTCTCTCATGCAGACTCAGTTGATACTGCGGAGGCAGAACGGTACTACGATGCGACGTACTCCCCTCAAAATGAGTACCCTTCTTCATTTGACAAGGGCAAAGCCGTTGAGACGCATCCGGAGCCTGCGGTGCTGTATCACAACACCGAGCACTCAAACGCCAATGAGCGCCGTTCATCGATCGACAAGGGCAAGGCCGCAGAAGCGCTCCCGGATTTTGAGGACCGGCCGCCGGTTCCGAACCCAAGACCAGTGTCAGAAGTCCCCGACTTTTATGCTCAAGAACACGGCGGTTACGGCAGAGATCCAGCAGCCCAAGAGCAAGAAGATCGTGACTACGCAATGGCCTTAGCACTTCAGGAAGAGGAAGAAGGCCAGTCACCACCCCTTCCACAACGACACACCCAGCCAGCATGGAGTACCAACGGGCCACTCTCCTCCAACCCCTTCTCATCACCCGAAGACCAGGACCGCGCCCTCGCGGAACGTCTCCAGGAGGAAGAGGAAAACGGACCTCCGCCACCCTTACCAGCTCGCCCTCACCCCAAAGCCGTGGCAGAGCTGCTCTCTCAGAACCAGGAACCGCCGCCATTCTCAAGAACACCATCCATAGAAGGCATCATGCCGCCCCCCAAGCGCCAAGGCTCCGACTTTGGCAATGACGACCCTGCAAACCCAATCCACTACAGCCGAGACCCCCACAAGCTCATCACCTACCTCGTCC